AAAACCATTTGACCCATGGCTGAGTCAAAAAGAGAAAGAGGAAAAGACTGTACCACAGTCCTCCCCAAGGCCACACCCCCAATGACCTGAAAGTTCCTCCTAGGCTCCATCTCTTAAAGTTGCTGCTTTCTCTCAGTAGTGACAAGCTGGGGACCAAGTCTACAACACATGGGACTTTGGGGACATTTTAGATCCAAACTAAGGCATTGCCATGTTGTAAGGAAGCATAGGCCGTATGAAGAGGTTTATAAGAGGCGGGAAACAGTGTCAGAGAAGGCAGTGTCACAAGGGAAGTAGAGGGAGAGGAGATACAATGATGAGGGAAGCCAGATTGGGGTGATGTGGGCTGCAGCCTCTACAAGCCAGAAAACAAAGGAAAGAGATTGTCCCTTCGGGCTTCTGGAAGTAGCCAAGCCCAGCTCATCCACTGTAGACACCTGAGCTCCAGAACATAAGCTGTTTTAAGGCACCAACTGTGTCATGATCTGTTCCATCAACAGCAAACTACTTCAGTGCCTGGCACTAGTAGGCTTCATAGATGTCTGCTAATAAATAAAGACGTGAATTAGACTACAAACATCTTTTCAATGAGCAAATGGGAAGCCGCCATTTTAAAAGGTTAATTTATTTTTCATCATCCAAACATTAGGCTTTATGATATTTTCTCCTAAACTACATGCAGGCAGGAATAAGTCATATCAAAAAATGTCATAAAAGATCATGGAAAGCCTGGTGCATGGGAAGTGCCCAGGGGAGAGACTGGGCCCACCGCTGCCACCAACTCACTGGGTGGCCCTGGGAGAGTCCCCCAACTCTGGAGCATACCCTGCTTGGTCTATTGAAGGGCTCTGTGGCTCAGGGAGCCCCTGTGTAAGTTCCGGTATCTGGTGGCTGGTTTTATCTTTCTACCTCCATCTTTAATAAAAAGAACAAGGATGGGTTTGGGAGAGTGATTGCAAAAATGGCCCTAACTCTCCATCCCTCCTGTAGTAGCCACACCATTCCCAATGGGAATTTCCTGCTCTTGCCATGGAGAGGTGCTGACCACTTCCTATATCTTGAATATGGGCTATCCTCATGACTTGCTTGGTCCAGCAGAAAGCTGTGGAAGTGGTGGGGTGACGGGGCTCAGTCTACACCCTTTACTCTGCCAGTCTCTCTCAAAACTCTGCTTCACTAGGGAAAAAGCCCATTGTTATGGCTTATATCGAGACGTCCCCTAAGGGCCTCATGCACTCATAGACTTTGGGAAGGCGATTGGACTGTGGGGCCTTATAGCTGACTCGCTGGTAGGGGCGGGGCCTGGCTGGAAGAGGTAGTCCCTGCAGGTGTGATCTGGAGGGGTTTATCTCCCTCCTCAGCCCCTCCTTTTTCTCTCTGCTTCCTTGTGGCCATGAGGTGAGCAGCTTCTCCTCCACCAGGCCCCTCTGCCATGCAGCCCTGCCTGGCAGCCAGCTGACCATGGACTGAACCTTCTACACACTGTAAGCCAAAATAAGCCTCTTCCTTTTTAAACTGTGGATATTGGGCACTGTGTCTCAGAAATAAAGAAAGCAACTGAGACACTCAGGCTGTCCTGCTTGACGATGAACAACCATGGGAAGCAGGGCTGGGTGGTAGAGACATCTAAGCCAGCTATGCTAGATTCTCCAGTGCCTGGTCCATCTGCCAGCTGACCAGCCACTGATGGATGAACAAGCTTAGGTAAGAACGGTCAAGACCAACCCACAGCAGGAGACCGGCCAGCTGAAGACTTGTTACATGCCACTATGCTGACTGATTTAAAGCAGCCTTACTGTGTAAAATAGATGACTAATGCAGTGTACTTCCACATTTCCAGGCAAGGCAGGAATATGAGTAATGCCTGTATTAATGCATATGAGTCATGCCCGTATTAATCAGAATAAGCAGTTAGCCTGAAAAAGTTAATCTCAGTTGAAAGTGATGGAAATCCAACTGAGACGTGCTTAAACATATAAAGGGACTCATTGGTTTATGTTATTGAAAACCCCGACTGTATACACAGCCAGATCCAAATGCCTGAAATTTGCCATCGGGCGCCAGATTCTCACCTCCTTTTTGTGATGTTTATCTTTTTTATTAGTATATACTTGCAGCACGTAATGTTTCCATTCATCTTAGGGAGTAGGTACATGTACTTGATGTATCATAATTCTTTTCATTCCCCTTCCTATCCCCTCCCAGACCCCTCCCATTTCTAGATCCCCTTCCCATTTGCAAGACATCTATCTACATGTTTCCTATCATCTATCTTTAATTTGTTTCCTAAATTATTTGTACTTTAGGTTTCCCATGTAAGAGAAGCAATGTAATATTTAAGCTCATGCATCTGATTTATTTCACATGACATTATGGTCTCAAGGTGGATTCATTTTCCTACACATGCTGCAAGTGCATCTTTCTTTGTAGCAGGGTGTATAAGTACCACATGTGTATAAGTACCACATTTTCCTTTATCTATTCATCTGTTCAAGGCGCATCCATTTTCCTACAAATGACTCATTTGCTCTTCTTTATGGCACAGTAATACTCCATTGTGTATAAATATCACATTTTTTAAAAATCCGTTCATCTGTTGACGGACGTATAGGCCACTTCCAAGACTTAGCTATTATGAGCTGTGTTGCTATATACATGGGTGTGCATGGATCACTATAGTATGATGATCTTTAACGCTTTTCAGGAAAACACCCGGGAGGGGGAATAGCTGGGTCAAAAGGAATTTCTAGTTTTAGTATTTTGAGGAATCTCCACAGATTTCAATACTGATTGCACCAGTTTACACTCCCACCCATAGTGTAGAAGTTATCTCTTTCCCCTCAGCCTCACGAGAATTTATTGTTTAACTTTTGGATGATAGTCTTTTTTGGAGTAAGCTGGAATCTCAGTATTGTTTTAGTTTGCATTTCTCTCCCATCTCATATTCTACTTTTACTGTCTTAGCTTTGTTTCTCACGCAAATTCTCCCCAATGGGGTCAAGCTGGCCACCAACAGCTTCACACCCCACTGCATTTGCCATGGAGCAGAAAGAAGCCTTCTGCTTCCAATTAATTCAAGTGAAAGTCCCAGAGCCGGCGCTCACTGAACTGACTGGATCCCAAATCCATTGCTCTTTATCCCCAAGGGGGTGTGTCCTCCTGCTCTGCTCCCGGCTCATGCATCCAACCCTGGAGAAAGGCACTGTGTGAGTCTCAAAGTTCAAGACAGTGAGAACAAAGTGGAGAATTCCTGAAGGAAAATTGGGGTTCTGCTAACAAAAACAGAGCGGGAGGGGGAGAAGGGGGAGAGCAACACACGTCTGCAGTTGCCCTCTGTTAGTAATGAATTCTAGTGAAAGAAAGCACAGTGCTGACATCTTTGGCTTCACCCAGATGAATGATTTAAAAACCCAATTTTGATTGTATCTCTATCACACAAGAGGATAATAAGGCAAAGTGGCCACATGCATCAAAGGCAGAGCTTGTGATAGTCACTGGAGTCACCGAACTTGATCCCAGAGACACTTGAATTGTGCCCGTGAGCACCTGCATCATAAAATTCCTTCCAAATCCTCTCGATTGGAGAGGTAGCAAAGGTCAGGGACTAAGAGCCCAGATTCCAAACACAGCCTGGCTGCACTGCGGGCCCAGCTTGTCTGCAGCAAGAAGCTGTCCGAACTTGGACACGTTCCTCAGTCTCTCCGTGGCTCAGTGTCCCCATCATGAGGACAGTAATGAGGACAGTAACAGGATCTATGTAGCAGCAAGAGAAAAAGATTCATTGTATGCACAACCCTTGGACCAGTGCCTCGCACGTAGTAAGTGCTACCAAGCGCCACCTGCCAATCACCTGGAACATGCTTATGGAGGCAAGCGAGCTGGAGCAGCAACAGGAAAGATTGGCAACACCAGGCAAAGGAGGGTGACCTCAGGGGAGCCACTTGCTGTCTCCGGGATTATTTCATTTCTCTGTCTATAGTGTGATGAGCATTATGTCCATTCTGCGTATCTCACAGGGCTGTCTTGAAAATCAGAGGAGATAATGGGCGGTGGATTCTTTGGAATACTCAAAGTGCTTTATAAATAAAGGGTCTTATATTAATACTAATTATCTCTACCCATAATGTAAGGTTTGCGTGTAATCAGGGCAGTTCTTCATCCCATATCGTTTTAAGCGAAGTCATTAGGAAAGAAAATCTGCCATTACATGACATAATGCAAAAAAAAAAAAAAATCACTTCAAAAGTCATGAGAGTTGTTTTGTGACTTGAAACATCCTTTGCAGCCTTTGGTACCTAGCGTGGATTCAAGCTGATTGGAACGGAGACGGTAGGGTGTCGGGGTCGGGACACCCGGACAGTAGTTCCCAGTTCTGTTTTCAATCTTCTGCGTCATCATGGGTGAGTAGTTTTACTCTTCTAGGCTTGTCTCATGTGTAAAGTGGAAATAGAACAAATGCTCATAAGTCTGTGACTGTGTACCTTGAGGCAGAGATGTTCGAGGCATGAAAGGGTCTGGTCACTTCTTAGTGGGGCTACTCATCCTTTAGGGCAAATAGCCACTGTATCTCTAGAAAATACATCCTCCCAGACAGCACTGGATTTTACATGTAGCATTTGATTAAGAGAAAATGTAAATGCATGTGTTGACCCCCACCGTGTCTCTCTCTGTATCTGGAATTCCCTGTGAACAGAAGGCCAGATCAGCTCTCTGGTGCTCTAGAGGGGAAGAGCAATCTTCCTTTGTCTGGGCTCCCAAGACATCTGGCAGCTCTTTCCTAGAGGCTGTTTCGGGAATTTCCCGTGGTGGTGTAGAAGACCGTAGCAGCACCTCTGACTTCCTTTCACTGTGTCCCTACCACCAATGGAGCACAGTCCTACCCCAGGGCTTTTGCACTCACTGATCCTCTGCCTGCCTGTAACAGCAAGAAGCTACTCATAGGCAGTGGCCACAGAAAGTTGAGGTTCTGATCGGCCCCAAAAAGAAGAGCCACATCAGGATTTTATATAGATAAAAGTTTATTATAAAAGTACAGCAGATCTGAACAGAGTCCAATAATACAGTACCACACAACAAGGCAGGAGACAGCACCAAAGTTGAAGGAGAATCCTCTGGGACAGGATCTTGCAGGAGACTGAGCCTTCTGCAGGGGAGAGAGAAAGCAGCAACATTGTACTCAGTTTGTCAGCTTCTTAAGTATTGTGTTCAGACAAAGTGGCTTGGTGCCAACAGGCCTGCATGTCTTAGAATAGAGTGTCTTGGGTCTGGCTAAAACCAAGGACACTCTCACAGTGCACTCAAGGCTGTGTGTACATAGCATTCTTTCCAGGGGAAATAGCCAGTGTCTCTGCAAAAAGGCAACACCCAAGGTCATGTCAGCCAACACTCTCATCACTGCTGACCCTTTCCCTGACACTGTCTTTGCCTAGATCATTCCATGGTTCATTCTCTTTTTCAGTCAGGTTCCTGCTTAAATGCTACCTTCCCTAGCTATCTTCTATAACATAGCAAGCTCCTCCCCAGTTTGCCCTGGTGCTCCCTGAATTTGGTGCCAGCTGAGGTATAACAACAAAGACGTCCAAAACCAGGGTAGGTTATATAGGATAGAACTTTATTTTCTTCTCATGTTTACTATCAAAAAAGAAGCGTCTAAAGATGAAAACTTCACTGTCATCTCTGCCTGGCTCCCAAGCATGCCTCAGTCAATGACATTTCTCAGTCTGTGGAGCATTTTCAGGGTGGTAAAACTGTTCTGTATGTTACTGGAACGTTAGCTGTGTGATTAACGCAAGGTATTAATAATAGGGGAGATGGTGCGAGGGCGGGAAGGTGGTGTGTGGGAACTCTGTACTTTCTGTTCAGTTTCTCAGAGTGCAAAAAAGTACCCTTGTCCTCCAGCAAATGACACGGTAGCGACGCGAAGACTCCCACTCGTATCCCACTGGTCTGCACTTGGCCACAAGGGTATGCCTACGTACAAGGGGCAGGAGATGGGAGGATGGGCGTCAGGAAAATGTGGTCCATATTGTACAGACACACAGCCAACTAGTGCTTCGGGTGGGGTTCTTTTCCTCAAAGATGAAAAGGAGAATGAATTCTGTGCAATAATTAACATCTTCCGCTACACTCTCTATCAACCGTGTTTACCTCCATGGTGTGGAATCAACGACAGCCTGTGAACTTACTGCTGCCTTTTTATCTCCCCACACTAGAACACAGCCTTGCAAGGGCAGGGGCTTTCCGTTTTACCTCTGTAACTCGAGCCCTCGGGCAGCGCCTGACACACAGTGGGCGCTCTGTGAGTGTCCACTGAGTCGATGATCGCTGTCTGACTGCTCTAAAGGAAGCACATGTGCTTCTCGCTCGGTCACTGTGGATGACGACGCGCCCAGGTTTGCCTGCTTTCCAGCGCTAGTGAGATTCTGGCCCTATTTCCTCATGGAGCTCTGGGGGTTCAAGAACAGGATGTGGCCCTTCTGGTCCCATCTCAGGCGGCTGTGGTATTCTCCAAAGCACTTCAGAGGAGCAGGAAGATTGGTGAGGGAGGGGCATTTTTAAAAATATTAATAAGCTTTTAGAGAAGCTTTAAATTTACAGAAAAATTGAACAGAGGATTCCCATACACCCGCATCCTCTCCCCCACACCACCTTCCCCATTATTCACACCTAGTATTTGTCACGCAACTGCCACTCCAGCATCTGACAGCATGGTTCCATCACCCTGCCAATGCCCCATGCCACCCGTTCCTCCCTCCTGTCAGTCTCCCTCTGTTGCTGTGACAGAGACCTGAGATAGACAGCTGATAAGGAGAAGGTTTATTCTGCACAGCCTTACCAGTTTCAGTCCATGGTCACTTGGGCCTGTTGCTTTAAGTCGGTGATAGCACAGAATCTCATGGAGACGGTGCTCACCTTGGGGTGGGTAGGAAGCCAAAGAGAGAGGGACAGGAAGGGACAGTATCCCCTTCCAGGGTTCACCCCTCAGCGCCCTAACTTCCTTCCCCTGGGCCCAGTATTAAGGCTTCTGCCCCCTCCCAATAGCACTACCTGCTGGCTACCGAGCCTTTAGCATGCTGGCTTTGGGAGATGTCTTCGTTACTTTTCTCTTGTTGCTAAGACAAAATACCTAATGCCCAGAATTAAGGGAGGAAAGGTTTATTTAGCTCACAGTCTGTGGAGGCTTCAGTCCATACTCAGCTGGCTCCAAGGCAGGGTGGCACATGGCAGAGGGCAACAGTTCATGGTGGAGGAACACAGCAAAAGCAGCAAGAGCAAAAGGGAGGAGCCACAGGGAAGAGCAAGCCTCTTCCCTCCCTTGCACTGTATGCAGGCTCCCTGCCCCAGGGCAGGTGTAGCGCTCACACCCATAATCCCAGCATTGGACCATGGATCAATCATAAACTCTAGGAGTCCGCATCCATGACTGCATGAGGCTTTGGGGGGACATCCAGACACAAACCATGACAGGAGACATGCAAAATCCAAACCGTCACACCTTCTTTTCTCTTCTCATACCTTCAAGCAACCAGCAATCTTTTTCTTGTCTCTATAGTTTCGCCTTCTCTAAAATTTCACATGGTTGGAGCATTGCAGTCATTTCAGATTGGATTCTTTCACCTAGCAACAGCCTGATAGTGAGCTTATTTCTTTTTATCCCTGAGTAATGTTCTATGCTGGGACATACCATAGTCTGTTTATCCATTCAACTGAAGAAGGACATCTTTAAGAATAATTCTGTCATAAACATTCATGTGCAGGTTTTGGTGTGGACATAAATTGTTGATTCACTTGGATAACCACATACCAGCACAATGGTACGCCTATTGTTAGCTTTGTAAGACACTAGGCAGCGTCTTCCAAAGTCGTACCATCTTGCATTCCTGCTGGAATGAATTAGAGTTTCTCCTGCTCTGTGCCCACCCTCTAGCATTTAGTGTGGCCAGTATTTTGGAGTTCAGACACTACAACAGTTTGCCGTGGTATCACATTACTTCAATTTTCAAGTCTCAGTAACATGAAACATTGACCATCTTTGCACACTGTTATATGTCATTCAGTGAGGTATCTATTTAGATCTTTTGCTCATATTTTAATTTTTTATTGTTGGAGTTTTAAAAGTTCTCTGCATATTTGGGATACAAGTTTTTTATGAGATGTATATTTTGAAAATATTTTCCCCAATCTGTAGTTTCCTCTTCTGTCTCTTCTGATGAATTTTTAACTGTACCTTTACAGGTATTGTAACACACTGGTCAAGGGGTGCCACGTAAGAGAATAGGAAGCATCAATTCTAATGCTGTTTCCTCTAATGTTAAAAACTTGTCTGAATACACAGAGATACCTTGGTTCACAAACTCTTCTGTTTGCAAACAGTTTGGTTTGCAAACAAAAGCATCTGGCAAAATTTTGTTTCTGTTCACAAACTCCATGTGGGGTGACAAACATGACCATAGCTGTCTTCTTCACACAAACACAAATGCAGCCACGCTCCCCCAAGTTGTAGAAGAAATTAAGTTCATAAACAGAAGTACCACTGTATGTAAAAAGTTTTGGTAGTAACTAATAATTCTTTGACTTCACGTAATGCAATATGCCAAGCATATATGCATATGGATGCCTGACTTCTTTTGATGCAGGTTAATGTAGTACATTTTACAGGACTAATTCTACAAAGTCTCCCGGCTGGGTGAACCTCCTCACATCCAAATTCAGGTTTTTCTGACTCTTGGTCTAATATTCTTTCCAATCCTTTGCATTGACTGTGGTCATCCAGATTTTGTATTTGACCCTTTGATTCTTACTCTCCATGAAAATATTTGTGTTTGGAGGAAAGCTTAAGTTTCTAGTCTTACTTATCAGCAAGATGAAAATCTGAAATTTGCTGTGTAAGTGTTAGCTTGTTTGCAAGTCATAGCATTACTGGGTTTTGGGGTTCTGGTTTCCTGGTTTCCAGGTTCTTTTTCATCTCAAATGAAGAACTGAGTGAAAGAGGCAAAACAGTGATACAGTGTACATGAAAACTTAAAAGTGAAGGGTAAGGGAAAACTGGCTCTGCTGAGTGAACTTGGGCTGAGTAAGAGGAAAAATGAAAAGTAAAAACCCAAATAAGAGTGTACCCTGGAGGACCCAGGGCACGAGGGAAGGCGTGGTAGTGGGCTCCTCGTGGCATCTGTCCTTTTATTCCCCCCACACATCGCAGGAATCCAGGAGAAGCCCATATGCAGGGCCTCTGAAATTACTTGGCTCGTGTCCTGGGATCTTGTAACTAACGGGTCCTCCTTACTCCCGCAGCCAGCTCTGCCACACCCTGTCCTCCTGCCGCAAGGGAACCTAATTCAAGCTGGCTTCATCACAAAAGCTGGAATAAATAATCTGAAAAGTTCAAGAGCTACACGGGTCCAGTGGCTCAAGCAGGACAACAGTCCCTTCCCCAGTTAGATTCTCAAGCAGAACCTCCCCATAAAGTAACAATTATGGCCACCAAGTTTCCAGTTCCTATCATCCTTGGTGAATCCAAGAAGAAGAAGCACGCCTTTCTCCATAACTCTGGGAAAAGCTTGAGTAGGGCTCTCAGCCACTTGGAGGCTCGTGCTCATCTCTGAACCCGTAACTGTGCCAAGAAACTGCACCCGAAGACACAGACCCTCAGTGGTACCAAAGGTGAGCCCCAGACACTAAGGGTTATGCCTCAGAGGACACCCAGGATGCTGTTTCCTGAAGAAGAGGATGCTGTCAGGAATCTGCAAATGTCTGCCACCAGAGCCATGCATTCATTTCTCCAAATCTGCCCCTTTTAGTTCACTCTGGAGATACAGGGAACACGAAAAGGCACTGAACTTGAAGTTAAAAGCCCCAGGTTCAAACTTCAGACCATTTAGCAGCTCTTTGAGCCTCTCAGCCTTCACATTTAAAACGAAGGTGCTACTGCTTGCCTGGTAGAGATAGACAGGAGAGTTAAATAGTGACAATTGCGAACACTTGCATAAAGACTAAAGAGAAATATGGCTCCCTATAGCACAGATATGTGTCAGACAATGTTCTAGGTGCTTTAGCATCATTCAATCAGTGATTCCCAAATTGGACTCTGCAGTTTAGCCACCTGGAAGGCACTGGAAAGCACAAAAGGCTGCTCCCACACCTAGAGGTGTTTTTTTTGTTTTTTTGTTTGTTTGTTTGTTTTTTGTTTTTTGTTTTGGTCCAGTACCGGGAATCAAACTCATGACCTTGCGCTTGCCAGGCAGGTGCTGTGCTGCTGAGCTAAATCTCCAGCCCCCCTAGAGCTTTTGATTCAGTACATTTGGGGTGAGGCCTGGTAATCTGCCTTTCTAACAAAATTCCCTTGGGGTATTGATGCTGTTGCTCAGGAAACCACACTTTCAGAACTGACTCCTCCTAACAACTCCATGAGGGTGCTGGTATTCCCCCTATTTTAGATAAACAAACTGAGGCTCACACCTGAACTGTGCACGATGGCGTAGCACTTCTCCTTCACAGAAACAATTGTACACTAACAGTCGAGACAAAAACCAAGAGAAGGGTGAGAAAATGAAGAAAGGGAGTGTATTTAGTCAGATTTTCCTCGCTGTGACCAAATACCCAAGAAAGTGAACTTAGTATTTATTCTGGCTCACAGTTCCAGAGGTATCAGTCCATGGTCAGCTGACTCCAGCAGAAATAACATGGCAGAAGGGCACAGCAAAGGAAAGCTGCTCATGTCAGCGAGGGTGAGGAGCAGAGAAGGTTGTAAAGAAGATTGTAGAGAGAGGAAGGGGTTGAGAACAATACACCTTTCCAGATCATGCCCTCCCTGACACACCTCCTCCAAGCAGGATCTGCCTCCTAATGCCACATTCAGCTCTGAACTCATCCATGGATTATAATCTCTGATGAGTACAGCACCCATGACCCAATCACCTTCCAGAAGTCCCACTTCTGAACACATCAGACTTCTGATGTAGGACTTCTTTATCAAAACCATACAGGGAGATACTTAAAAGCTGTGAGACTCCTTATCTTTCCTAAAGAAAGGGTCAACAGTCTAGTTAATGATAGAAATAAAATGTAGACGTCGTGAAACTGGGTAGGAAAAATATGTTGATGTTAAAAGCAGATTCATTCTAAAAGCAGATTAATTTATTTCTGATATTTCTTTCTTATTTTAATGATGTGAGGGACAGGATCTCACTGTATAGTTCAAGTTGGCCTGGAACTCACTATGTGGCCCAGGCTGGCCTCAAATTCATGGCAATCCTCCTGCCTCAGCCTCCAGAGTGCTGGAGTTACAGTTGTGAGCCATCATGCCTAGAAAATCCTTTTTAAAAGTGAGGAACTTAAAGATCATTAACAGAAGTGCAAATGGTGAATAATAAAAGTGAGAAAGGCAAACTCACACACGAGTGCATGTGTGTGTGTGTGTGTGTGAATGTGTATGATGTGGGTGTAGGAAAAGGTGTTACAAATATTTGAACACAGACTGAAAAACTGCATGGCTCCTCCGTAAAAAGTGAGTCATCCACTGCATTAAAAAATAACACCAGAAGTGGCAGCAACAGTCTGCTACCTACAAGAGGCACAGGTAAATCGAAGAGAGGAGTAGCCTTCCACCCGCACAACAGTCTAATGCAGGAGCTGCAAACAGCTGCCCATAGCCCTGTGGTACTGTTGTCTCTACTTTATAAAGAAATAGGCTCTCACCTGCTCTGCATTTCCCCTGGCCCTTTATTCTTGTTTGTTTGTTTGTTTGTTTGTTTGTTTGTTTGAGATAGGCTGGCCTTGAACTCCTCCTCCTGTCTCAGCCTCCCAAATGCTGGGATTTCAGGCATGCGCCACCACACCCAGCTTATTCTTTCATTTTTATCAGTCCAAGGACGCTAAGGCTGACACCAGCAGCCAATGCTATCTTGATACGGTGTGGCTTTGGTTTAGTAACTAAAACTCCAACTTGTCTCCATCATTTTGTACCTCTGATTACTGTTCCCTCAAGCCAGATAACACCACAGGTGCATTCCTTCCCTGCATGGCTAACTCCTCCTCTCCCTGAGGCCTCAGCTGGCCTGACACCTCCACCCACAAGCCCTCTGGGAATTCCAGGTCCACGTCCATGACAGTAAAATTCTCACGTGCTCTTGAAGTCCTCTGAGACTGGACGTGCATTTGCACAAGCAAAGACGAAAAACCAAACTTCTAGGAGCTCTGACGAAGCTTAAGAACAAAGGAATGATGTGCATGCATTTCCTGGCTGGACGGGGCGGGCAGAGCCATCGCAGAAAGAGGAGGAAGAGGATGGTGGCGAGCATTTAAAGCTTAGCAAAGAGGGCAAAGGCGGGAGCCAAGATGTGCAGAAGGAAACAGAAGCTCAAGGGACGCACAGGTGACCCAAGGTTGGGAAAGTACACGGCGTCTACCCTTGAGGAACTTGTCGGGTAGCCAGAGTAAAGCCCTTCGGTCACCCATTCAGCAAACATTTATTCCACGCCCACTGCACCAAGACAATGCCTTGGAAGGTTGGTTTTAGCATCCCCTCCACTCAGATGAGGAAGCTGAGACTCCCACAGCTGAATCATCTGTGCAAGGCTGTGCACTTCTGCTTCCTGCTGCCATTCTGTGTTTTGTGTCCCTTAGCTTATGGAGCCTGCGCAGCCCCAGTGAGGCGAGCGCTTCCGCTCTCTCCTCCCCTATGTGAGAGGGTAACTAACTTGCTCAAGGTCACCCCGACTAAACGGCAGAAGCAGGATTCGCTCTGAGCCTGGCCCCAGCCTCCGTGGCCTGAATCACCACGTCACATCGCTGTGTTGTCCCCCCATCGGGACTAAGTGACAAGGAACAAGGCAAAAGATACCTTGGAAGCGTCTGTCCTTTTAGCTTTCTTGAGTTTTCATTTTGTCTCCGCTCCTTAGCGGCCCACTAACTCCATGACCAAAAATAAATAGCAAAGAAAGAAAAGGGCCAATTTTTGGAAGTAATTTTGGCGAACGACTGGGAACGCCGCTTGGAGTGGGACTTCCTACCCTCGGCAACCGCAGGCGGTAACTCTCTGAGGTCATCTCGAGTTGATGCGCATTTTCCTGAGCAGTGGGTCTGCTCTCTGCTTTTCTAGATGTCCCCTGAGGCAGAGACTGCGAGCCTTTCAGAGACAAGCGCCCAAACTGTGACCCAACACCCACTCGTTCATTGTGAAGCACCGACACTGCCATTAAACCTGAACACCGAGGCTTTAGTTTAGAAGAAACAGCTGGTATCAGATACTCAGCTGCTGGGGCAGCTTGGCTGGCATGATGACAGAGGGACTCTGCATGCCACCACCGTCCTAAGGAACCTGTGAGCCGTAACAGGCTAACAGCAACCTAAAGAAGAAAAAAGGCCAGTTGGAGACAAGCTAAACTTTGGGCCCTTCAGTATTTTAGTATAATGTTATTAGAAAAGTACAATTCAGAAAGACTAGCGAGCCATTAGAATATTCAGGTCAACCCTGTTATGACACAGAAGATGTTGATCCTGTGACGTCAGAGACAGCGTGGAAAACGTATCTGCTTCACATTCTCACCTCTGACTTTGCTTCCTTTCTCCGCAGGATTGTAGCGGTCAAGAGCACGGCTGGGTCACGTGACCTTCACCTCGTTAGTTCCACAGTCACTTCCTGTCCTCAGTGCTCAGGGCGCCTGTGCTTCCACGACACACCTCGTGCACGATGCCCTCGCTGACTCCTTCCTCGTCACCAGTACCTCACGCTGGAGGTGTACGGCTGTGTTTAAGGTGTTTACATCTCACTGCCATGCCCGCCTCCACGCTGAGCACTATGCAGGAATATGTCCGATTTCTACCTCACATCTCTTCTTCACTCTGTAAGATGTCAGCAACCCAGACTCAGTATTTCTGAACTGAATTATTAGCATTAGCATTGGCATTAGCATCAGTATTGTCTTTCTTGTGCAGCTTCCAGGACAGCACTTGACCCACACTAAAGTCAAGAAATATTTGTTGAGCCAGGCATGGCGGCGACGCCTGTAATCCCAGCACTCTGGAGGCTGAGGCAGGAGGATCACCGTGAGTTCAAGGCCAGCTGGGACTACATAGCAAAACCTTGTCTAAAAAAAACCTAAATAAGTAAATAAAAATAAAGAAAGAAAATAAATATTTGTTGAATGAATAAATATTAAATGGGTGAAAATTCTATCAAAATATTTTACTTAAAATTGTTCATATAGAATTCACAACAGCCAAGGTATGAAAGCAGCCTAGACGCCCATCACTGGGTGAGTGGATAAAGAGAATGTATATGTATGCAATGCAGTGTTGTTCTACCACACAGAACAAACTTACGTCCATTCAGGAAAATGGGTGAGACTGGAGGTCATCGTGTTAGGCAAGGGAAACCAGACTCAGAAAGATTTTCCCAATATGGGGAATAACAATTCTAAAAACCCCACAAAGATGACATGAAAAAGGAAGGGAGAGTATTTTAGGCAGAGGAAGGGAATGGGGAGAGAAGTGCAGAGAGGGTATCGGAGGGGGTGGATATGATCAAACTATATCATACATACGTGTCACATTAAAATGCCACTAGGAGGCCCAATGGTTTGTAAAATTAATATGCACCAATAAAATGTGCATGAGTGTACAATTATGTTTAGTCACATGTTATTCATGGACAATAAAGTGAGAGGACACACCAAAACATTAACAATGGCTGTGCAGGGAATTAAATGCTTTTTCTTTAAAACTCCTTTTGTTTTTCAAATTTATTTAGAACACAACAGTTAAGAATATCAACACATGGGACTGAAGGCGTGGCTCAGTGGTATGGCACTTGCTTGGCACGTGTAAGTCCCTGGGTTCAATTCCCAGGACCGCCAAAAAAAAATGAAGAATATCAATGATTGATCTCATGAGTGATCCCAACGTTTGGATTCCGAGTGAAGATGCTCACTTACCAGCTGCACAAACTGATGTGTCGGAGGGGCTTAAAAATAGTATGAGAGCTGATTTTCAAAATATGCTGAATTATTTAAATTTTTAAAATTATTACAGCAAAAGACACGTTGCTATTAACCCCCACCCCCTCTGCTTGGGACACACTTATACCACCCTTCTTGTCCTTTTCCAAAGCAGTTCTAGTAAGTCCTCTTTTCGGAGTGTCTTTAGTTACACGGTCCCGGCTGCCTCAAGGTCCTGTATCCACTTACCTTCTGGTCATTTTGACTTGGGGAGGAGCCAGAAGTCACAGGGTACCAGACCCAGTGAATAAGGTGGATGAGGACACACTGTAATGTTTTTATATGGCAGAAATCACTGTAAATATTTGACCAGTGAGGGGTGATCAAAAATACAGTGAATTTAAAAAGTTTTCCTACAGTAAAAGATACATGGTATAAGTCCCTCTCAAAATAGTCCCCCTTTCTTCTAACACGTGTCCCATCGCTCTTGGCAGTATTTCTTTTACTGTAATTTTTTTTAATGCAAACATTTGCAATATCTTTCGATCATATTTCATAATACCTCCTTTACATATAGTTTACAATGAACTTTACTGTGATATGAACGGGAAGAGCTTTTGCAAGGTGCAGGGTACAGAGCGAAGGCCAGTCCATTCCAGCTGATAATGCCACGCATGTTTTCTTTCATAATGAAAACGTTGTCCGCATCTTTTCCCCAACCTGTGGTGCAGCCAGAGGAACCGCGCATCCACGAATTCCCTCCCCTCTGGCCCCTCCCCTCCCCTCTCGCCACGCCCCGTTCCACCTCCCACGCCCCGCCCCGTCTCCCGGGAAGTGTGCGCCTGCTCCGTCGGCTTCTTCCGCCCACGTGACACACTCGAGCCCCTCCCCCCAACATGGCGGTGCCCAGGCGCTCCAGCCGCACGTGAGAAAGGCCGGGTTGCTGGTGAGCTGAGAGCACCGCGTGAAAGCCCCATTCTGCTCCTTAGCACCGACTTCATCCCTCTGACTCTTGCGGAGGCCGCTGCGGGCCTCGCCTCTCTGCAGCCATGAAGATAAAGCCCGTTGCTCACAAGACGGAGAACACGTACCGGGTGAGCGCGGGAGCCGGGGCCGGGCGCCGCGGGTCCGCTGCCTCTGCGCGGCCGGCACGCGGGGCTGCCAGGCTGCCGAGTCTCGGCCGGGCGGGAGTCATCTGCCTGAGGCTCTGGCGAAAGTGGGACTCGAGGCTGTAGTCAGCGTGGGGCGGGGAAGTACGAAGTTTGAGTAACGGATCTCGCCCTTGGTTTGGGAGCTCGATCGTCTGGGGAACGCGGTCACTCGAGTGACGTTCGCCGTCCCGGGAGCTTGCTCGGGGCCGAAACTAACCCGCTCGTGTGTGTTTACAAACGGAGTCGGGGCAGGCCCGCCGCAGTGCGTGGCTTCAGCTCAAGCCCGGGTGGCGCCTCTGCCGATCGCGGAGTTTCTTTCTGCGTGTCGGCCGCAATGTAGTCTGTACACGGCACTCTTGCTGCCACGACTTCTGTCGATCTCCGTGCCGGTGCCGGGTTCAGCCGTCCAGCATGGAGTAGCTGAACGAACTTAGGCAAACGTAGAAGTGTTTATTATCTTGCAATAGTAACGCAGTGCACTTAAGGGCCCATGACTTCCTGTTTGTTTTACCCTTATTCTTTGCGACTCATCAGTGACGTATGCTTTTAGTTTAACAGTTACATATTCTATGGTTGATACACCCCACAGGTCTAAAATACCGAGCCCAGGATAGCGTTATCCGTAACGACAGTAGGTAGAGAGGCTTACGGAACGGCGCGTTACACTTTCTACTTTAACAAGGCGACTACCAACATGGGATTGTTGTACAGCCCTGAAATCCTCAGGGTGGAAATGAGTATTGAATGATGACGTTTGTTAAAAATGGTTTTTTTTTTTCCCCCTCCCAGTTTCTTACATTTGCTGAGCGGCTGGGGAATGTGAATATCGATATTATTCACCGCATCGATAGAACTGCAAGCTATGATGAGGTAAGAGAATGTGATATTAGCCAGTCTTCAAGTGTTCATGGACTTTTAAAATGTGGCCTGGTAGTAGAAGTGAGTTGTTTTTAAGCCGTTTCTTTTATGAACACGGAATGCGTAAGAGGGTGCTAGTTGCTCCCGCATTGGATGAGTGCAGACACAGAAAGGTGTGTTGGGGGAAGCTGTTCTAGGTGAGCAGCTTGACCTGACCCTGCACGAACTTTTATGATTTGAGGCTCCTCCTTTGCACAGTGCTTCCAGGCACTGCTGCAGCCGTCCTTCTGCAGCTGTGATTTTAAAGTGATTCTGAGCAAGTCACATTCCTGGGGCTTCGTTTCTTTGGGGCTTAGACATACAAATGTAAAGATGTTTATCCAGCTTCACTATGAGGAGGAACAGAACAGCCTAAAACTCCAACGATAAGAATATGGCTCTTGGTAAGAGGAGCTTGTTGCAGCTCTGACCATGGTTTTCCAGCTCTGACCACACTGGAGCTGTCATCTCTCTGTGTAGAAATATTTTCCTTTGTAGTGTATCAAGTCTTTATTCTTCTGCTAGCCTTGTACAATCAAATTCTGCTACTGAATGTGTTGCCTCTGTCGTGTAAGTTCACCCGGGCGTGAGCTGAAGCCACGCACTGCGGCGGGCCTGCCCCGACTCCGTTCGTAAACACACACGAGCGGGTTAGTTTCGGCCCCTTGGTTCCATAACTGATGTGTTAAATGTTCTTTAGGTAAATACATAATGCTTTCAGAATTCAGTGAAGGGAGCCTAACCTAAATTCTTCGGGGATAGGGTGTCACAAAGGTGGTATAGACAAGATGGTAACTCAGTTGAATTTTGTTGTTTGTACCTACGCAACTGTTTTACCATGGCATAGAGGACAGGAGAAGCTGTTTCAGGCTGCAGGAGAAACCTGTATAAAGGAGCAGGGGAGGGGCTGGGGATTTAGCTCAGCAGCACAGCGCCTGCCTAGCAAGCACAAAGTCGTGAGTTCGATTCCCGGTACCGGAAAAAAAAAAAAAGGAGCAGAGGCTAGAAATGCATGTCACAGTCAGGATACTGCAAAGCAATTTGGAGTGTTCATAGAATGTGTTTAGTGTTTGTGTGTGTTTATGGTTACTAACGGGGAGCTGGTGAGATGGGCACAGATTGTAAAGGGTCCACATGCTAGCTAAGTTTGGATTTTATTCTGGAGTTACAGTGTTTCATTCTGGGGTTGTAAGCAAGGGAGTAGGTGATGTGATCAGGTTTAAGTTCTTCATCTCTCTGGTTTTAGTATGGAGGAAGGAGCAGGACTGGAGTCAGAACAACCAAGTTAGAAGTGATCTGGTGGTGAGGTAGAGAGAGAGGAGGATTCCAGAGATATAAAGGACTGGATAGACTCGTGACCCACTGGATATGCAGGCAGAAAGAGACTTGGTTCCATAACTGAGTGGTTGAGGATGGCATTCACGGAGGCCGGTTTGTAGGAAGAGGAGTTCGAGGCTGTGCGGGGAGGAGAAGCTGTGGCGAGGGTTTGTTGAACTTAGTATACCTGTGGCTGTGTGACTGATAGTGCCCAAGAGACATTTGGACATATGGCTGCAGAGATTAGGTGACTTCAGGGGGGAGTTAGGGATCTGGCTTTCAGCGGTGGTTCATGTTTAAGTCCCGGGAGAGCTTGAGAGTGTGGAGGGCTGGGGTGCCAAGGTAGAGAGGGGGCCTGGGATAGGAGCCGGGCCTCGGTGGTCCACATGGCCTTGCTCACATCCCTGGCCCTTGGCTGGGCCTTATGGCTCTTGATCGTCCTCATCCCTCTCCTGTCCAGTACGCTACACTGGGCTTCTCACGTGGCAGAATCTTTTCAAGGCAGCGCAATCAGGAGCTGCAGAATCTCACCAAACCTTGCTGCGCGCATCATCAGGTAGCTTCCATTGGATGTTAGCGGTCAGAGCAAGTCACCAGGCAGGGCCAGATTCAGGCAGTGAGAGGTGGGTCCCATCTCTTAGAGGCCGGAGCTGCACAGTCACACGGTAGGGCCTGTCGCAAAAGGCTGCTGGGTGTCAGTCACTGCTAGGCGAGAAATGCCTTCATCATGAAGATACCGACTAACATATATTTCTCTTCTGCCTTAGGGGATACTGAACAAAATTTAATGGAATTTTGTTTTTTTCCTCTTTACTCCGCCTATTTAAAGATTTCCAAGGCACAATTTAAGGGTTTTTTGCTGTGTGTGTGTGTGTGTGTGTGTCTGTGTGTGAGATGGGGAGAGAGAGAGAGTGCTGTTTGCAAATGTGTATGTGTTTGTTCTGTCCCTCTTCTGTCCTTCTCTATGTGTGCATGTGCATGTATAGTAAGAATTTGTTGGCCTTATCTTTTAAACTGTGTTAACAAGCTAAACAGCGCAGTGCTAAACCTAGAAAAAGGCTTTCTCTTTCCTCACTGCTTACTACCATGAAACCAGTATGGACAGTTGAGTATTTGTGTGTTCTTTCTTACCTTTCTCTCGTGCTCATGCAACTGTGTGCAAACATTTATGGAGGTGTTTGGTGTTGTTAAGGAAAAATTAGATCCCAACATAGTTCACTGTGTGCCTGGCCTTTATCACCTTGGGGCATATCAACAACATCCTTCTAGTTCAACACAGAGAGTTCTTTTCTGTTCTTTCTGTGCTGGGTATTGGGCCTGGTGCGTGGGAAGCCTGTGCTCTATCACTGAACTACACCCTGCCCCAGTGTAATTCTTGTAAATAGCCACAAAATGCACTTTAGTATGTATGGACCATAAGTTTCTCTAAATGTTTTGCTATTATTGGATTTTAGGCTGCTTTATGTTTTCCCACCACTGTGGTAAACTAAGTAAACATTTTGTACTCGTATATTCACACATTTCTTACGAAGTAGCTCATGGAAGTGGAGTTTCTGAGTTAATTTTAATAGAAATGCCGGAATACTTTGCCATAAGGCTTTAGCAGTTCATATTTCTCTAAGCAGAATGAAAGAATCAAAAAGAATCGGTACATTTTTCTGTACCTAAACTTGCAAAACCACAGAAAAAGTGTTTTCCCATAGTATTACTCCTATAGGCCCATTAGAAAGTTACTTGCTACAGCCAAACCAGCCAACATTACTTTTGTGAAAGCCTGTTGATATTATGCCTCCTATTGCTTTTCAAGATGTGTTAGTTAATACCCCTTTATAAGAAACTTCAAAGGAGTTTTTAAACTTTTAGTCATTGTTGTGAGATGTTAATATGCTCTTATTAACTTGATCATAGTGTTCTCGGTGTTACCTGGTTAACGGAGTGCTTTAATCTTGGCAGGAAGTCGAAACCTACTTCTTCGAGGGTCTGCTGAAATGGAGAGAACTGAACCTTACAGAACACTTCGGTATCTTTTGTTTGTATTTTATTCTCCCACAATCAGTGCTTTTCCAAATAAGTAATGATGTGATAGAAAAGCAGAACATATTCCTTTTTTTTTTTTCTTTCACCCAGGAAAATTTTATAAAGAAGTTATTGACAAGTGCCAATCATTTAATCAGTTGGTCTATCATCAAAATGAGATCGTTCAGAGTTTGAAAACTCATCTGCAAGTTAAGAACAGTTTTGCCTACCAACCCCTTTTGGAGTAAGTAGTGTTTTGAGAAAAAGTTCGAAGGCATTTATCTGAGTTTTTAAGAAAAATTGTGTTTCGTAGCTGTATATGCCTTAGATTGCATGTTTGTAGTTTAGAGGCAGAAACTTACCTTGTCTGTTAGATGAGGATATCAGGAAGAAGTGCATTACTATGCAGCAGTGGCCTAAGAATACAGTGTTGCGTTTGTTATTTCCTCCTCAAGCCCCTTACTTTGACAATACAGGAGCAGGTAAGCACAGCCTGTGAAGGACTGTACCCTCTGACCTGATTTCTCTGTAGGACTCCTAAGATATGAAGAATTTTATACTTTTTAAAACTTGACTTTGAAGTAGTTTGGATTAATCTTAATTAATCTAGTGCTTATTGGTCATTTCTCATTAAGTAGATGTATAGCCTTCTTTAAAACTTCCCATAATCGGCTGCTTCTCTTTTAATCCAGCTTGGTAGTTCAGCTGGCGCGAGACCTGCAGACAGATTTCTACCCACACTTCCCGGACTTCTTCCTGGCCATCACCTCCATCCTGGAGACACAGGACACAGAGCTGCTGGAGTGGGCCTTCACCGCGCTGTCCTACCTGTACAAGTACCTGTGGAGACTGATGGTGAAGGACATGGCCCGGATTTACAGGTGGGTTTGCCTCTTTACCCTGTCCTCTGTCTGACTGCATGTGACCGCTCCAGCGTAATGCTGCCTCACTTCCTTGCAGGGAGCTTACTTGCTAGCCGGTCTCCCACTCTGGTCCACCTGTTGTGTCTGGGTGTAGCTCGAATCTGTGCTGACCTGACCTCTCTTCTGCAGCTCTTGAAATGATGCCACCCTCAAAGCCTGACTTCTTTGCTTCCATAACCTCTACAGATGCTCCTGGGCAACTACGCAGAAGCGAGCATGTGTGTGCCGCATCTCTTGGGCAGGTCCACCGCCTGCACGAAACTTTCATTGTGACTGTGTAGCGTACCGCTTGCCTTTTGCAAACCTGTGAGCTCTTCGTAAGATGGTTGGGTCTCTTGCACGTGTCCTCAGCTGCTGAGCTGAAAGAGAGCCCCTATACTTCTTGAGTACGTGTAGATACAGAGGACAAAAGATTCCTCAGTACTGGGGATCGCACCCAGGGCCTTCACACTGGCCCGCCTCCCCATTCCTTTTCTTATTTCCCATTTTGACACAGGGAAGTCATGAGTTGCCCAGGCTATGCTTGAAATGTCAGTCTTCCTGCCTCGGCCTCCCACAGTGCCCAGATTGTAGGCACGTGCCAGCATACCTCCCTCATAGTAGGTTTTTGTTTAAAGAAAAGATACTGTCTTTTTAAATCTTAGATTGGATGGAATTTTCCGTTGATCAGCAGTCAGCCCTGTCACACTGCAGACCCTGTTAAAGGTGTGGAATAGGATTAAACGACGATTTTGGTTTTGTGCCCCCTCTTCTCTGTGAGGAACTTTGGACAAAGAATGAGAAAGAAGTATTCTCCAGGCTTATTAGTTCTCTGTGAAGCTTTTGGTGAAATGTATTAGAAATCAAGATTATTTCAGTAAACAAACCACAGGTGCTTGAGAAATGTAGGTTTTTTTTGTTTTATGACATAAAAGCTGCCACTTCAGTGTCTCCGAGTCAGCTTCCTTCCTTCTGAACTTCTGGCTTTCAGTATGAGGCTTTTAGCAGCCCGGTATTTTCACTGAAGTGTTGTTGAAACTGAACTTCACACATCAGTGTTCAAACCAACTCTTGGCAACTTGCCCCATGTCCGTGTGCTCCGTGAGTGTGGACTGGGTGCCTGTCCGCGTCCGTGTCCAGCCCTGTCGGGGGCCCCTTTTCTGTCCGTGGGACCCGCGTTCCTCCTGTCTGGGCTCCTTGGAGACATCTTCAGCCCAGTTGTCTTCGGGACTCCAAGTCCTCTCACTGCTGTCTGTGTAAAGTGCTGGAGACCCAGTGAAATCTCTTCTCACAAAGATGGCGTTTTAGTCAGACGAGAAACCCACGGGTGTGGACCTGGCACTTTCGGGGGCAGAATGGGTGCACTGAGTGTTAGGCCTCGCCAGAGCAGCAGCAGGGAGGGCGCTGCCGTAGGGGCTGCGCTGTGCTGCGGACATGCCCAGAGCGTCTCCCGGGCGTGTTTCACCTGGTCGCTCTACTGCCGGTCTCCTCTTCTTCCTTGATCGCATCCTGTATATGTCTGCAAACATTTCTTCCTGAGGACTTGTCCTTCAGCTGGTGTGTCTAGCAGCTGTGAGTAAGGAGCTGCTAGGGACGGGGGCTGCGGCCGTGGTAGGAGAGCTGAGTGCTGTGCTCTTCCGTCACCAGGCAGGCTACTTCGGCAGTGTGAGTGGGCGGAATTGGCTGTCTGCTCTGGAGCAGGACGCCTACCCTCGGCGTGGCCTTAGCTGTAGGTTGTTGCGTAGAATTGTCCCGTTGATTAAGTGGAGGAACTCTGGAAAGACACAGTTGTAAGCTGGAGCCCAGGTTCCCCTGCCTGGGGTTTGGAGACACCTCCTACCACAGCTCACTTGTCTGCAGCTGCCCCCCTAAACCACACAGCCCCTCCTCTCTGACGCAGACTGCCTTCTTGTTGTCCTCTGCACCGGCCACCGCTGCCCACCCTGTCTATTCTCTCCTTCCTGCCCTCACACCATGCGCCTTGCCGCACCTGAACTCTTCTGTTCTTCGTGCTCACTACGAGTTTCAGCGTTTCAGGGGTCTCTCCCCTAAGCCCAGCCCCGCCTGCCTCCTGACGTCCGTGGGCTCAGTCTTCTGTCTGACGTGGGGCACCCTGGGAGGTGAGTGCAGTGCTGAGCTCTGCTGTCCCTGCTACACGCCCTGCCCATACCTCGCATGGTGTGGGGCATACCGTTGACACGCTAAGCATCCTTACTGATGTTGTATCACTAACCTGTCTTGTTTTTCTCATTTATAGCATGTACAGTACACTCTTGGCTCATAGAAAACTACATATAAGAAATTTTGCTGCTGAAAGCTTTACTTTTTTGATGAGAAAGGTCAGTTTGATATTTTCTGTGTTTGTTGCTAAATTGTCAAGAATCTGACGGGTAGAGCTGACATCGTTTTTTAATGTGATTATTATGGACTAAGTTTTTTTAAATATATATGAAACTTGCTGCTGTTCTGAGTTTGTCTCATTGTAAGGTTTAGTCCTTTCTCAGTACTTAATGTGATAAGGTGACACAACCCCTGTTACTGCTAGTGAGGTTTTGGTAGCTCTGTGTGTATGAGAAGTGACCTCCAAGTCAAGTCATAAATACATGAACATTGAGATGAATACGAGTTTTTGTAATACTTTCCGGGAAAGAAATGGTAGCATAGTATTATTTGTGTTTGTCTAAAATTTCCTGGAAATTTTAGGTTTTTGTAATAAAAGAAAACTGACAGTAAATTTCTTTTATGCTCATAAATACAAGTATGTTGTTTCTTTGAAAGACAGAATGTGGCCTTGTGTAGTTTTTTTGGTAATTCCCTTCCTATCTTACGAATAGATTTATCACTCATACATGACATTACAGAGCAGATTATACTTGGTGGTTTGAGATATAATACACGTCTCTTCCTTTCAGAATTTTTTTCCTTGAGGGTGTTTATATATGAGTATGTAGGATAAGAAATGAAATTTCTCACTTGGATATATTTATGTTGTAAATATTTTCCATTTGCATTGTGTGTTTTAGGTCTCTGATAAAAATGCCCTTTTCAATTTAATGTTTCTTGATCTCAATGAACATCCAGAAAAAGTGGAAGGAGTGGGACAGTTACTCTTTGAAATGTGCAAGGGCGTTAGGAACATGTTTCACTCCTGTGCAGGCCAGGTGAGCAATGGGGAGGAGCGCGTGGGGACTGCGTGGAGGGTGAGGGTTGGGCGGAAGCGAGAAGGGACTCAGGTGAGTGCCAGGGGACGGGGCGGCCTGGGGTAAAGAGGAAGCGCTAGCGGGCAGAGTTAGGGCATTGATGATAGTGTTGCCCTGTGCACCGTTGCATACAAAGTCACCGTGGTCTTCTTGACCCTGGATACCAGGAAGGTAGACTGTGGACTGACCAGTGGCTGAGGATAGGGAGGGAGCGGCAGCTGTGATGAAATTCCCATCCTAGTGTGGAAATTCCTTCTGGGACACGTAGTTAACCATGAGAGCGGCCATGGCCTCGATCATTGCCGCCCAGAGTTGAAGGTAGCTAGTGTAGTCCGAGTGTGGACACCCATAAGGAAGGGTTTCCACATCCCTTGTGTTTGTTCTTGCTTTCCCGCAGGCAGTGAAGCTAATTTTGCAGAAGCTGGGACCAGTTACTGAAACACAGACCCACCTTCCGTGGGTTTTAGTGGGGGAAACACTGAAACACATGGCCAGATCTGCTGTTGCCTATGTCTACAAGGAACATTTCGGTACATTTTTTGACTGTTTGCAAGTGAGTTCTCATTTTTAAAATCAAGTCATATGGGTGTGTGGTAAGGAGTCTTGTGGCTCCTGGAGGTTGTATTTTGTCGTCGCTCTCTGTATCCTTCTACCCGCATGGTAAGATCCCCTTCCTTCCCGCTCTGCACTCTTCTTCTTTGACACGAGAGGCTCTGGAGCCGGACCTGCGGCTTGACTCTCGGCTCCTCACTCCCTGCCTGTGTGACACCTGGGGGTGCTGTCCCTCCCTCGGGGTGCTGTGAGCATGGTGATGCCGCTCAGGGAACGCCACCATCAGTATCATCAGTGACTCCTGGGAAATGCGTCTTTTTCTCCCCGAGCAAAAGAGTGTGAAAAGTCAAGCTGCAGTCTCAGAGTTGGCAGTATGGGATGAACAGATGAGTTTGCCGTTTTATTTTCTCTGTTAAATTCTTCGTGTGCAGGAGTCACTCCTGGATCTGCATGACAGAGGAACGAAAAAGAACTCTTGCGGAAGTTCTGAGCAGATCCAGAGGTTGCTCGAGACGTACCTGATACTTGTGAGCCATGGGAGCGGATCCAAGATAAGCAGCCCCGCCGGTGTCTGTAAGGTGGGTCCCAGCCTCGTGCGCTCACGGCTCCGTGTGAAGAGCAGAGTGCTAACTGGGTGCTGCGATCTGCTTCGTTTTTTGCAGGTGTTGTCTCAAACAGTAACCGTAGCCAGTCTCTCCACGTCTTGCCGCAAGACGCTCTTGGATGTAATTTCTGCTTTGATCCTGGGTGGAAATGTTTCCTTGCCGGACACCCTCATCAGAGAAACCACAGAGAAAGTAATTTACCTCAGCCCATGAGAACTGAGCAGTTAGTACTGTGTTTAGCATCGCCTGTGCCTGCTAGGGACCCATGGGGGGGATAGAGGCCCCGCTTCAGGGTATTTATCGTCAGTTAGGGAGGCACAGGTGGCATGCTGTGCTGGAAATCACTGAATAAAGTGGGAAAAGCTGAATCTGGTCAGTATTCAGCGAGTGTGAGCGCTCCCAGTGCTGGGGGCCAGTAGGGCCCTGGGGGCTGCAGATTTTGTTGTTAGGAGGGGGATCTGGGGAGAGTCATTGCGTCTAGGGAAGCGAGCTACTAGACACGTTGAATTTGACCCTTACGTCTGTCAGGGCTTGAGCAACAGAAAGCTTTCCCAAGTACTCATGTTTGTGAGAGTCCTTGGGGGTTCTCTAGCCATCTCCTAACCCCAGGAGAGGGACAGGGAAGTTGTGGTGAGGAATGTGTGTGGTCTGTGATGGGAAAGCGTCCATCACTGCGCTTTCCAATGCTGGCATGGGTTTATCCTGCAGGTTGTGCAGGGGCCGGGAGGAGTCTAAGCAGGGTCATAATTTGACAAGATTTTGTTTCAGTGCATTTGGGAGATGGTTTGAGTGACACGGGATTGAAAATGGAAAATCGGCTGGCCATAGTGGCACATGTACATGATCCCAGCACTCAGGAGGCTGAGGCAGGAGGATCACTGTGAGTTCAAGGCCAGCCTGGGCTATGTAGAAAGTTCAAGGCCAGCCTGAACTACAGAGGGAGACCCTGTCTCAAAAAACGCAAAAAAAAGAGAAAGAAAGAAAACAGAAAGTCATTTGGGTGCTTCCTGGCTTGACAAAGTACAGCCAGGCCCCTTGGGAAGGATCACAGTCACACCCCGTGCACTTTGTCGTTCTCTGTAGCGCTGGGCAGCTTCCGGCCAAGCCCGGGTAGCGCTGACAAGTGTGGCCTTTGCGTGCAAGTCCCCGGAGGAGGCCAAGCCTTTCCCATGGTGCCACATGAAGTGGCCCGAGCCCTGCTGCAGCCGCTCTTCGGGGGGATGAGGAGAATACTGTCTCTGTGCTTCCTTTCACGTACTTCTACCTGTGATCCACAGGTTTTTGAGAGCGGATTGGAAAGACGTTTAATCTTTGATTTTTCTGAAGTCATGTTTGCTATGAAGCAGTTTGAGCAGGTAAGCAAAATACTAAGTTTTGGGTGTTTTTTAAAAGTCAGTAAAATAATCAAATTTGAAATCTTCAGGTTTTCTTGCTTCTTGAGAAGATCAGAATTATTGCTGATGGTTTTAGTCAGTTTCTTAAAGCATGTTCGATTTGAGGATGTGGGCAAAACTTCCATATGCCAAGGCATTTAAAGTGATACGCAGTAGGCAGCCTGTTTTTTAATAATAGTTGAGCTAGTTACAGAAGCATGTGGAAAAACTGGAGAAGCACTTTAATAAATGGAACAATTAAGTGAATTGGAAGCATAGAAAGTGTTCCCGAATTAGCTTGCGCTGAAGGAGGGCTGCATGCTTTTTTCACTGTTTATTTCACTGCTGCAAACACACCCCTGGTGTAACAAAGTAGAAGCGGATCTCGTGAAAGGAGGAGTGTGCTCCCCCGCCGCCCCCCCTGAACAGTGGCCACCCCTTCTTCCTTTTGGTCTCTAATAGTATGTGCTCTGATTTGACTTCCAGAACACACCCGCTGTCTTACTTGAGTCAGGTTTGTGTGTGCGTGCGTGTGTGGTTTAAAACAGTCCAGCAAGGCTAAAGCTGTGGTCGCGTTCCACTCCCATCTCGGTCACCAGCAGCGTCCTCACGGAATGATCTTTAGCTGTTTCTTCCCGGTATTTACTTTCTACCTGTCATCTAAATAAGCTACTTTTCTTGATTTATTGCTTTTAGTCTTTCTTTGTAGACTGCCTCCTACGTCAGGTGGGTTTTAGTTCTTTTATACTGATCATCCCAGCAGAGCTGTGTGACAGAATTTGGTTGAATCCGTGTTCACTCCGTGTTCAGTGTTTATGGAAGGAGCACTTAGGGTTCGTGTCCTTCTCGTGTGCCTGTCCCCTCTCCTGCGCTTCGTACACCACCTCACCCTTTAAGCCCTGGGGAGTGGATCACACTCGGTCAGTGAGTGTCCCCTGACAGCGTTGTGCACACCTTTCACGCGGCAAAGCCTCGGAAACCGAGCAGCGCAATTGTTGGTTGGTTTGTTTTCTTTGCTTCTGTGAAGACGTCTCTCCAGAAATAATTCCCCCCTGGAGGGTTTTCTTTCTCAAACCACTGCCCAGATGTCAAAGGAGGGTACCCTTTGCCTTCTTTCCTGTTTGCTGGATCCCACCTGCCCCTCTTGATGTAGTTTACTCTGTCACTTTATAGAAACACATTTTTCAGAGCTCCTGAGAAGGTGAGTGGAGGTAAGAACTTAAGGTTTGATACACCTAAAAATGCCTTTTTTCTCTCTATACAGTACTTTAATTGAGGGTTGGGTGTGGAAATCTACATTCTGTTTTTAAGCTATTGCTGCATTGCATTGTCTTCTAGCTCTTTGGTTGATTAGTTGGTTTTTTGTTTGTTTGTTTCCTTTTGTGGTACTGGGAATCAGACTCAGGACCTGGCACTTGCCAGGTAGGTGCTGTGCCGCGGCGCTATATCCCTGGCTCTAGCTTTCATTATTGTTGTAGAGGGTTTTAATAACACTGTGATTGCTGAAGGTTTTTTTTGTTTTGTTTTGTTGGGGTAATGGGAATTGAACAAGAGCTTTACCTTGGAGCCAGACACCTAACCCTTTTAATTTTTTTATTTTGAGACAGAGTCTCACAAAATTGCACAGAGTGCTCTTGAATCTGGCAACCCTCCTGCCTCAGCTTCCTGAGTAGCTGAGGTTAGAGACATACATGGCCGCTTACTTTTTTCAGAAGTGTGTAATCAAGGCTGGCTGTAGTGGCTCACGCCTGTAATCCCAGCACTTGGGAGGCTGAGGCAGGAGGATCATTGCAAGTTCGAGACCAGCCTGGGCTTCAAAGTGAGCTCAAGGCCAGCATGAAGTGCATAAGGAGAGCCTGTCTCAAAAAGACAAAAAAAAGGGTGTAATCTTCTTTATTAGGTATTCTGGAATCTTCCCAGTCAGTAAATGTGGTTTCCTTTCTTGTTTTCAGCTTTTTCTGCCTAGCTTTCTCACATACGTTGAGGATTGCTTCTTGGCTGATGACGACGTGGCCCAGGACGAAGCCCTGGCCATCCTTGCCAAGCTCATTCTGCATAAAGCAGCGCCTCCCACTGCCAGCTCCATGGCGATTGAGAAGTACCCTCTGCTCTTCTGCGCAGGGACCAAGCGGTGAGTGCTGAGCCCGACCCTTTGACAGGGCCAGCAAGCCGGTTAGTACCATGTGGCAGGAGGGCCGTGGGAATGAAGGCTGTCTGCATCAACCGGAAGGACGTCCAAGATAAACGCTGCGTGGGGAAGGCGGTTGCAGGGCTGTACACATGGTGTGCATGGGGTGACCCCATTTTGCACGGTTCAAGGTGTAAAACAGGCATGGAAAAGCAGGGAAGGAGATGCAAACCTGTAGACTTCGCTTATACCGGAAGAGCAGGTGGGAAGAACTATTTTAAAATAATTGAGGTCCATGTGCACGTGCAATGCAAGGAGTGCAGAAAGCTGCCCTGTTCCTGCTGGCACCATGTTGCGTAAATGCACTGCAGTGCCCACTAGCCAGAAAACAGGCCTCGGTACAGCCCGCCGCCCTCACCCTCACCTGAGTGGGTGTGCACACGCGGATAGGTGTCCTGTGCAGTTCTCCCGCCACCAGCGTGAAGACGGCACTGTTTGTTCACCGCAGGGATCGTCAGGCCTTTTTTTTCCCTTTGTTTTTTGTAGTAGGGTTAAAGCTAGGGCCTTCACACGAGGTTGAGCTACATCCTCAACCTTTTAAAAACAATTTTTTTGAGACAGTCCCACTGAGGTGCTGAGTTGCCCAGGGCAGGCTTGAGCTTGAGTTCCTCCTGCCTCTGCTTCCCAGTGTGCTGGGATTACAGACATGTACTCCCAGGCCCGGCTGTATCAGTCTCTCTGTCATCATACTCGCTGTTCCACTCCCCTCTATCCTCAACCCCTCTCACCTTCTACTCTCTCCATCTTTAAGACTCTGTCACTCTGAGAATATTATGTAAGTGGAATTACAGCGTGTACCCTTTGGGTTGACTCTTTTCTTTGAGACTCATCCAAGTTGTGTGTGTCAGTAAGTTCATTGCTTTGTGATGCTGAGGACTGTTCTCTGCTGTGAGTGTAGCATGGTGTATTTAATCTCTCGCAGGACATTTATATTATTTCTGGTTTTAGGCTACTGTGAGCAACAGTGTTGCTGGCTTATGTGATGGGCATGTGGTGAGTTTCATAAGAAGTGCCAGAGTGCTTGAGCCATTCACATTCTCACCAGCGGTGTGTGAGCGATCTGGTTTTTCTGTGTCCTCCTAGCTTGTGCAGTTGATTCTTTTTCTCCCAGCTCAACAGAGGTGCAGTGATGTTCATATTTTAGCTTTAATTTGCATTTCCCTAATGGCTTATCACATTGAAACATCTATTCGTGTACTTCTGTCTGCCTTCTGTAGTGAAGTATCTGCTTGTTCTGCAGCATATTTCCTAACTGGATTTTTTTTTTTTTTTTAATTTATTTGAGGCAGGATCTCACTATATAGCCTAGGCTGTGTTTCAACTCACTTTGTAGCCCAGGCTGGCCTCAAACTTGTGATGATCCTCCTGCCTCAGCCTCACAAGTGCTGGGATTACAGGCTTGCGGCACCACCCCCGGCCTCTTAACTGGATTGTTTTGTTTTTCTTTTTACTGTAGAGAATGGTTCAGATGTACAAGTCTCTTCAGCGGATAGGTGCTTAACAAATACTTTTTCCTCTGCAGCTTATCTTTATTCCCTTAACAAGGTTCTTCTGGGAGAATAAAGTATTCAGTTTTGGTGAGGTCCTGATTATCACATTTTCCTTCTCTAGATAGCCCGAGGTCGCAAGGATTTGTACTTAGTTTCTTTCTGAAAGTTGTATTTTTTGTTTTGCATTTTAAGACCCTGAAACGCTGCGAGTTAATCTTTGTATAAGGCTTAAAGTTTAGTCGAGAAGTTGTTACCTGTGGAAGTTGTTCTCATGAAGCAGCTGCCGCACCTTTGGTGGCCTTGTGTACTTGTCAGAAATCGGCTGGGGGTGTGGGGGTCCGCTTCTGGGCGCCCCTCTGCTCACTGACGGATGTGTCTCTACTCCCTCCTTACCACACTGTCCTGCTGCTCTAGCTGTAAGGTGTACAGTAAGTCTGGGAATCTTTAAATGAAAATCTTCTCACTTTATTCTTCTTTTTTAAAATTGTTGTAGCTATTCCTGGTCCTCCGCCTTTCGGTAGAAATTGTCGAATAAGCCTGTCTGTCTGTAGAAAGCCTCCCTGGGGTTTTGCTGGGAATTGCGTTGATCACTTTCATGAGACGTGACATCTCCATCTCCCCATGGATACACAACACTCTGCTGATGTCAGGAGATTGGTAAGGGGAAGGAATAAGTGACCAGATTTTCAAATTTCACGCTTTTACATTAAATGGTCGGGAGGGCCATGGGTTGCCTTTTCCATTTCATTCAGAGCTACGGTGTACCTAGTAGGGTTTGGTTAAGTCCGAGAGGACTGGGCTCACACGTGCCGCGTGGTTGCCCGGGTGCGCCGGGAGGCGGTCGCTTGGGAAGCCAGCTCCGGTCTGCCCGGGGCTTGCGTGTGACTTATATCTGCTGCGTTGGTCAGACCCGGTGCTGTAGGGTGCTTTGCTTTGAGGCGGCAGAAGTAGGCGGGTGTCCTGGAGGCTGCTGTGTGCTTAGCTTTAACTTCACAGCACTGCTTGTGGTGGGAGCATCGTCCCCACTGTCACAGGCAGTTCGCTGTGGCATGTGGTCAGCTTGAAGCTCTGGGGGACTGGGCTGTCACGCGTTGTTTTCTCCTGCCTGCCTTACGAGTGCCTTCCCCACCGACTCACGCCACGAGTGGAACCGACTGTAGCTGCAGAAGGGCGGTGAGCAGCCCCGGTGAAGTCACCCCAGGCCCTCTCCTCTGGGTGGTACAGTCCTGGCCATGCGCCAGCAGGCACCACCTGCCCGTGGCCCTGTCCGGGGCCTGGGCCCGGCCAGGGAAGCTGCCTGTGGGTGGCTCCGAGGTGAAGCCCCAGGACAAATGATGCTCGCCTGTCACCACACCCTGTCAGACGTCAGGGAGGCGGTGTGGTACGGTGACAGTAAATGTCGAGGTGCGCACTCACGGCAGGTGCTGCCGCTCCCCGTCTTTCTGAGGGCAGCACCCACCCACCCCGTGCCCGGGACCCAGTGCGGTGCATGCCCGCCTTCGTCCGGATTTCCTCTGCGAGGGCTTTTCCGTCCGAGTTTGAGCTTTCTTACTAACATGCCGTCCGCCCATTTCTTGAGCTTGTCCCAAGCAGAGTGGGAGCTGACGTAAAAGTGCTCTTCAGGAGCGTGTCCTGTCGCTGACGCGTACCTAGGGTGTTGGCTGTGTTCCGGGAATGCGCGGAGCAGGGTCCTCCTTCAGGGGGCAGGGTGCAGAGGGCAGGCGCCGGCCGGATTTACACCGCGATGGAGAGGAAGGAAAGCGTGTGTCCCGGAGAGGGAAGCGGGCGCTTGCCGCCCCTCCTCGGGTGCCTGGTGTGGTTCGCGGCTGTTGGTTGAGTGGAAAGGGTCAGTCTTGCAGAGTCCTTCGGAGACTTTCCAGGCGGGGGGAGCACTCCCGTGAGGCTCTGGGTGGCGGGAAGCACTGGACGGGCGCTGCGGGCCAGGCCCTCTGTGCGAGGAGGACGTCAGCCGGGGAGGGCGGGAGCCCGGCAGGCCAAGCAGAGGAGGCGGCGTCCTCGGCGGGGCTCACTGGCAGCAGTGCTCGGTGACTCCCTTTCTGTGCAACACAGACCAAGGCCAAAAGACGTCGCAGTACGTCAGGTGAGGCCGGGAGGAGGTCACTCACATTCTCACCGTTTCTGTGGTGTTCATCATTTTCACAGCAGCACTGCGGCCTCATTCTGCATTTGGGAAGTCAGGAAAAAAAAGGGAGTGGCCAGGTGTGGTGCACGCCTGTAACCCCAGCACTCAGGAGGCTGAGGCGGGAGGATCACTGTGAGTTCAAGGCCAGCCTGAACTACCAAGTGAGACCCGGTCTCAAAAAACAAAAAAAAAGGGGGCAGGGAGTGGAAGAAGCTCCAGTTTTTAACACACAGTGGAAAGGTAATGCCTACACCTGAAGAAACTAGTTATGAAACAAATTAGTGCAAATAGGATTAGAGCCAATAGAGTTGGAAGAGCCTGTCACTGAAATCAGGAAAGGACCGCGTGGGGGGTATTTATCATCAACCTGCTCCCCCCCCTGCACCCATGCCCCTCAACGACGGGGGACTGGTGTCATTTCCAACATGAGAGGGCAGCAACCATTCTCTCCTCTGAGTACTTTATCTTTTCCTTCTTCAGATCCCACTTAAGGCAGAAGACGAGATCCAAGGAAGAAGAGCAGCGATTTCCAGTATTGGACCATCTCTTGTCTGTCATTCAGTCGCCTCCAGATAAAGATACAACTTCCCTTTCGCGGTCGTGGGCCGTGCTCGTGGTGTTACCACATGTCAGGTACGCCAACCAGGCGTGCCGCGGGAGTCGGGCGGGGTCGGCTGTGCGCCGGGCTTTGGGGAAGTCGTTGAACACCTTGCGCCCTTCCTTGTCTCTCTGCACCTTGGACAGACCCCTTGAGAAGGAGCGGGTGCTTCCGCTGGTGTCGTGCTTCGCGGAGGCGCTCTTCAGGACTGTGGACAGCGGGAGCTTTGGGCGAGGTCAGTCATGGTACTTCTGACAGGGGGAGTAGAGCTAATATTGTGTCCTGGCACTGCTCCTCGCGTGATACATAAATACAGTGGGAAAAGGACAGTGAGCTGGGCGTGTTGTGTACTGCGGTGACCCGGTCAGCTGCTTGACAGTACTGCATGGACCACCCAAGGCCAGGCCCCATCCTGCGCCTTGCTCACCTCCCGTGCCTGCCCCACCCCGGGATGCAGTTGTTTCCATTTGCTTACGCAGAGCTGAGCAAGGCCGCCTTTGGAGGTATGTTTCTGCTGCCTGGGGACTTTCTAAGTCTTTGTCATAAGTGACCACTTAGGTGTTACGGCAGAAATTCCCCTGGCATAAGTTGGGCTGTATTCCACAAGAGACCAACTCTATTGAGAACAAACCAGAGCTTATTTTAATTGGAGGCTAGCCACCCTTCCTCCCATTTGCCAATCAGGGAAGTGGGCAAGTGGGACTAACTTCATTCCACCTTATATACGTTTTGGTTTCCATGGTAACAGATTGGGATGTTACATTCGCAGACCCTGGTGGCTATATGGTCTTTGTCTTATCCTGTGGGACCCCAGGTCAGTTGCAGGTCGCATGTCTAACCATGATAGATGTTTCTCCCATTATGCTCCATTTGTCTCCTTTTTTACAACCTATGCATTCCTTTAAGGTTACAATGTTGGCCTAGGGCCAGGAGATGGAACTGCGCAGGCAGGGTCACGGAGGGTTACCTAGGCCTAGGCGCCCCTTATCTCCAGGAGACATTCCTGGGCAGAGCTGATCTAGGGAATTAGCTATTACACTATCCCGGGAGGCTTCCCAAGGCACCATTTCAGCTTTTACTAAAACTATTTTATCTAAAATAATATGCTAAGGTTCACTGTCCCGTACATAGGTAGCTTTGAGAATTCAGCATGGGCACAGCCCATGTAGAAACCCTTCCTGCCTCCTCCGGGCAGGCTTAGGCCGCCCTGCCTCAAGCCCCACTGCCTGCTGTATGCTTGCACCTTTCCCGAAAGCCCAAGAACAGCAGTTCCCAGGCAGGTACTGGGCTCTGTCTTACCACAGTCTTCGCTCCCGACATGTGCACTGGAATCACTCATTCACTGAAATACTGATATGCTCTACCCCAGAGATACTGAGCAGGTCCCTCCGAGGAAACCAGGCTCCCCCGTGTTAGGTGTCATCTCAGGTGCTAATGTCTACCGTATTGGATTGTGGCATGGGGATTTTTATCATTGCTGAGATTTCTGTTGGACAGCATTGGTCTAACACCTACAGCAGGGCTTGGCAAAAGAACCAGATTGTATGTATTTCAGATCTTGGACTACATTTTATTTTTGTGGTGGCTGCCCTATGCTCTATTAGTCCTTCAGAAGGTTAAAAACATTGTCAGCTTTCAGGGCCTAGAAAAATAGGCCACCTATTAGATCCAACTTGCAGGCCACAGATTGCTGGCCCCTGGGCTAGAGATTAAATGAGTAATTATTTTTAACTGGGTATGTATTATTAGATAGTAGCTATTGGGTATGCAACTTCTTATGAATAACATCACTATGAGTTGTATACAGATCATTTAACTTTCACAAAGTCCACGTCTGCCCTCATCAGAAGTTAGATTGTGGGTAGTGCCGGCAGGCAGAGCTAATACGCAGGCTGAGCAGTGCTCAGGACCAGGGCTGGTTCCAGTCTCAGTACTTCTCCATTATAGATGATTTGCATGGACTTCACTGGTTGACCATCCCTAATTTAAAAACCCTAAATCAGAAGTTCTCAAAAATCTGAAGCATCTCGAGGAGCCTAGCAATTCTTAGAAAGTTTCAGGTTAGGGATACTCAACCTGTACCTCATCTTTCAATGGCCTGTAGATTTTTATTCTCTCCAGAATGTGTGTTCCTTTTGAGAAAGATAAAATACAAGACCTGGGCACTTGTGTTTTCTATTTTACTCAGATGTTAGACAGACAGTTGGTTTTTTTTTGTTTTGTTTTGCTTTGTTTTGTTTTTGAGACAGGGACTCGCTGTGTAGTTCATTTTGGCCTTGAGTTCACTGTGTAGCCCAGGCCAGCCTTTAACTCGTGGCAGTCTTCCTGCCTCAGCCTCCCAAGTGCTGAGATTATAGCCATGGGGCACCACGCCTGACCCAGATAGTAAGAACTTTCTGTAACTAACAAGTGTTGGATAAATAAGATGTTTTGATAGTCAAGTCAAAGAAGTAAGTAGTGTGGTTCCCCCATTTTTCTGCCTTAGGAAACTTATTTGTTCTCTGTCAAGCCGTAAGTACGCTGCTAAGTTTGGAAGACTCTTCTGCACCTCTCCATCTGGTTCCCGTGGAGCGAGTGAAGAACTTAGTGTTGTAAGTAGACAGCTTCCATTTTGCTTCATCGTGGATAAAATATAAAAGCCTTTGAGACTGTGAAATTAGAGATGTAGTAAAAATCCTGATCTGTTCTATACTTGAGTTGTGTTCACATAGTGATCCTTAATATTGGTACTTGGTACTTGGTCAATAAGTACTATTTTGGACAGTCTTTAAATACAGCGCCGTTCCTACCATCTTGTGAAACTCTGTTGTTTTATCTAATAATTATTTTTTTATTCTCTTTAATGGTTTGATCAATCTTCCATTCTTGTATGTGGTAATCTGAGCAGTGTAGTTGAAGGTAGCAGTATGTAATATAACAACCACTGTTAATTCCTATCATTTTGTTTTGAAACCCTGTATCACTTTTAATGTGCTGGCTTTATTTCATTTACGTCTGTGGTGTTGGTATGTTGCTAGTGTCCTTTCTGGTGCCCGTCCCCTGGCAGGGCCTTCCCGGCAGAGCCGTCTGTGTTGCTGCTGGCCGACCTCTATTACCAGAGGTTATCCTTCTGTGGCTGCAGAGGGCCGCTGTCTGAGGAGGCGCTGATGGAGGTGCTCCCCAGCTTACAAGCCAACATCTCGACCGGCGCATCCAAGGTGACATGTGGTGGGCGCGGTCCCCGTGTCTGCCTGCTCCCTGTGCAACCACAGCGGGCGCAGGGCCCCCGAGCCCCGAGCCAGGAAGGGCTGCAGTAGGGCGCTGGCCTGCTGACGCCCTGCAGCACCGTGAGCGGGATTCACGAGAGACGAACCTGCATCCCCACCCCCAAGATTTGGGCTCAGTGGGGTTAGGGCTGTGCTGAAAATGTCAGTTTCTTAAAGCCCTGTAGATGACTCTGTTGCCGATTGAAGTGTATGGAAATCCCTGAGTGTGTTACTTAAGAGTGAAAAGCATCACAGTTCGAGTCCAACTGCCAGCTTACCCGGTGCTTTGCACTTACTGCAGAGATGCTTCTAGTGTCAGAGAAACGAGGCAGTGCGCTGGGCAGCCGGGCACTCTCGTCTCGTCTGGTGCTGGATGTGAAATAAAGGCAGGATAAGCATGCTTTGCCCTGGTCAGGCGGTCCCCTTAGTTCTGTAACACTCGGCTCTCACTCTTTGTAATCACTTTCTTCCTCCATTTCGGTGTTGTAACTTGAGGTGTGCCTTTTACTTCCTTTAGATTCGGCTTTTGACGATAAGAATCTTGAACCATTTTGATATCCGGCTTCCAGAACGGATGGAGGTATTTCAACTGTTTAAGTGGGTAGTTTTTTAAAACTACAAGTTTACATTTCTGTTCTTTTAGTTTCTGAAATGATATCTTTGCAGAAAATAAGCACACTATATAACTGCCTATCGTAAATTTTTTTTTCCTATGATAAAATTTGATAGTTTTTGAATTCTTATTCCCACCCACTATGGCTACTAGGGAAAATCCTCAGATACTTGGTGCATATTCTTTCAGAAGTTTTGGATGCACATACATAATTTAAACAGACATTATCAGGGAGTTTTCCAAGCCAGTCACCGGCTTTACCTCCTGTCTTTGATGTCTGAATAGTGTCCCATGGTTTACAGCACCTTCCGTACCCACGTCCCTGCTCGTGGGTGCTGCGTAGCTTGCAGGGAGCCTCCTTGCACAGACTCCTCCATGTGGGGACGGCCCCGTGACTCGGTTGTGCTGTGGAGCTGTGCGTGCATTGCCTTCACCTCAGGAGATGTTGCTAATCAATTTGGGGCATTTTGAGAATCACTCTTCTGCTTACTTTGCATTTCTGTGCTGAACACTGAACCTGCGCCGTTTACCAAAAGTGTTCCTTCCTTCATTTAAAATGGTAGCATCTTCCTGTTCTGTCTGCTTTGGGCTCTTAGTCACATTTGTTATTTCTGGCAAGCAACCCTGAGCTGCCCGCGCCTTGTCGCCTGCAGGACGACGTGCTCTCGGAGCGGCCATCCGCCTTCGCTGTCCTGCGCCAGGCGGAGCTCGTCCCGGCGACTGTGAGTGACTACAGGGAGAAGCTGCTTCACTTGAGGAAACTGAGGCACGATGTGGTGCGCACCACAGTCCCCGATGGGCCGCTGCAGGAGGTAGGAGCAGTCCTTGTCCTTGTTTGTTTGCGTCCTTCTTAATTTGCGTTTTGAGTCTTGTTTGGGGAAGCATACTAAATAGCTACCAAGAAAATTTGTTTTTACACAGAGTCACTATCCACTTCTCGGCGCTTTGAGCTCAGTGGCTCTGCCAGCCTTTTGAACAGTAGAAATAACTTAGCATCTCCTTTTTGAGCAGGGAAAGGATGGCCTGCAGCAACTGCAGTCTCGGTTCGTTTTATTGTTTTCCTTGGAGGAACAGGAAGTCGACACTGCAGTTTTTCCCTTGGGGCTCTGTGCTGTTTGCTGTGAGTGACAGCTTAGCGCATGCGCGTGTTGACGTGTAAAACCTGACTGTTGGCGGTGAACTTCATCAGCCTTCGACCCCTTAGGGTTTGCGTAATAGTGCACATAAACTCTTACCAAAAATTCGTTTTTTAAACCAGTTTGTTGCTGTGACAATTCTGAAATGCAGATTCTTGTCTCGAAAATCGGCTTTATGGAGAGGGATGTAAGTGACTGGACCAGGGTGTGTCCCGGAAGTGCATGCGTGGAGAGACACAGACGGAGGCTGAGGGCTCCTGGGCCCCTTGTGCAGCGCTTTAGGGAGCGTTGTTGAGGTTGCCCAGGGCCGTGGGCGTGCCGGTGCACACCTGGGATGTCCGCACCTTGGAAGGCTGAGGCAAGCAGTCCACAAGTTTGAGTCCCACCTCAGTAACTTAGCAAGACTCTGTCTCAAAATTTAAATTTAGAAAAAAGATTGCCACAGTCAAGGGCTGGCTCGGCACTGGCTGAACCTGAAGCGGTTCTATGACCAAGTTCCCTTAGCTGTGAAAATTACAGCCTCTGACTCACGGAATTCCATGGTAAATATCGGATGCGGGAACGGCGCCTGACGCCCGTAAGCCCTGAGCAGGAGCTGTTGCAGTTATTCAGTTGGATATGTTAGCAAACACCACTTGTGACTGGGGGCTGCTGATGTAAAAGTCCCCCTCCGACTTCAGGGGACTCACAGTGTCGAGGACAAGAAAGACCAGAAAATACCACTGCTCTGTGGTGGGACAGCTTTGTGATACCTGTGTGAGCACGTTCAGGAGGGACTTCTGGGAGGGCCGCGTCAGGATAACCCCCTAGTAGAGAGGAGGAACGCACGCGGGGGCGAGGGCTGGGAGGGTGGTTCACTGGGGGAAACTCGGGGCTAACATGGTGGGGACGTCCTGGCTGGGGTTAGGGGCCCATGACAGGGACTAGGCTGAGTTTGGGGCTCCTGATGTCCCCGTCCTGTCTCGGTCAGCTAAGAGTCGGAGTTGTTGACTCGTTTCTGGTGATGCCTGTGAAATCCGGCGTCGCGGGTGAGAAACGTCTTCCCAGCGCTTCCTGTAGCACTGAGGGTTGGGCTTGTGTGTCTGGGGGCCGTGGGGCTGTGTGCTTGGGCTTACGGAGGCTCGCTGAGTGCTAGTGGGTGATGCTCTTTTCCCTTAATGCACTCACTAGATTGTATTATGTATTTCTCAAGGGATTTAGGTCTTGGAATCATCTGAGCTCCACAGAGTAGGTTTTATTTGAAAATTGTTCATAGAATAAGGGCATGATGTAGTTACTGTGTTCATACCTCTGCAGCCTCCTAGGAACGCAAGTGTGTGTTACATCCCCTGAGAGCAGCTGACGAAAACGTGGTCCTTCCGTGGCAAGGTCCATTTTGTACTATGGTGGGCTTGGTGGCCACCATTTAGAAAATTAGTTGTTTTAAAATCATCCAAAAGTAAAGCAGTACATTTTCTAACAAAATAACTTCGAAAGTGAAGTCTCAGCTGTTTTCCTCATTGTTTTCTTGGTTTGTGTATCTCAAGTTTCCGTTACATGAACAGTTAGGAATTTTCCTACTTTTAGTGAAGTCTAGTAATTTCAGTCTTAAAGAAACTGAAAAGGTGCCTCTTAGTTATTTACTGTTACTTTTTATTTTTTTGCCCAAAGCAACACAGAATTTATCAGTGCTTCTCAGTTTTGCTCCTTAAAACTGTATGCCAAATTTAAAACAAAAATTCTAGATTGCCTGGGCATGATGGTGCATGCCTGTAACCCCAGTATTTGGGAGACTGAGACAGGAGGATCGCTGCAAGTTCAAGGCCGGCCTGGGCTACATAGTGAAGCCCTGTCTCAAAAAAACCCAGAACCCTAGGTTGTCTGCTGTCCTACGAGAATACCCTGCAACTACATGATGCTTTATGCTCTTTAGAACGTTATGCCCGTTTTATGCATACGGAGCTCGAGGCTCAAGGGCGTCACAGTGCTTTGCTGGAGGTTATAGACCAGCAAGTGTTTCAGAGTGGGAACTTCAGCCTGCATAGCGTGCTTCTGAGTCCAGGGCTTGAAAATGAATATAACTCTGTTTCGTTTCCCGAGATAGAAGATAGATTTTTATATCGGTTATCAACTGATCAGAGGTGAAGTTACTTCAGCCAGTTTGCCCTGCATGTAAAGTTAGGCTTGCTTGTTCTTCAGATCCCTTTGTATGACTTTCTGTGTCGCATAGCCTCGAGGGAGCTGTAGGTTATGCTCTAAATAATTGGCTGGGCTTTACGGTTCAGAGAATGGCCGTGAAGTAGATAATAAAAGCGGATGCTTTCTGTTTTCACGGTGCCCCGCGGAGCTGGGCCGTTAACTGTGTTCCTTCACGGAGGAGGACACTGAGGCCCAGAGGGCGTTACGTCTGTCCGAGCTCGCACAGCACGTGGCTGGCGGAACGGGGCCGCGGTGTGTGCTGTTAGCACTGCGACCCGCTGCCTCAGTGTAGGCTTGGGTAGAGGGCACGGCTCACACGGCAGAGCCTGGGAAGCAGGTGGCAGTCGTGTTTGACTCGGTTTGGTGTTTACAGTGTGGCCTCACGTCCAGTCCCGGTGAGGTCAGCAGTCGTGTGTGGCGGCAGGAGGGCTCCATGTCAAGGTCTTTGCGCTCACATCCACCGCAGCAGCACGTCCGCCCTGTGCTCGTACCAGGTTTCCGGTGCACGGTGGCAGGTCACCCTGGCCCAGCCCCTTCAGGAGCAAGGCCCCAGGCGGCTCCCCTTCCGGGCAGCATCCTCTGTGGTGCTGTATTTGGCGTGGGGGCCCGTGCCAGAGCACATACTCAACGCAGTGAGTACGTGCCCCTCGGCCGGCAGTGGGGGTGTTGGTGGTCAGATGTCTCTCTTCTTCCGGCTGCTGTGGAGGCAGGAGGGTCGCAAGTTCAAGGCCAGTCTTGGTGACTTAGCAAGACTCTCTCTCAAACATAAAAAGGGCTGGGGATGTAGCTCCAAGGTACAGCACTTGCCTAGCATGCATGAGATTTGAACCCCCACACCCAATACTATAAAAAATTATAAAAAGAAACTGTTAGATCCTCTGCACTGGCCTTTTTGAAAGTATAGTTTTGAAGACTCACTCCAGGCAGGGCACTTGCCTGGCATGTGCAAAGCCCTGGGTTCAGTCCCAGAACTGACAAGTGCAGCTTCAGCCGCCGTTCACAGGTGCTCTTCTAGGTCACGAGCGTCCGCACGGTACTGACTGCCGGGAGCAGGTGTTCGTTAGGGTTGAGGGGACATCTGGAATGACTTCACATGCTGTTTGTTGCAGTGGTTCCTCTGTGTAATTGTGGGTGATGTTTTCGGAAAAGGAGGAAGGTGATTATACGCTGAGGTTTGGATTGGTCCCTACAGCTTTTTTTCTTAATATGCAAGCTTCTTTCCAAACCCTGCGTTGTCCAGGCTGGGGCGTCTGGTCTCAGCACTTGCGCCCTGTGGTCTTCATAGCTCACTGCCCACTTTCTAAACGGGTCCCCTGTGCTTGCAGGTGCCCCTCCGGTACCTGCTGGGCATGTTGTACGTCAACTTCAGCGCGCTCTGGGAGCCCGTGATCGAGCTCATAAGGTAGGCCGCTCTGCTGTGACTGCACACTCCTGCTGGGTGGTTTGGGTGGGTGAGTGCCTTCATGGGACAAAGGTGAAGAAAAGTAAACTGCAGTTCAGAGTTGTATGTAAACCTCTGTGCGCATTGAAATGGCTTTGGAGGACTTTCTTTCCATATGTGATGCTTCTACAAAAAGGTGTATTCTGATAATGTCACACTTTCATTTACATATGTTGAGTCGTTGCACCGGGCTTTAGAACTGAGGGGCTTCTCCAAACCTTTGCTGTCTAATGTACAAAATCCCTTAGTGAAGGTCCCTCTACCAGGGTGTGACTGGTCACATGCAGAGAACATGCAGGTGGCCTGGCTCAGATGGAGAGCTCTGTTCCCTCGCAGACATTTGCCTGCAGAGGGCCGGTCTGGCTTCTCCTCAGATGAGACTATGTCACCTGTGGCCTTCAAAGTCCCAGCTCTTAAGTCTTATTTGACAGAAGAATAAGCAAATCCCTTTCCAAATTTGAACCAGTTTATCTGCATTCAAAGCAGTATGCTGAAAACAAGGGCCTTCCGGCGTCAGTTATACAATTACCCTGTCAGAGGAGACTGATGTGTGCGTTTCCAGTAGCCACTCAAAAATGACGGTTCTGCACGGGCTGGGTGCCCTCAGTGGTCTCCACGGCCCAAGCTGTGCTCCTGCTGGGTACCTTCCATGGAAAGTGTGTGTTCTCTGTGTACAGTACGTGACATACGTAGTTCGCGTCTTGTATAAAGTTTGTATATGTTTTTAGAAAATGAATGGCAAGGAATATGTAAAAGGAGAGAATACGTGATTCGTTTCATGTCTCTAATTAAAATCTGAACAGAGGGGCCAGGGATTTAGCTCAATGGTGCAGCGCCTGCCTAGCAAGCGTGAGGTCCTGAATTCGATTTCCTCATATCCAAAAAAAAAAAAAATCTGAATATATTTTGCAAATACTGAATGTTTGTTTGCCTATGTGTTAATAGGTATACCTGAATTTGCTGGAGGAAACCCAACATTTTTAAGTTAGCTTTGAGCACATTGATTTTTCTCTCCAAAATGAGGTCTCCTTCCCTTAATGGGCTGTAGTTTGTATGCTACATCTCATTCCTGTTGTTGAACCTTTGAAAGTAGTCTTGTAGGAATCTATTTACATTGTTTAAAATACTCTTTAGTCTCTTGTGATAATTTGTGCATTGCAGGCGTTCTCAGAAATACAGGAAAGAGCAGAAGTTGTTTTCCAGCCCCATGTCAAAGATTCTCTAACATTTTCTTTATGCCCTTTCACTTGTTTTCTTCTTCCTGTGAGCTATCACAAAGACTACATTGTGCCTCCTATTTTGTGATCGTTCCTTATAGTTCTCATGCTCATGAAATGGAAAATAAGCAATTTTGGAAAGTCTACTATGAACATCTAGAGAAAGCAGCTACCCGTGCTGGTAGGTAAGGGGGTAAGCGAGGCTGGGAGTACGTGGCTGTTTAACTCTTCCCTGTTACTGTAATTATGCATGAAATGGGAAGCAGTGGGAAGTATGTTATCTTTGATAACTTTTGGTGTGGTTAGCTATTTTCCTTAAATTGCTAGTGAAAATGTCCTCTATCTTGAGGAAAAAACATGTAACGCAGTGTTAGCATTCTCAAGTGCTGTCATGACTTCTTCTCTTGCAGAAAAAGAACTGCAGAGGGACACAGATGAGGAGGAACCTGTGGGAGATGCGAGTTGGGAGCAGGCCCAGGAAGGAGACGTGGGCGCTCTTTATCAGGAGCAGTTAGCGTTGAAGACTGACTGTCGGGAAAGACTAGACCATACCAACTTCCGGTTTTTGCTCTGGCGGGCTCTGGCGAAATTCCCAGAGAGAGTAGAGCCCCGGTCCAGGGAGCTTTCCCCGCTCTTCCTGAGATTTATCAGGTAAGTATCTTCTCCCAGAAGTATGGTCCTGGTAGGGTGTGAGGAAGAGGAGGTGAGAAGTATGAACTTCCCCAATTTGGCTGAGTTCTTTATGCATCCGTTAGGGTTTCTGTAAGGCTTCAGCACTATCAGATAACACATAGTTTTGCTTACCCCCTAATTTTACATTACCTATGATACTAATAAAAACACTAAGAAAAACGTTCCAGGTTACCAAAGAATCAAGACCACATTGAGTTTGCTCACTGTACAAAGGCCTTGTTATTTCCTACTCTTCTGTTCATTGTCTCGTTGCCGGCCTGGGACTGGGAGATGCGTCCCAGTGGCCCAACCCAGCTGCTCCTGTAGTCCCTTGTTATTTCCCACAGTGCCAAGGATGTGTGTACTCTGAGGGAGCACGAGTCTCGGGAGCGCGGTTGGGGTGGAAGCGCTGTGTCGGTGAGAGCCCATCTGCTCTTTTAAACTCTCACGACGGGGCTGGGATGTGCACAGCAGAACCACCCATCAATGTGTTTTTTCCAAATATTTCATCACATGGGGAAACGCTGCAGGGTTGGTGTAAGTAGCTCCTAAGCCACAGCATGCCTGGCCTGTTAGGGAACAAGGTGGTCCAGAGAGCTTGGAGGTCGGGGAGAGAGAGGCTGGAAATAAAGCAGACCACATCGTGGCCTCTGAGTGACAGTTAAGGACGTTGGCCCCTGGTTAGCAAGGTGGAGCGGTGGAAGCTTGAGCGGGACGATGTGACCTAAGTTCTCGGGTTTCTGGCTGCTGTGTTGTGAACAGGCTACGTCGTGGCCGTGCTCAGGAGGGAGACCCGTCCGGAGGGGACTGCGAGGGTGGCTGGTGACTTGACAAAAGTTGTAGCAGTAAATCTACGAGGAGTGTTTTTGCAGGATTTCAATATGAAACGATACTGGGGTGTGTGTGTGTGTGTGAGAGAGAGAGAGAGAGAGAGACTAGGAACTAAACACAGAGTCTTTGTGCTGAGCTACCTCCCCGGTCTTAAATATTTTTTAATTTTGAGACAGGGTCTCACTAAGTCACATGTTGCCCAGGCTGGGCTCCAATTTGCCATCTTCCCGCCTCGGCCTGATAGCTTTGAAGGCTTCCAGCTGAACGAGCTGGAAGGAACAGGTCGTATATGTTATGCGTACATGAACATGAGTACAGAGAACATGAATGAGCGTAGGAGTTGAGTATGTCTCAGGGTTTTGTACTGAGCAACTCAAGAGAGTTAGCGTTTCCTGAGATGAGGAGGAACGCGGGAGTTGTCCGTTCGTTGGGGGAATTAAGAGTACCTTTGTAGATGAGTTACATTTGGAATGCCTGATACCCGAGGAGAGATGTCACTAAGCACAGAATTTAAAATTTGAAGGTCAAGGGGAAGGTTCGATCTGCAGGTAGTACACTTGGAATCCGTTTGTGGGTGGTGTTTAAAGGCATCAGAGTGAAGTCACTTGGGTGTGAATGCAGAGTGAAAAGGCTACGAGGGTGGACACAAGTATTTAGGGTTGGGAGATGAGACATCAGTGGAGAAGGTCACAGAAGTGCCGCAGAAGGAGCACCGGGACCAGCTGGTATCCCGGATGCAGGAAAAGCCTGTTAGAAGCAGACGCGATCCATGAATCCAGTCGTCAGATGAGCTGGCATTGGCTATTGGCTTTGGGTGACCTTAGCCAGAGAACCCCCCTGGAGGCGACCTTAAGAGAGTTGTTTCAGCCCAGCTGGTGCGGTGGAAGCCTGGTGAAATGAACCCTTGGGAAGGTGGGAGCGGAAGAGGAGCCGGTATGTTCTTGCAGTAGACAGGAAACATAGTGCAGCAGGTGCAGGGAGCCGTGGGGCTGTGGAGCTGTTCAGGATTTAAACAGCGTGATGATTGCAGCGTGCCTGCCAGTGAGCAGGGAGGGCGGGAAATTGTCACGCAGAGGGGACAGCGCTGCTCGAGCTGTGTCTGAGTAGCTCAGAGGAGATGGGCCCCGGGCGTGCAGGGGCAAAGGCCTGGATGCAGCAGGCCCGAGGAGAGCACGGTGATGCAGTATGATCTTCTCCTTTTCACATCATTCTTTGCCAGAAATTTATTTATAGAATGAGAACAGTATAAGATAAAATCTTAGTGCTGTAAAATTTGCATTTTTCTAATGGCCAGAAATGTTGAACCTTGATATGTTTATGGGCCTTTTGCAGTTCTGAGAACTGTCTGTTCATTTCACTTACCCATTTTTTATTGTGTCTTTTATCTGGGGGAGGCTAATATTTTGAGTTCTTTATATATCCTAGTATTAGTCTTGTGTGCAAAGAATGGCTGGCACAATTTTCTCCCATTCTATAGATTGTCTCTTTACTCTTTTGATTGCTTCCTGTGCTGTGCAGAAGCTTTTTAATTGGATATGATCCCGTGTGTTGATCCTTGCTACTACTTCTTGTGCGGGGCACACGGAAGTTCTTGCTTTGTCTAACCGGAGCCTGGCGCCCTGCTCAGCCCTTCCTGTACCCGCTCCTAACTTCTCGTATGCACTCTATTTCTGACTGCCCTGAGGTCACCTGTTCTAGGTTGGACGTGCAAAAGAGCTTGGGGTTCGGGTCTTTCTGTGTCTCGTTTAATCACACCTAACATAATGACCTCCAGCTCCATCTGTGCCGTTACAAATCCCAGGGTTTCATTGCTTCCTGGCTGAGTGGTGCTCGTGTGTGGAAGAAACCAGAGTCTCTCTATCCGTTCTTCAGTTGGTGAGCAGTTAGGTTGCTTCTGCTTCTGGGCTGTTGTCCGTGTCCCTTTGTTTTCAGCGCATAATTCAGTTTGCAGTACATAACGAGTATGCTCATCGTTGGGAACTGGCACGTGCACACCTTATCTTCATCCTTTTTACTTCCCCTTTGCTCTTGCTTTTGTGCCCGCTGCTGTGGATTATGCTGGACTCAGGTCCCTTCAGTGCTGCCTTCCCTTCCTTTGCTGTGTGCCCAGCAGTGGGGTCACCGGGTCGTGTGGCACTAGTTCTGCTCTTAGCTTCTTTAGGAACATCCACATGGCTGTGCCGATACATTCCCAGTCCACCAGGTGCCAGGGTTCTCTCTGCTCCACCGCCTGGCCAGTGCGGGTTACATTCTGTCTTTCGGATAATGCTCACGCTCGCTGGGCTGAGTGACCTCCTGGTTTTGACTGACCTTTCCCCGAGAGTTTCTTACAGACTTGTTGGCCGTCTGTGTGTCATCTTTCGCGAAATGTCTGTTTAGAGAAATGTCTGTTGCCTATTTTTTAAACAATGATTTGTAGGTTCTCTCGCTGTTGAGTTTTTAATTCCTCATATATTTGGGTACGAACCCTTTGTCAGATGCATGACTTGGAAACTTTCTCTCCCAGTCTGTACAGTGTCTCTTCCCTGGGCTGATTTTCTGTTCAGAAGCTTTTTAGTTTGACACAGTCCTCTCTGTCTTTGCTTTTGCTTGCTATGCTTTTGGGGTCTTCTGAAAAAAAAAATCCTTGCCTGTTCCATTGTCCTCAGCATTTCCCTTTCTTCTGGTTTTATAGCTTCTAAGGCTTTAGTCCATTTGACTTGATCTTTGTGACTGGTCGGAGACGTGTCGGGGTTCATTCCTCCGCACGTGGGTGGCCAGTTTCCTCAGCACTGTTTACTGACAGCACTCTCCTGTCTCCAGTGCGTGTCCTTAGCACGTTTGCTGGAAAGCAGTGTTAGTCGCAGAGGGACGGGCTTTCCTCCAGGGCCTCTGCTGCTCTGTCGTCTGCGTCTCCTTCGATACCAACACGGTGCGTCACGTAGATTTCAAAGACAGGACGACGCCTTTGGCTTCGCTCTTTTGGTCCAGATCACTGTGGGTATTGGGGCTGTGACGGTGTTGTGCAAAGGCGGTTGCAAAGTAGAGTGTGTCTGGGTAAGTGAGGTCGTGGTCCTAGTACTCTAATCTCTCACTGTAATCCATCCTGACCCGTTCTCGTTCCAGATACAGGCAAATTTCAGTTTGAACTGAAATAGACATCTTAAATCTTCTCAGCAGTGTACCGCTGGAATGGGCTCTTTCGCAGCTAGGGGTTGACTTGTCAGCGAGGGCTCCCGTGAAGAAGAGTAATATAGGTGAAGCTTGCTCGTGTGGTTGCGGAGGGCGCTCTGTGTCGCAGAACCCCTCATAGACGCGGTGAGGACCTCCGCGATGAGCACGCCTCACCTGTGTCTCTCTCCCCTGCAGCAACGAGTATTACCCAGCGGATCTGCAAGTGGCTCCAACCCAGGACCTTCGGAAGAAGGGCAGTGGGGTGGTAGCAGAGGAGAGAGAGGAAGAGACTGCTGCCGGAGATGAGGAGGACTTGGAGGAAGAGGCGGAGCCCCCGGAGGAGCCCCCCCAGAAGAAAAAGACACGGAGAGCAGCTGCGAAGTGAGTGCGTCACTCCCAGATGATCACAATCTTCGGTTGCAGGAGGGGCAGAGGGCCGTCTCCTCTGGCCTGGTACAGGATGAACTGCGCTGACGGGTTCTTGCGTGAGGGCTGCGTGCTCCTGGGTTTTCCTTTACAGCCCAAACAGACTGTCAGGTTTGCTCTTCTTGAATGACCTTGGCGTGGGAGCCAACACCAGGAGCTGTGAGAAGGGGGAGAGGCCGAAGCTCTAGGCCCACACTCTCGCGGCTTCCTGGACACCTGGTCTCGCTGCAGGAGCTCCCTTTAATGCAGCTTTTTTGAGAGACGAGCGCTTTGGGGCCTAGAGGGTGTTGAATGCTGTGACACCGGCTCACTTCCTCAGCCACGGGCGCTGTGCTGTGTGCTGAGGGCCACACAACGGAGCATCTTTTCCTTGGAAATGATGCGTGTCCGCACTTTTATTCTGCCTTTTGACTTATTTTCCTACTTTTTTCTGATGCTGTTATATACTCTTATTTTTCGGGCTATTAATTTACCTCAGTAGTTTCAACCCTAAAAAACAAGTGATCTTGCCTTCAGAAGTCACTTCAGGTTCTCTGAAGGGTGTCTGAATTTTGAGGTGCCTAAAACCCACTGGGTGAGTGCTCGTGTTCCTTAAAACTGGCTCTGCTTTGTTGAGTACTTCACCGTGAACCACTTACTGATTCACCCCGGCGGCGGCAGCATCCAGCGTGTTTTGCTAAATGCCCAGCTTCGAGCATGAATTGTGCACAGCCTCTGCAAGGTCAGGGTCGCAGTCCAGCAAAGGCCTGCTGAGGTGACTTTGTAGAAGACATGTTTTTTAAAAGAGTTCAGGAGCACAGTGAAGAATCACTTGCTTTTACCACAAAGACCCAGGGAAGACTTTGTACAGCTTTAATGCAAGACGGGAGTTGCCCTGACAGAAAGGGTTTGCCAGGAGGCGGAAATGGTGTGAAAACACAGCCAGGAAAGGGCACGGCGGGGCTGCCACGCACACCACCTCTGCTGTGACCACGCCTTGCCTTGGACCTAACCCTCAGCACTCTCCCACAAAGTCAGACACTACCTCCGAATTCCGTCAGCGATGGGCCAGGGTTGTAGCTCAGTGGTGAGCGCTTGCTGTCATGCGTGAGACCCTGGCTTTGGTCCCTCACACCACAAAAAAGATAGAGATTTAGGCATGTGTGTTAATTAACCTGTCTGCCTGCCCTCCATACCCACACGTAGAGAATGGCAACCAGACGCTGTTACGGAAAGTGTGGGTGCGTGCGCAGTCACACTGTCCGTGCTGTCTCAGTGTGCTGTGTGCATAGCCCAGGTTTGTGATCTCTCGGGAAACAGCCCGCTTGGCAAGTTTTGCAGAGAACATGTGAATTAGCTCCTATTCTCCGGCTCTTTGAGGCCACGTGACAAGTATTAATAGACGTTAGAGCAAGCAACGGTGTCTTCGGTAGAAAACGTGAAAGTTCATTCGTAAATCTGTAGGCTGTTTCTCTCCCTCCTGTCTGATGAGGCCAGGGCCACCAGCTCATCTCTCTGTGTTAACCACAGGGCGTCGAGGTTTTTGCTTTCTTGCACGCCGAAGCGGAGAAGCACGTTGTTCGGCATGCTCGGGAGCAGAGCCGCCGCAGCGTGCACACGTTTCTCACTCACTGTCGTGTCTGCAGGACATCGCAACTTCCCTTTAAGCCCCACACAAAGCCCCAGGCGTTTCCTGCTTGTCAGGGCCGTGGTTTCCCCCAAAGGCGCAGGCACAGCTTGGCTTCTTCCACTCTCCGCTTCTCCCTCCTGACCTGAAACAGGCAAATAAAAGCTCTTGAATCTTAGATGTATTCATTCAGAGCCCCCTCCGGGTCCTGGTACATACATCTCACAGATTATGTGTAGAGAGAAAAGAGTGTTGTGAAGTATTTTAGAGTCCTAGAGAGAGTCTGGATAGGAAGTCGGAGAGGAAATGGATTTGGCTTTCTCCGAGGACCGTTGCAGTGGGTGGTGTCTTTTGCTGTGGACATCCCCATCTTCCTGGTAGCTTGAACCACAGAACGCTGCTCTCCCTCCTTCAAGGTCAAGGAGCCTTGTGATCTAGCATTGGACTGTGGTTGTCTGACGTGGGTGTTTGTGTTATACGCAGGTGGGGGAGAATCTGCCTGCCACTTCCCTGTCTGCTGGACAGAAATAATTAGACAAGAGATGATTGCCAGAGTCCTGTGTGCTCAAATTTGGAATGTAGTTTTAATTGATTTCTTTCTAATTTTGCTTTGAACTATTTGGAGCACATCCTGAAGGATTTTCTGAGGTGGGGAGCCAAGATTTCAGGGAGAGACCTGCCTAAGATTGGGAATTTCTGGAGAATAATTTCCTAAATGTAAATAATTAAAAGTAGTTTGTGGAATTAACAGTGAAACTTAGGCCAGCTGTTTGGAATACTCATCAGGCGAATAAAATTGCAGGTGATACTCTTTAATTCCGTAATACTCTATTTTGTTTTTGTTTAGGCAGTTAATTGCTCATCTGCAAGTTTTCTCTAAATTTTCAAATCCACGGGCTTTATATCTGGAGTCCAAATTATATGAGTTGTATCTTCAGGTAAGTGAAAGAAATTCTTGGCACTACAATTCTGAAATTTTTGCTATCATTTTCTTTGTCAAAGTAACATAGGTTTTCAGTGTTTGATGAGGAGGGCCATGTCTACATTTTAAGCTAGCATTTAAGTCAGTGGACATACTTTTCATTATCTTGAGAAATAATTAGGCAGCATAGTTTATTTGATTTTAAAAGCATATTGTGTGATTACACGTTGACCAACATTGTATTTAAAGTGAAAGAGTAAAGAGTGAGTTATGTTGTAGGGATTAGTGTTCAGAAGAGCGCGGAAGTTACAACAGAGGCAATTGGCTGCTTTTCTTGTTTAGTTACTTCAACCTTAGTGGAGGACTTGGCTTTCAGTATCTGTGACACACACAGAAACTCATCCCGTGGTTGGACAGTTGTCTGTCACAACTACGGTAAATGTCCCTGAGTCCAGAGAAGGTTCCCGGAAAAATATAAATGTCAGAAGCAGAATAAGTATGGAATATCGTACCAGGGGAAACGAAGTTTTCTACTTTCATTAAAAGCTTTTTAGAATGAATGATCGTTTGTGCAGAACCATCTTTGTCCTGCCTGTAATTCAGAGAGACCATGTTGTAAAGCCAGAGCCTTAATTAACATCCATCTTGCCCCACAGTGTTCAGACTCGCTCGTGAGAAGCATCAGAGCCCAGTTTCCTTTGGCATTTTGCCAGTGCTGTCACGTTTTCAGTGCAGAGGTTTCCGCAGTGCATGACTGGCCCCTTTGGTTTACATGCAGAGTCACAGAGAAAACTACATCCAAATTTGACTTCCAGTTTTTTCTTTGCACATATTCTGTTCATCCTCCTTTGACTCCGGGGACCTGTAAGGCTGTTTGTCAGGATTCAGCTCTACCTGGTCTTAATATTTAGATTTTAGGAAGTCTAATTCAGGAAATTAACATGTAAATTTCTATCCTATTGTATATGTCACTTCATTAATTTATTCTGTCAAACACCCTTCCTAGCTGTTGCTGCACCAGGATCAAACAGTGCAGAAAGTAACCTTGGATTGCATAATGACGTACAGACATCCCCATATCCTTCCTTATAGGTGAGTTACGTGGAGCTAAAGAACTGTTATTTCTTTGGATAATTTTCATCTTTTTACATAGTAACCCCTTTTAAAATAATTTCATAAAGGGCTGAGAAATTTCCCTGTGTTGATCATAATGGTATTTCAGTGCAATATTTGAAAACTGGAAGTGTTGATTAGTGATTTGTGCTGTATTTTGCTTTTCAAGGGAAAACCTACAGAGGTTGCTTGATGACAAAACCTTTAAGGAAGAGATAGTGCATTTCAGCATTTCAGAAGAAAATGCTGTCGTGAAAACCGCCCACCGAGCAGAACTGTTTCCTATTCTGATGAGGTATTTTTACTGTTCAGTAACTGTTTTTTTAAGAAAGTTACAAACACAGTTGTAAGTATAATGTTACAACCTTTTTCGGGTTAGCTATAGTGAAAATAATTCCCTCCAATGTCAAGATATCATGTGATATTTGGCAGTTGTACTACTTGGTAAATTATGAATGGTGGAACACAAAGATGATCTATAAATAATGCAAAGATCATAAATGCTGAGCAGAAAAATGAATCATGACTTTTTCTGCTCACTAGCTCTGGAATGATGGGAGTTGGAAAGATAAAGAGCCCCTGCTTGTCAGCCAGCCTAGCAACGTGTAGTTCTGTTTTGGGGACAAGTCTTGTAGGGCATCGGGCTACGTGTCCCATTAACGGCAGGGAGCTGGATCGGGTATGTTGTGCAGTGTACGTGGCTCTGATCCGGGGCTCCTTTTTATCCCATTTTTAGCCAGCATAAAGATGTTTGCTATAATGGACATAAAAATATTTGAATAAATACATGAGTGATATATAAATTACTACTATTGGTGAGCATGAAACCGTAGAAATGGAATACAGAAATTAGTTTATCCAAACCCTGAAAAGCAACCGCTGTTGACTTGTTAATCTGTCAGGCAATTTTAAAATGTAAACGTTCGTGATACCAATATATTTTAACTCCCTAAAAGTAGACCTCAAGTGGTTGCATGAAGCCCAGAGTAAACACCAGCTACCAAAAACCACTTGACTATCGGAAAGATAACCGCAATCATAGTGCGTAAAATATTTTATAACATTTTTCACCAAAATACAAGGACTGGTCAAAAAACACAATGTAGTACATATCTAAGTAAAAAGATACGTTGCCATTAATCCTCCCTTAAAAACTCCCCGCTGCTTTGAACAGACTTATCCCATTGTCCTTGCCACTTTCCGAAGCAATTCTGAAAGTTCTCCATCATAAGGGTCTTTACAAGATGTGATCAAAAATACGGTGAATGCCACTGCCATGTGCCATTGAGCAGAAAGGCTTTGGAAAAGCAGCGTGTGTGCTTCCTCGCTTCTTATCCGGGTCTGGCACTGTGCAACTTCCAGCTCTTCCTTCAAGTCGAAGCGACTTTGGGAGTCATTTGAATTGCATCAGGACGTCGAGGGCGCCGTGGCAGCGCAGCTGGAGACACGCTTCCAGAAAAGGTGGCAAGAGCAGTAGGCCCAGCGTGCTCACACTGAGAGGATCACTGGCAACGTGTCTTTCACACATTCTCTGTATTTTTTGACCATACCTCATATATTGCAAGAATTTTTAGATCATGAAGTGTTTCAAAATCTGATCATTCCTTATGTAGGCACACAATAATTCACTTCACCAAGTCCCCTCTGCTGAGCATTTTGCTTGTCTCTCGTTTCTGCTAATTTTGTTGTTTGCAAAATAGATGTTACATTGATTACTGTGAATCTTTGATCAATTTATTAGAATAGCTTTTTTTAATTTGTAGGTATATGTTTATTATTATTGGTTCTTCATTTTTCTTCATGACTTACTAAAAATAAGTTATTTTTTAAAAGTTAGCCAGGGATGTAGCTCAACAGCACAGTGCCTGCCTGGCAAGCACAAGGCCCTGAGTTCAATTCCTGGTACAAAAAAGTTAAATTTAAGTAAGCATGGTGGCATGCCTGTAATCCCAGCACTCTGGAGGCCGAAGCAGGAGGATTACTGCCACTTTGAGGCCAGCCTAGGTTATATAGCCAATTCAAGGCCAGCCTGGACTACATAGTGAGAAGCCCCCCGCCAAAATTAAATTTATCCAGGCATAGTGGCACAAGTTTACAGTCCCAGCTATTTTGGAGGCTAAGTCAGGAGGACTATAAGTTCTAGCTCAATCTAGGCAGTTTAATGTGAACCTGTCTCAAAAAAATTAAAAAGGGCTCAGGATGTGACTGAGTGGTAGAGCACTTGCTAGAACATGGGAGGCCCTAGGTTCCATCCCCAGTACCACAAAAAAAATAAATAAGTAAAGCTTAGAATTGATACATAAAGGGGCTGGGGATTTAGCTCAGCGGCACAGCACCTGCCTGGCAAGCATGAGGTTGCGAGTTCGATTCCTGGTACCAGAAAAAAAAAAAAAAAGAATTGATACATAAAGTCATAATTCTTAATGGGAAAGTTCACTGCTTTAAGTTTTTGGTATATAATTACCATCCAAAACTAGGTTTTTTATTCTAAATGTTTCCTTGTTTGACCTGACTGGTGATGATGTCTTTAAAATAGATACCTAGGAGGGAGAAATAGGTGTTTTGCAGCCTCTGCTGCCAGCCACCCACGGATGAGAGGAAGCCGAGCCTCCTCTGCCCGCTTCCCTGTCCTGCGGGTGCTGGGGTCTTGTCTGTCGCCGCTGCGGAGTGCTTCCTAGTGTGGTGGTGAAGAGTGGTGCGCGCTGCGTAGCCTTACATGTTTTAGGTGGCTGCGTCATCAGAGGGGCCTTCTACCTCTTTGTATAAAAAGCGTGTCTTGCCTATCCACTTGCTGGGCCTTTCCCACTCAGTTTTCCTTACAGTGATTATCGTCCAAGGCAGTCTTTTCCCGTCTCTCCTTTGCTCCGCCGGCCGTGAACGGTGGCCCTTGATACGCACTGGTCGGTGCAGTTCTGGTTCTCTCACGCTGTGAAACCACTCGTGCTGCTTACTGACCTCCCCGCTGCCGCGCAGCCTCCAAGGTGACTGGCGCGGCGAGTCCCTGTCCCGGCCTGGCTCCGCAGACCCGCCCCGAGGCGCAGCTCTCACACGTGTTCCTTGGTGGGCAGGTTTCTGAGGCCCCTGAGGCGTCTTCTCTGCTCTGTGGCGTTTCTTCTGGCCAGGCAGAAGCAGGGGTGGGTACGCTGCGTGCCTCGGAACGGTGGCACCGGGCGCCGTGGCCTCCCTTCACTGACACATCGTTGGGGTTAAAATCGCTCTAACCTCAGACCCGCCGAGGAGCACACCGTCAGAGCTGCACCTCGGAGCAAGGCTGCGGACACAGGGCCAGGATGGGGACTCCCTGCCCAGGGTCTTTGTATGGGGCTTCATTCGTAGTCCTCCCAATGTTTTGAGAGAGGGTCTAGCTAAGTTGCCTGGCCTGGGCTTGAACTAGTGAGCCTCCTGCCTCAGCCTTCCAGAGTGGTGGGATTACAGGTGTGCACCACCACACACTGTTGTTTTAATTTCTAATACGCTATCAATAGGTAAAGCTCACATATATAAAAGTTCTTTGGCAGCCTCACTAATAATGTAAAGGGGTCCTGCAGATCAAAAAGTTTGAAAACCACTGTCTTTAGATTTTGAATGTTCAGTCAGCACTTTGATGTTAAGGAAGTAACTTGCTATTGTTAGGTTATTCCAGATTTTACCAGGAATGGAATGTGAATTAAAACAGCCTGTGCAGTAATGAGAATGAAGCGTATTGAGCGTGAATGAATTGGCCATGCTGACTTTTCCCTGTGAGCCCTTGACGTGTATGGGTCTAGTAGAGCTCTGAACGCTGGCTTTCCTGAGTAATCCTTTTTTGCTTTTAATGCAGCACTGTTGTTTTAATTTTTATAAGCAAAACTAGTACATAGTTTTATAGATTTTGTTCTTTAACCCATCTCAGCATTAACTGTTCCATCTTCATTAAAAAAAAAAAAAAAAAAAACTGTAACGTGGTTTACGTTTTCCCTTGAAAGTGTAACGACTCCGCTATAAAACTGTGTGCTGTGTGCTCTCCAGCGGTCGCTGGTCTGCTGAGGGTTTTTCCCAAGTCCCTTCCGCCTGTCTGCCCCCTCAGCTCTTGGCTTCACGGTAGCTTCCTTATTTGCTCCGAGTTGTATTATTTTATTTCACTTCCTTTTAGTTTCTGTCTTCTCGTTTTCATTTCCTGGGTTAGGTTACCTTTGACTTGCTATTTTATTGCTCTTTTCCCCACACAAAGAACTTTCTGGCCTTTGTCTACTTTCTTCCTGCTTCCTTTTAGGCACGTTTCACGGTTGTGTAAGTAGCTGTGTTACCTCGTATCTGTCTGTCTTTCCTTGCTTTACAGCATGTCCATGTGTAGGGCTCGTGAGTTCCCTGACAGCGTTTGAGGGACGCAGAACGACTAGTGCTGTGCTTCCGGGCTCGGGAGCAGACACTCACGGCAGTGTTCTTGCTTTCAGAATTCTGTACGGGCGAATGAAGAATAAGACTGGGAGTAAAACCCAGGGCAAGGCCGCCTCGGGCACCCGCACGGCCACGGTCCTGCGCTTCCTGGCGGGCTCCGAGCCGGAGGAGATCCAGGTCTTCCTGGACCTGCTGTCGGAGCCTGTGAAGCACTTCAAGAACGGTAACCGCCAACGCGTCGCACGGGTCCCCTCTGTCCCGGGTTAGCAGTCTGTCCTCCCCGCCTCCGTGACTGTCTCTGGCTGAAGTGCGGCTTACGTGACCTTGCAGTTGACCCCAAGGGTGCCTGGCCTGTGTCACTTAGGAAATGCGCACCTCTTCCGTCGTGCATTTGGGCTATGCGAGAAACAGACCGCGTTATCTAAATACAAAGCGTGGTCTCTTCTGAGAAACTGAATCCGAGCTGCCAGCAGGATCGGTCTGGGTTGCGCTGGCATCTCTTCGCTCGCTGAGCCGCTCCCCTTTCCGTGCATCCCGCACTCGGTGTTGAGGTGGCAACAGAAAAGTGAGTGCTCGCAGCCTCGGTGCTCGGCCGCCTGCGGAGAGCGGGCCCTGCATGTGCCGCGAGCCGGCGCTCTGCGTGTGGTCTCCGTGACCGGGGGCACTGGCTGACACTGGCTGAGTGCTCGATCCCCACCAGACGTTATAGTAGGCCCCTGTGCAGACAGCTCGGCGAGCGTCACACAGCCACATGGGCTGTCACTACTTGATTGTCCCTACTTTACAAATGAGGAAGCCGGGATATAGCTCAACAGCACAAGCGCCTGCCTGTCAAGTGCAAGGCCCTGAGTTCGATTCCCAGTACCCAAAAAAAAGTACAAATGAGGAAACTGAAGCTTACAATGGAAGTTGGTAGAGTTGGGATTCAAACCTAGTCCTTTCTGACTGTAAAAACCTTTGCTGTGAGCCAAGCATGGCAGGCACATGCCTGTAATCCTAGCACTCTGGGAGGCTGAGGCAGGAGGATTACAAATGCAAGCCCAGCTTGAGCAACCTAGCAACTTAGTGAGACCCTGTCTAAAGAAAAATTACAGTGTGGGCTGGGACGTAGCTCGGGTGCTCATAGGTTCTGTACTTCTATGATGATAGGCCCACCAGGCGCACAGGTTTGCATCTGTGTCATGCTGAAGGGGGTTGGCTCTGATGGATGCGAATGCCTTTTGTTTAGCGTATAACTTCCATTCTAGGAGGGTAGATACAAGAGATCCATTCATAGATGCGCCAGTTAGGTGTATGGATTAGGAAGCTCATGCTCTTGTCACAGGTGGTTTATGTGAACCTTTTAAAGCCAGGTATGGTGGGGAATGTCTGTGGTCCCAGCTACCAGGAGACAGGCAGGAGGATCGCTTGAGCTCATGAATTTGAAACTATCCTGAACAACATAATGAGACCCTATCTTAAAGAAGAGTGATTAAAAAAAAATTAAAACTAGGTATGGTGGCACATTCATATAATACTTGCACTCTGAGAGGATAAGGCAGGAGGATCACAAGTTTCAGCCCAGCCTGGGAATCTTATCTGTCTCAAAATAAGTGATAGAAAAAGGACCAGGGATGTAGCTGAGAGGCAAAAGCCCTAGGTTCAATCCCAGGTCCTGCAGAAAACAAGCAGAACAACAACAACAAGTTAAGCTGCAACAGTTCAGATCTTTTCCAGTAGATTCTGATACCAGTATTGTGGAAGGTTGTTTTGTTTTGTTTTGTTTTTTCCATAAGGGACCTGTTTTATCTAGTAATCAGGGAGCACCAGAGAGTTGGTTCTCAACCTTCAGGGAATCTGTCACATGGCAGGCGTTTTCTGAGAATCTTCTGCACTCGGCATAGCCCTGTGAATGAGCTGCCCGAGGGCGTAACGCTGCCAGAGCTCAGTCTTTCGTGGCTGTTAAAATAAAATTGAAGAATGGGGCCGGGAGACCCGAGCCTGTGACAGGCTTCTTACCCTCCGCCCTCAGTTTCCTTGTCTGCAGTGGTGCGGAAATCTGCCGTCCCAGCTCCGAGTGTTTAGCGCGCGTCCGAAGGAGATGCGCCCTGAGAACGGTGCACGGTCATCTCAAGCCGGCGTCCACGGCCGCACGCCGTGCCCGGCCAGGGGTGTCTGCGGGAAGGCATGCCTGACGCCTCACTCTGCCCCTCTGCCTTCTGCTCGCAGGAGAGTGCCATGCCGCCGTCCTGCAAGCTGTCAAAGACCTGGATCTGTCCGGAGTTCTCCCCTTGGGTCGTCAGCACGGCATCCTGAACAGCCTGGAGATGGTGCTGAGGAACGTCAGCCATCTCATCCACGCGTACCTGCCCAAGATCCTGCAGATACTGCTGTGCGTGACGGCCACCGCCTCGCATGTCCTCGGCCAGCGAGAGAAGGTAGGCATCCTGCCGCGCTCTTCTGGCTGAGTCAGCTCCCCTGGGAGGTGCAGGCGGCCCGAGCTACTAGCACCCCTCTGGGAGAAGTCTCCTCGTGTAGCCCTCTGGAGGTGTCTGGGTAGAGCAGTCTTCCGTCCGACAGGAATCTTCATCCTTCTACTTAGGTATAACTAGGAAATGCAAACTGTGTTAAACATGTAAGTACCACAAGCTAACCGACGGCGCCACTGGTGCTCCTTAGGTGTATATTTTAAAAGCAGATGAAGTGTATGTGTACACGTAGTCACGGCGTACTGTAACCATACACCAGTGAAACTCTGAATATGCAGGAGGTGAGACTGGGGAGTGGGTTAGTTGGTACGGCCCTCAGAAGCCCAGCGTGAGGGCTCCTGGAGCTGTAGGCCGTCTCCTACCTCCCTCGAACGTTGGGACGAGAGGGAGCACTCACCGCGCCCCTGCTGAGACAGCGCGGGAGCGCCACACAGGAAATCGCCGTCTGTCCTCGCTGCCGTGTTTCCGAGCCAGGCCGTCGGGGCAGCGCGAGGAGGTGCTCCCGTCCTCTGCGGCTGTGCCCGCTCAAGGCACATGTGTTTCTCTGTGTTAAACGAGCACTTACGGCCATAGAAAGAATTACTCCGTGAGTTTTAGTTTATTTACCAACATGTTCAGGTGTCTGACAGGTTTCACGCAGCCTGTGTAAGTACTCTTCGGAGTGTAGGGACCTAGGCCGCACCTCATGTCCTCGGGCCTGGGGGCTTCTTGGAGAAATGGGGCCTGATGTAAAGACCCAGACTCAGATTCCGGCTGGCGACCCTCCACTTGTGACCCGGCCGCAGTTTCCCTGTGGTAGCGCTTGTCTGGTTGGCTGTGTGGGTAAGCCCGATGACATGGCTCGGTCACACAGAGCAGGTCTCGGGCTGCTCCTGGGGGCTGTGCGTGCACGTGAAGTGGCTGGCCAGAGTCCCCGAGGCGGGCAGTCGCACAGGTCTGAGCGGAGACAGGCGGGAGCAGCTGGAGCTCGGAGAGCGGGAAGCGCGGGCGGGGCGCGGAGGGCAGGCTGCGTGGGGCCGGGAGGCTGCGGCAGGAGCGCAGGAGGCGTCCCCGTCCGAGCGTGATGGCAGGTGGTGCTCCTGAGCTGCCGACTTGGCCTCTTGAATAGCCTGTGATTGCTGGTGCCCGGGTCCTCCGCCGTGCTCGGCGGTGTTGGCGCAGGCCTCTCGTCCCAGGCCACGGGTGCGGGGGTGGCCTGATGATGGGCTCGGGCGGGCACAGTGCTGTTCATTCTTCAAATACCCCTGCTAGTTTGGTCTTCCTCAAACGCCACTCCACCGCCAGTGAAAGTACCACGCTTGGAATCGGAGCAGAGCGTGTGTCCGCCGTGACCTCTGTAACGTGCATGGTGAGTGAGTGGCCGGTGCTGGCAGTGTAGGAGGTGGCCCCTCAGGCCTGCTCGGCAGGCGACCCCAGGCAGCCCTGTCCCCGCTCACTGGAGTTGGCAGTGCGCCGTTTGAGGGTCAGACACACCTGTGCACCAGAATCTCCCATTTTCCCCAGTAACTTCCCTGTTGGTTTCATTCGTGGTATCTGGACCGTAGACCAGAGAGTCACTGGATGAGAGCATTTCTGTTGTCTTCCTGAATTTCAGGTGTTTTAGATTTTGTGTAAATAAGGTCGTATGTAAATTAAGTTTCAAAGCGGGGTATGGTGGTGCATACCTGTGATCCTAGCTACTCAGGAGGCTGAGGCAGGAGGATCACAAGTGTGAGGCCAGCCCGGGCAGCTCAGCAACCCAGTGAGACCCTGCTCAAGAACAACAGGTAATGAAAGGCGCTGGCCTGGCGCTCAGGGGTGGGGCAACACCAGGCCTGGTCCCAAGCGCCGCTGCCAGGTGGGTACGTGGGTGGGTGGGCAGATACGTAGCTGTCTAGTGCCCGAGGCATATAATCCGGTGGGAAAGCAGGAGTTACATCCTAATGGGTTGGGGTTTCACGTTTTGTGTTTGCTAGAAATCTCTGAGGCCTTTGTCTCCTTGTGGCCTAAACCTTTCCATTCTCCAATATCCAGTGAAAATTCTTCTTTTCCATAAAGTTTACCCTTCCCAAATGTATTGAATTCCTCACCTATTGAAAATCTTTGGTCTGTTCTCTCTTTATCTTTTTTTTTTTTGATCTTTTTGAGACTCTCCCTATGCAATTTAGGCTGGCCTCAGACTTGCAGCATTCCTCCTGCCTCAGCCTCCTGAGCACTGGGATTACAGGCATGCACCACCACGCCTGGCCAATTTTTGGCATTTTCTTTCTCTTACATAATTTAGTAAATTTGCACTCAGTGAGATTTTTAAGTTGAGGCCAGGACTAGGGCTGTCCCAGCGTGGGTGGAGATGCAGCTAATTGCTCTACCTGGAGACTGCACTGTAGTTGCATGTTTGTGTTTTTTATGTCTTAGACGGAAGAGTCTGTAGAAGTAGCAGCGTAGATTAATAAAAAATATTTGCTAATGATTCAGACCCATCCCAGCTTCTGTGCCGCTAAACAAGCAAGTCTTGTCTTTCACTTACTAAGTTGCATTTGATGTGAGCTGTGTGGAGATCTTCCCGACCTCATTTCATCTAGTTTCTTACAGCCAGAGTATCCTCTCCCCTCTTTTTTTATTTTTATTTTTTTGTTTGTTTTTGTTTTGGGGGTGCTAGGGATAGAACTCAGGGCCTCACACAGGCTAAACAAGCACTCTAGTGCTGAGCTAAGCCCCAGTCCTTTGTTACATTTTGAGGCAGGGCAGGGTCTTGTGAAGTTGTTCGTGTTGGCCTCGAACTTGGCATCCTCTTGCATCGGCCTCCTGAGTAGCTCGGGTTATAGGCATGTACTACCATGCCCAGCTGCCTGGAATGATTTTAACAAGAATAATTTTTAAATCCTAGCTTTAAGAAAGGTAAAACAATAATCCAAGTATGGAAACATAAGAAAAATCACTTTGACTTGAAGTGAAAGTTTATTTTTTCCCTAAGTAAGGCATTGTGATGGCAAAAGGTAGCTTTGTTTAGAGTGTTCTGTTCATTTGGAGAAGCTCGGGCGAGAGTGTTCTCTCCTGAGGACAGCTGGAGTTGTTTCCTGGGCAGAGTGACATGGAGCACACCTCACCACTTCAGTTGTTTCTCCGCTTTCCTTATTCAGTGAGAACAGTGATATGACTTGCTAAGTTGATCTTCCCAGGTGAACCAGGGTCCGTCGTTTAATTGCAGAGTTCCCAGTTTGGCTGAGCACCTCTCTGAGGAGTCAGGAGCAGAAGGGAGTGGTGTGTGTGTACATGTGTGCATGCATGTGTGTGTGTGTGTACATGTGTGCATGCATGTGTGTGTGCGTACATGTGTGCGTGCATGTGTATGTGTGCGTGTATGTGTGCGTGCATGTGTATGTGTGTGTACATGTGTGCGTGCATGTGTACGTGTGTGTACATGTGTGCGTGCATGTGTATGTGTGTGTGCATGTGTATGTGTGCACACATTTTCTTCTTTAATAGCGGATCCTTGTGTTGCAGATACAGCTGCGGTTTATTAACCCCCTGAAAAATTTACGGCGTCTTGGAATCAAAATGGTCACGGATATCTTTCTGGACTGGGAATCCTACCCGTTCGGAACAGAGGAAATCGACGCTGTGTTTCACGGTGCAGTTTGGCCCCAGGTAACCCTTGGCTTCTGCGCTCTGCCTGGACGCATTCTGCTTCTTCCTTATTAATTCACAGCGTAATCTACAGCCCAGCCGCGAAGGCTTGAAGGCCCGTCCTGCTGTTTTCTCTGAACACCACGCCTCTCTTTATTCTGCAGTCTTTTGTTTGTGTGTACGTGCCCCTGGGGATTGAACCTAGTGCCCTCTCGCTGAGTTACATCCACACTGCATTCTTTTCTAAAGCCGATTTTTTTGGTATGTTTTAGGTATGCGTAATGACCACATTCGCTGTAGAGACTTTGTACCCATACGCGATGTAACATGATCTTTATTTTCCATTCCCTCACTCCCTTCAGCCCCCGCTCCCCGTTTATAAAAACTTTTTCATTTGTTTCTTTTCCATTTTTTTTTTACTTTTCCCTGCTTTCCTTTCCCCCTCGAGCCTCCCTGTTCCTCTCCCCATCTGAACATTTTCTTCCATTTCACAGTACCAGTGTACATTCTGGTCCTGATTTACACTTTCAGTTCTCACTCCAGAGAAACAGTGCCGTATTTACACACGTGTGTCCCATTTATTTCACTTAAAAGTGTGGTCTCAAGGTGCATCCATTTACCTAGACGTGTCTCAGGGTTATCCTTTATGGCACAGCAGTACTCCATTATATTAAAAAAAAAACCCACATATTCTTTATCCCTTCACCAGCCGATGTGCATTTGGGCTGTTGCTGAGAGTTGGCTATCACAGACTGTGCTGCTATAAGCATGGGCCACACCTCATTTTTTATCTTGATACAGTCTCACTAAGTTGTCCATGCTATGCTCGGACTTGTGAGCCTCCTGTCTCAGCCTCCCAGTGTATTGGGATTACAGGCATGACCACCACACTTAGCCCATTTCTGGAAGTTCTTAGAGCACTGTTCTCCTCTAGCACCAGATCTAAAGATCGTATGTTGTTTCCTAACTACCATGCCATTCATACTTAAGGCGGACATGAATCATCGCATCTCTGGGGCAAGTGTGACAGTTCTCACCGTGTCCCACACAGCCAGTTCGAGGGAACGTGCAGGTGTCTTCTCACTCGGTGTGTTTGATTTCTCGGTGGCAGCCGCCCTCTGATGTGGGGACAGTCAGAGCCGAGACTGCTGCAGGAGAGACTCCATGGCTCGGTCATCTCTGACTGCTCAGGACTGAAAAACCAGCACAGGCCTCTCCCTTCCAGGCACCGGCTCTGCCGTTTTTCTGTGTATCCCTTAATCTTTTCCTCCGTCTGTCCCTTACATGTTCGTCTCTGTCCCTTGGCTATTTTATCTTCTGGCTTGGCTTCTGTATGTGTTCTTTTTGTTGCCTGTTTTTGTTTTATTCTTTGAGACAGGGTCTTGCTATGTAGTGCAGGCTGGCCTCAAACTCACTGTGTAGCCCAGGCTGGCCTTGAACTCATAGCGATCCTCCTGCCTCAGCCTCCTGAGTGTTGGGATTACAGGTGTGTGCCAGTAAGCTGAGTATGTTGCTTGCTTTTGTCTTTCCTATAACTGTTTTCATCTGGTGTTCTGTTTTATTTTGCCTCTTAGATCTGCCGGCTTGGATCTGAGACTCAGTATTCACCTACTCCTCTGCTGAAGCTCATTAGTGTCTGGAGCAGAAATTCGAGGTAAAACTGCAGCCCCCAGACTTGGAAGTGGGACAGTTGGCTATCGTAACCTTCTGCAATTGCGCACGCTGCGTTTCCCAGGCCCAGCGGGTGCTTTTAGTTTGGCGCTGACTCTCTTCGTGTATTTTCTTGGCCTAAGCTCGCTCTGCAGAGCTAGTTTCTCTCCCACTCTTCATTTTTGCTTTCTTGAATAAATTTAGCCACTGCTAAAAAATAGTAATACTAATAATAAAGTGGGACAATATTTTAAGCTAATCCAGCCAAGACAGTCTGGGGAGCTAATAGCATAACACTGGTCTTTCCAGGTAGTGACTTCCTTTGGGTGCAGTTAGAGGTGAGGTAGCTGGGTAAAAGCATAGAAAGATCTCAAAATATGTAACTTTAAGAAAAATACAAGGTGCTAAATAATATGTATAATGTGGCCCAGGAAAAATGTGTTTAGGCATGTGCACATTTATATATAAATATGAAATAAGATAGGAAATATTTAGAGCCACAGGAGAAACTTTTTTTGAAAAATGACACCCCGCCGGGCGTGGCGGTGCAAATCTGTCATCTGAGCACTTGGGAGGCTGAGGCGGGAGGATCACCATGAGTTTGGGGGCAGCCCGGAATGCATCATAAGTTTAAGGCCAGTCTGGACTACATAGTGAGACCTTGTGTCCAAAACCCAACAGCCCTAATACCTGGATTGTACTCTGGGTCCTGTGTGTACGTGGTGTGGCGTTCACGTCAGGGTGAGCATATGCCCTGCTCACTTCCTGACCGTTTCTTCGTGGTGAGAACGTTCAGTGCCCTTCCTGCCGGTCCCTTCGCAGCACGTGGCAGCATCAGCAAATCCTCCTCTCTGCCCGTGGCTCAGTGCCACGCCCCGCCTTGCCGCCCTCGCCCGCCTGCCCGCCTGGCTCTGGTGGCCGCTGGGGGGAGGGCAGGAGCCCTGTAGCGTGTCCCTGGCCTGTGGGGTTTGGGTGCCACAGAGCAGGGAAGGGCGCTGTCGTGAGCAGCTGCTGACGTGTCTGACCGTGAATGATAAAAGAAAAAGGTGAGACAACAGTTGCAGCTCAGCGTTAACTACGCTCGTGGACGTATGGAATCACTGAGTGCATTTTTGCTGGTTTTACGGTCCAGTTGAAATGTGGACGCTGCCAGTACCGGCGTTGATGGGCGCTCTTCTGCCGCAGTCATCACTTCAGGCCTAGCGAGGGACAAGTGCGCAGCGCACCAGACAATCACAGCACCGTGTAGACGGCACCATTGCGCCCTCGCTTAAGAGCGAGCTCGTTTATAATTGGCGTCTATTACGTCTTCCCCCAGTTCCTCCTTAGGTGTATTTATTTACATGTCATGGTTAGACACAGTTTTGATATTGATTCAGTGATGTCAGCTTAGACCCCAGCATTGATTTTTGTAAAGTTGGGGTCACACTGTGTGACCAGCTCTGAGTTTGGTTTTTCACTGACCGTTCTGTCCTGAGTATTTCCCACGTCGTTAAATAGCCTTCGAAAGCCTCAGAGTTGTCTTCTGTGGGAAATCTGTTTTAGCAGAAGGAAGCGCTCGCCCTTGCTTCCCAGGGTCTCAGCACGTTCTGTGTCTTGTGTGATGGCCCGACAGTCACAGGCAGTATTTCGCAGGCCTGTGTGAGCGCGGGTCACGGTTGTGTACTGTGTGTGCAGCGAAGCGGGGAGGAGCTGTGGTCCAGAAGGGCTTTGCGAGCGCACTCGGCGGGCGGTCAGCTGGCTCCTTCGCGTGCTGCGTGTTCAGTCGTGTCCCGCAAGCTCTTGCTCCCGTTTGGTTGGGGAAATAGAAGTCACACAGCACCTGAGGGTGCTGGTGACAGAAGCTCCTCCTTTACCTGTAAAAATCACCTGTGGCGGGGCTGGCCACCCTTGTGATGGGCAGTTGTATGTTAATGAATGAGGGATGTTTCAGGGCCACTTCGTGGGAGTGCTTCTCTCAGTACAAGTCAGTTCTGGATCTGAGCACACTGACGTCCACCCCAGTGTCAGATGTTACAGCTCGTTCGTTTTCCATCTGTACGTACACTTCGTATGTAGCCGTAGTCAGCATCTTCTGGCTCACAGAGAAGGACAGATTGTCTCAGAAATTAGGTGAGCTCAAGACAACAGCTGGCGTGACTCTGGTGTACTGTCCCGGCGATGTGAAGAGTCCCTGTGACTAATCAGGCCAATCCAGTGCTTGCCGAGCCTGTCCTGGCCACGCCGCCCCGCGTAGCTGGGTCCCACGCCGCCTTGATCATGCTGTCTTCGTCCCCGTGGCCCAGGGCTCCCTGCAGACTTAGTATCACCGCATCTTCCACAGAGCAGGACTCCTGCCCACGCCTCATACTCACCGCGTACCGAGCTGGCTCGGACCTTCTCATGGAGCTGCAGCTTCAGTGTAGAGCGTGCTCATTGTACCGTGGCCTCGGAGCCTCGGTTTTACCACCTGTGAGGTGGAAGCAGCAGCAGGCCTCCTTCCTGGATGAGAGAGATGAGACGTGTAACAGTTTGTCTTGCTCAGGACCTGCCCTGCGGTAGCTCACATTTTCTGGGCAGGTGTAACCTCTTAGAACTCTTCCTTGGATTGTTGCGCTGAGTGTGTTAAAGTGCTACACTCTTTTTCCAGTAATGACGCACTGAGAAAGTCACACTCTGGGAATTCTTTTGTGTGGATTGTTAGGATTGTGTCTCTGACTGTGAATAACTGCCAGTTCGCTGGGCGATCTCCGCTCTGAGCCTTCCTTGTTGCGTGCCTGCCTGGAGCATAGCGCGTCTCAGGTCCCGTTACTGGGGACGGATCCAGCCCTCCCCAACAGAGCGCTGCCATTGCGCGTTCACAGACAGCAGACGGCTCTGCAGTCTCTACTGCTAATCCCTGCTGCTGGGCATCGATTTTTATGAGAGTAAAGCTCATAATGAAAAGACGCCTAACTTTCATCTTCAGAAAGGGCTGAGGCTGGACTTAGACTGCTATTTAAACCCTCTCTGCCACTTACTAGCTCTGGCTTTGTGCAAGTCTGTTTCTTATCTGTAGTTGATAGTCTTATAGACCTGTTAAAAGGATTAAGTAAGAAACACAGACACACACACACACACACACACACACACATACACACACACGGCACTGAGGCAGTGGAACACAAAAGCTGTTTGGAATTAATCCTCTTCAGACTTCCAGCTGTACACACATGTACAGTTGTTAAACTCAGTGTAAACTCACATGGGAGATGATTTAGAAATCAGCACGGTAAGAAAGAAGACGACCTACATCACAGTGGCTTTGTCCTTGCAGGTATTTCCCTCTTCTGGCTAAACAGAAGCCAGGGCACCCAGAATGCGACATCCTGACCAACGTCTTCACAGTTCTCTCAGCAAAGAATCTCTCCGATGCCACAGCCAGCATCGTGATGGACATGGTTGACGACCTCCTGAACCTTCCAGATTTCGAGCCCACAGACGCAGTGCCAAACCTGCCAGTGACTGGCTGTGTGTCCGCTGACCCTCCAGGCAACACAGCCGGTGGGTGATGCTGGGACCTTGCAGGGAGCAGGCCCTTGACGGGAAAAGTCGCTGGCAGTTGACTTTCTCAGTAGCTCGTGCTCAGAAGTGTCTTTTCTCTGAGAACTAGTTCTCATTCATGTAAAGGCGTTTTTTTTGCACATGTAGGAGTACAGCTTATTTGCAGGACAGGCAGTCTCCGCTGCCTTCCGGGAAGTGAGCAGATGATTTTCACTGTTACAGCCCTGCGTTCTTCCTACCGCACTGTCCCAGCGGCCCCTTACTGTGAGCACGAAATGGTTTAAGCAGGCCTTCAGGGGTCTCTGGTGAATGTTTTTTATTTCGCTACTACTCTTCTGAATTAAAAGTTCTATACTGTTCAGAGTTAAAATCTTACTAAACTTCCGTTAGTGGCCGAATGCTTTATCTGTCACCCAGTAGATATTATACAGGTATGCTTCAAGTGGATTTTTAAAAATCAAACCTTAACCACTGGCTATTTCAGAACCCATCACAATGGGAGGAAGACTGATTCTACCTCACGTGCCTGTAATTCTTCAGTATCTCAGCAAAACCACAGTCAGCGCAGAGAAGGTGAAAAAGAAAAAAAATAGAGCGCAAGTCAGTAAGGAACTTGGCATTCTATCAAAGTACGTCAACAAATTCCTGTCCGTTGTGTTAATTTTTTTAAATTTTATTTTGCTTTTCAGTTCTTTGAATGTGGTAATAACTTTAAAAGGTTTCCAGTTGCAAATGTGAGGGCCTGGGTGCGATCCTCAGCACCACCAGAGAGAAAAGTGGGAATACCTACAGGGCTGGGGAGGCCAGCGCAGCGGTAGAACATAGCTTGGTGTATACAGGGCCCAGGATTCAATCTAGAAAGAAAGTTTTCAGTATTTTAAATGCCCTCCACTTTAAGTTAATGCAGAATTCAGGGTCTGTGCTAAACATTCCAGACTTCTGATCGCTTTTGCCTTTCTTCAATGATGTTAAAGACAACAGACTTCAAAGTCCTCAGTCAAACTAACTGTGTGGGTGTTGCATATTTTATTGTATTTTATTTAATTAAGCCTTGAGCTTTATGAAATCACATTCTGTTTGGGTTTTTTTGGTTTAATTAATAAAAATAACCACCTTGAAAGAACAAATCATTTGTTTTTGAGAACAGAGGATTTTTAAAGGATGTGTATGTCAGTAAGCCTAGAAGTATAAAATTGTGATTTCTCTAGAGGGCAAGAGTAGTAAACCTGAGTGTAAGAAATGATTCTATCTTGAATTCTGATTTGACAGGTGCTGGACTTAGTTACTAGATTTTTTTCTATGTTGCTTTCGCCATCAAAAACTTAAAAACACATTAGAATCTTCTGAAAACGCCTTTGCAGTGTTTTGTTTGTACTGCTCTATTTCTAGGGAGTGCAGACATGAAGCCCTGCTAATTCCCTTACTCGTTTCCTTTTGGACGGGGTGCTAGTGGCAGGGTGGAGGAACGGGGCAGAAAGATCAGGCTGAAAGCCTGCTCTGCTTCCTCCCAGCAATGTGACGCCGGTCTCTCTGCCTCTTGGTTTTGTCTGGGCAGAACGGATGAGGCTAATAATTCTCCTTGCAAGAGTGTATGGGAATTTACTGGCAGCTCTGTACGTGAGACTATGTCTTGGCACTAAAAACGTAGCCTCCTTGCAAAGTAAGAAACCCTGGCTTGCCAGACCCTCGCCCCGGCTAGCCGCCGCCTGTGCAGTGTATACAGGGACGGGACTGCTCGCGGCCGGGAGCGAGGGCCGGAGCCGCGGAGAGGCTGTGTCCGGGTGAGAGAGATGTGTCCTCAGTCCCTGATGGTTCTCCAAAACGGTTCGCTTAGGAGAAGGGTCTCACTTCGGTGTCCCTAACACACCCGTTGGTTTCCTTTTCCAGGATCAGCAAGTTTATGAAAGACAAGGAACAGAGCTCTGTGCTCATCGCACTGCTGCTCCCCTTCCTGCACCGCGGCAACGTCGCGCAGGTACGGCGCTCTCGGGGGCTTACCTGGAAGCAGTTCATCTGGATGGAGCGATGCTCTTGGTTACGTTCTGTGGGGCACGTTTCCCAAGAACTTAAAAGACTACAGAAAGAAAAGGGGACAGAAACAGGATCATCTGCCCCATCATGGTGCTGGCCCCTTCATTTTCCTTTATTCTGTAACTTGGACGGACAGCAAATGGAACCAAGGAGTGCGTTGCACACTTAGTCTCAGGGTGGAGCGCAGCAAAGCTGACTGGATGTCCGCTCGGGCGTGCAGGCCTAGCCCAGCGCTCTGCCGCGGCTGTCAGACCCGCTGTCAAGGCCTCTGGCAGTGCCGAGCAGCGGTACTGCTTTGTGCACACGAGTCTGTGCGCACCGCAGGGGTCTGTCTTCCATCAGCGAGCTGCTCTGTCAGCTGTGTTGGGCAGACAGCGATGGCGAACCCTGACGCGCTCTCGGGCACACAGCCTGCTGCGGGGCGGGCCTCGGGCTCGCGCCACCGGAGAAGGCAGTGCGTCCCAAAACCACACCTGCTCTGTTAGCATGAAAAGAGGAAACTGCCATAGACCCTGTCGTGGGCCTGATGTCAAGTTAAAATGTTGAAAACTTTTCAATGACCAGGAAATGTTTCCCATTACGCCTTTCACTCTTAGCCCTAGTTATCTCGCGTGCTGTAGTGTGTTGAGGTACAGGGGACTCGGTTTATGAAGTACTGACACAGGACTCTCCCTCGTTCTTGTGAAGGACACAGAGGTTGATATCCTGGTGACGGTGCAGAACTTGCTGCAGCGCTGTGTGGACCCGACCAGCTTCCTCAAGCCTCTGGCCAGACTCTTCTCGGTCGTTAAGAACAAGCTGTCCAGACAGTTGCTGTGCACAGTTTTCCAGGTGTGTGATGCGCACTCTCACCCCAAGCTGCTTGTTGCCTGCTCTGGTGGGGGACCTGTGAGGCAGGATCGCACTGTGCAGTTCTGACTGGGCTGCCTCAGCCTCCCCAGTGCCGGGATTGCAGATGTGGGCCACCACACCCGGCTCCAAACCACTGCTCTTAAAAGATAAGCAAGGAGCACGTCCGTCCGGGTGCGCTATGAATTTGGGCGGGGACTGGGGGCGGGGGAAGGCAGAGGAGTTAGGGCACTGACTGAAAACACACTTCCTCTCTTCTTAGGGTCTCTCTGATTTCGAAAGTGGACTAAAGTATATTACTGATGTTGCCAAGGTAAGCCAGAATTCTTACTTTTCCTTGGCCTCAAAGTACGCTTCTTTTGATTAAGGTGCGTACACCTGCATTTACGTGATTTCTTGCAGCTGAACGCCTTTGATAAGAGACATCTGGACGAGATCAACTTCGACGTGCGCTTCACCGAGTTCCAGGCAATCGCAGCTCACGTTAAGGAGATGCAAACCGTGGATGTGGACTACCTGATTCCAGTGCTGCACAATTGTTTCTATAACATGGAGGTAAGTTTCTGTAGCAAAATGTGTGAATTATTTCTTACTGTTTGGATACTACAGCTACCTGATACGGTGGCCTCATTTCTTCATTTTTTCATGTAAAAGTTCTGTTAGATGCAGAATTTTTGGCTTGGCAAGGATGTTGCTGTTCTCATGATTTAGAAAGCAGGGACTTCAAATAAAACAATCTCTGTGGAAGCACTTGGGGAAAACCACGCTGTGTGTTAGAGCGGAGACATCTGTCGCAGTGGAAAGTGAGTAAAGGTTTACAAAGTGTTGCCAGGAGGAGGCGGCGGCAGAGCGCGTCCTCACTGGCGCGGGGCTGCTTCTGGACGGGATGAAAATCATCCCAGATTGAACATGCAGTGGTCGTGCGACTGCCTTCTGTACTCAGAATGCCCGCTGCGCACCCCAGAGGGCTGACCGCCTCGGCCGCTTATTACATCTCAGGGTTTGAGAGTTAGGCTGAAGCTTTATGGAATATTCTCCCGTCTCCGCTTCCGTCCTGGTGCGTTTTGCGTGTCCAGATGAGCGGGCTTAGCCCCGGCGGAGTCATTCACTCAGCATGCTTTGGTCGCCGCCCCACCACCCACCCTGCACGTCCCCGGTTCACATTCCGGGGCTCACTCTGCGCGCTGCCTTCGGCCCTGTCCTTCCCACTCTTGCCCTCTGGTCTCACGATCGTCTCCCTCCCACTTTCTTGTTGTTTTTGGATTCCCTGTAGGAGGGAAACAGGCAGTATTTGTCTTTCTGAGTCTGGCTTACTTTGCTCAAAATGATGATTTCCAGTTCCAGCCATTTTTCTGCAGATGACAGATTTTCCTTCTTCTTCATGACTGAATCATGCTCCGTTGTGTAAATACACATTTTCTGTGTCCTGTTGGCGGACACCTAGGCTGGTTGCATATCTTGGCTGTTGGATATTGTGCCACAGTGAACATGGGTACGCAGGTGTTGGGGTGCAAGCCAAGGAGTGATGCGAGGGTAGGTCACACAGTCGCTCTGTTTCTGGTGTTTGAGGGCCCTCCACGCTGCTCTCCGTGGTGGCTGTGCTGCTTACACTCCCACCCGCTGCACAGAACGGCTCCTTTTCCCCTGCGTTCTCAGGAGCGTTTCTTCTTCCGTGTTCTGGCTGCAGCCACCCTGGGTGAGGAGGGCTCTCACCGCAGGTTTGATTTGCATCTCCCTGGTGGCTGAAGATGTCACATACTTACTGGCCACCTGTCCTTCTTTTGAGAAGTGTCTGTGAGTTCATCTGCCCATTAATTCACTGGTTGAGTTTTTTGGGTGCCGAGTGTTATTTCTATATACTAATTAGATACAGTATTAATCCTCTGTCAGAAGAACACCGGCAGGTTCTCTCCCATCCCCTAGGCTGTTTCTTCCCGCTGTTAGTTTCCCTTGTCATGCAGAAACTGTAATGCAGTCCCGTTTGTAACTTCCTGTGTTACTGGAGTCTTACTCAAGAGTCTGTGTACCAGTAGTGTGCCTTTACTGAAGATTGGTAAATGTCAGTATCTGAATTACAGGCAGCGTATTGCTAAACTGAATTAAACACTGAAGTGGGGATGGTGTGCTTGCTCACTGCTGACCGTGTGGTGATGTCAGTACCGCCGGGGCGGCCGAGTGAAGGCGGTGTAGTGTGAAGAGCGGCGTCTGCACACGGTTTCAGCCCAAGGAGAGCTGCGCCGCCGCCCGCACGGCTGGGCCAGGTGTGAACTCCTGCCCCTCACACTGCTGACGCCAGGACCCTGGTGTGGCCAACCAGGAGCACCGTGGCCTGAGACGCAGGATGGAGAACTGGCTTTAGTGAAGCTCATCTTCTGCTCACTGTGGGAAGGAAACTAAAAGGAGCGTTCGTAGTCCTTCCTGAAATGAAGTGGCGCTCCGCAGCCAGCGTGGCTGTTCAGTCAGTCGCTGTCTTCCCACAGCCTCCTCCTGGTTCTTCTTTGGGTTCGCGGTAGCTGGGGACATTTCTTTGTAGGGCTTTTTCCACAGAGCGGTGACAAGATTGCACCCTTCTTGGAAATAATATTGTGGTAGTTATTACACCGAACGCCTTGTGTCCTGTTTCCAGCTGGGGGACATGTCCTTAAGTGACAATGCCAGCATGTGCCTCATGAGTGTCATCAGGAAGCTGGCAGCCTTGAACGTCGCCGAGAAAGACTATCGGGAAGTCATCCAGCGCTCCCTCCTGGAGAGAGTGCGGAAGGGCTTGAGGAGCCCCACGGAGGTACTGTAGCCGTGTCCCGTGAAAGCTCTGCTGGTGGCGGGTGGTTTGCTTTGGTTTGGTTTCCTGCTTCTACTTCGGTTGTGTGGGAAAGCAGTCAGGCTCAACTCACTCAGCTAGAACACCTAAGTGTACCAGTGGTCGCCAGCTGTCAGCAGGGGTGCGGGTCAGAGGGAACGCAGTCATCCTCAACTTTACAACTTGTACAATTTTGACTTCACCGTGTTTTTATAGTGGATATGTTTTTTGTTTAGGGTTTTTTATAGTGTTTTTTTTTTGGTAGGGAGCAGATTCTTTCTAAAATAAAACTTTTCAGGGTCAGGGATAGAGCTCAGCAGCCCAGTGCCTGCCTGGCAAGTGTGAGGTTGTGAGTTCAGTTCCCGGTACCAATAAATAAATAAATAACTTTTCTTTTTCCACTTGACATTTGCAGAGTATTCAGCAGGATTATACCACCGTACTTTCGTGTCTAATTCAAACCTTCCCAGATCGACTGGAGTTTAAAGACCTCGTGCAGCTCACGCACCGGCAGGACCCAGAGATGGACTTCTTTGAGAACATGAAGCACATTCAGGTAGGAGACAGCACTGCTCTCCCTTGTCCTGCAGAAGAGCACTTCAGACAGTCACGTGTCCTTTAGAAAGAAGCACTTCCATATCCCACGGGGTTACACCTCTGAGTCCTGCGTCTCCGGGATTGGCAGACACACTGCACAGAAGCTGGTCCTGCCTTGGGGTCTGGTGTTTTTGGTGGTACCAGAGGCCGGCAGATAAAGTCACCTTTCCCGGTTTCCCTAAGAAGTTTAATGTCCCGGGCTCCTTCATTAAAGGGACGCTAAGGGCGTGTGTCTGGGAGCCGGGAGGTGCGGGTTTTTGCTCACTCGTGTACCACGTGGCCTGGGCTTTACCCCGTTAATCTTGTCTTGGAAAAAAGACATGGTCTCGAGGTGGAGCTGGCTGGAGGTGAGGCTTTGCAGTAACTGACGCACACCTGGTCTGCCTTAGATCCATAGACGGGCCAGAGCCCTGAAGAAACTGGCGAAGCAGCTGACGGAAGGCAAGGTGGTGCTGTCTTCCAAGTCTCTGCAGAACTACGTCATGCCTTATGCCATGACTCCGGTTTTTAATGAGAGAATGCTCAAGGTAGGACGTCGCCACACTGGCTGTGACTTCACACTGGAGGGTGGTTTCACGTAGGTAGCATTGAGCGGGGTATCGCTTTTTATCCAATCTAACAAATCTCCCATTTACATGTAATGTGACTATTTATAAGGCTGAGTTTAAATCTGTGATTTTTTTTTTTTTTTTTTGTGGTACTGGGAGTCGAACTCAGGACCGTGTGCTTGCCAGGCAGGCACCTGTCGATCTTGTTATTTTCTGTTTGCCCATTTTCTTTTTGTTCTTCTTTTGGACTTCTTAACCTCAGCATTAGTTTTAAGCTGTATAGTATGTTGTTATCTTGGCCTTACGCAATTATCTTTTAAAGAGACAAGGAAAGGCCTTTAACATTTGCCCGCATATTTGTGATTTCCGGAGCGCTCCATCCCTGTGTGTGGCTCCAGTTCGCCTTGTGTCGCGAGTCTGTCTCTCTGGCTGATGGGAGCGCGCACTGTCACGTCCTCACTGGCTCGTTGATGATGCCGCCTGCCCCTTTCTGCGGCTCTTTCCCCGCTTGTCCAGGCCCACTTGTGCTGGTCAGTACCAGCTAAAGTCAGGGCTGGCGCTCTGTGTAGGGTCCTCTGCCCCATGGGCACCGCTGCTGTGGCCTTAGCTCTGTCCCCCAACTCAGTGCCACCACTGGGCGCTGCCTGGTTTCCTGCTTGTGCTGCGGCCTAACGCTGCGCACACAGCCGGCGCAGGTCGTTCTGCTCGCTCCGTGCCACCTTCCTCCTACGGGCCACCATCCCGCTTTGCGTGGTTTCCACGGCCTGGACTGCTAGTATGATGTGTGCAGGTGAACCTGGTTCCTTATTGTCTGCCAACAACATCTCCTGAGAGAAACGTCTCCACAGCGTTGTGCTTCTGAGCGCTGCGGAGCTTGGTATAGAACCTCTGACGTTTGTTGCCTCTGTGTTGTTGCAGTGCTGGAAATTAAACCCAGGGCCTCGTGCATTTCATTTGTCAGCTTTTGTCACTGTGCTTGTCTCGTTACTGTCCAGCCTTGGAGCCCATCCAGGGGCGCCAACTGGAAGAGTCCAAAATACCTTAAACCCTTAAAGGAAGGCATCGCCCCTTTAAGTTGATGGTGTCTTTTCATGGGCGTGGCAAGGGGGAAGGAGTACAGTTCGGGCATTTGGACATTTCTTTTCTTTCTCTAATTATTGATCACCTGCTGCCTAAGCTTTTCGGTGGACCCGGTGGCCACGAATCTGATGAGCAAGTACGTGTTATCTCTTGATGCTCTGTGCTTATTTTGCAGCATGAGAACATAACCGTCGCTGCCGTAGAAGCTATCGGAGCTGCGTGCAGACACCTCGCCTGGCCGGCGTACATCTACTACCTGAAGCACTTCATTCACGTCCTGCAGGCGGGACAGGTCCATCACAAGCTGGGCGTCAAGTACGCTGCCCGTTTCTGTTCTGGCTGTTCTGAAAGTGCCGCCTGCACCTTACCGCCTGCGTTGGTCCCTGGCGCTCCCGATCTGCTGTGAGGTGTCAGTGGGGCTGTGGTCATGTTTGTGACAGTCGCAGATGCTGGTGAAAGTAACTGCAGTGTTTATGTAAGTTTTCTTTCAATAGTCGCACAGGGCTGACGCCCAAGCTTACGTTGCCGCGTGTCTCCCTTGACAGTTTGCTGGTGACGGTGTTGGAAGCGTTCCACTTCGACCACAAGACGCTTGAGGAGCAAATGGGGAAAATTCAGAATGAACAGAGTAAGTTTTTAAATGCTTCTTAAAGTAGATTTTCACTCTCTTGGGTAGTTTATGATCGTGAATTAAAGAAGGCAAAATTCGTTGTACTCTTCTCTTTTTAGCACGACAGTTGGTGAGTCAGGAGGAGGCTGAAATGTGACATGTATTTAAGCTTTCTTGTGACATGTATTCACCTTCGAAAGCGCTAGTCTGAATTTTATGAGTGGACAAAGTCCGAGCTATGGTTATTCACCTAGAGGTCTGTCCTCTTGGTGTATGTAGGAGTATTAACCCATAAATGCCGTGGACGTCTAAAAAATGAAATTATAAAAATCAGAGTGATGATTAATGAAGTAGAAAGTAAGTACCATAAAGCTAAAAGTATACAACTAAAAGTAGTTACTTTAATAATTACAAACTGAAAGATGGTTTAAAAGATTCCATGGGCATAGAGGTAATAAGTAACACTGGGAGCTGAAAAGGACACGACTACGTAAGACCTTCGTGTTTATGACTCGCATGCTTGTGTGAGACGTGCAGACCTTCTAAAGGAAAGTGTCTGTGGAGGAAGTAAACACTCGAGGGCTCTGCCCGGCGGCGGAGCTCCTTCTGTGCCCGGCACCTTCCAGCCGGCTGCGGCACACAGTGCCTGGTCGCCGAGGTAGCGAAGGTTTCAGAGGAGTGGAAGCGGGTGACTGTGCCCCACGGACGCAGGCCCCGAGGGGCGGACTGTTACGACCGCTCTCGTTCCTGACGCGGGAACGAAAGCGAGTCAGACACTCGCGGGTGAAATCCCAGAATCAGGGAAAACGTCAGAACCTCAGCCGTGCTCAGTTGCTCTGGGAGTGTAAGGTTATTCGCTTCTAGAGCAGTGGCTAATGGAGTTTGATGCAGGGGCTTCTAAGACTGTGTGACCCTATCCATTGGATTCTATTCGGTATCTACTCAAGCCTGCCAACTGAGGACACAGATTCCCTTCGCTTGTTACTGAATAGATAGTTTTCCTTAACTTTGTAAAGTGTCTTTTTTGGGGGGAACCCAATGTAACATGTTTCTCATGGAAACAGATTACAAGCCTTTGCTGTAAAACCGGAATGGGGACGAGCATGTTGGTGACACCTATGGTCCCAGTACTTGGGAGGCTGAGGCAGGAGGGTCGCCATGTGCTCAAGGCCAGCCTGGGCTACACAGCGAGACCCTGTCTCAACAAAAATTAATAAGATAAAACCGAGTGAGGGAGGGGTACGTGCTGCCTGCTGATGCTGACGCTGAGCTGGAGGCTTTCGCCAGCACGGACAGTGAGGGGATGGGCACGCTGCTGCGCCATGCCTCACCCGACTGGCTGTGCGGGCAGAAGTCTCAGATTCTGGCCCCCGTGGCTCTTCAGTCAGTTAACCTTGTGCTTGGCAGTTTCATTTAAATATAAATATTTTAAAACGTAAAAATACATAGTTGGCTTAACTCTTCTTAGAGTTCGTTTTCCTTACCCTGAAGTGGCTCACGGTACCCGTGTCGAGGTTTCCACACCCATGTGATGTGATGGTTTGAACGGTAGGTGGGATGCTCCGTCCCCGCCGAGCGTGGCTCTCACCCGCTGTTCTGTAGCGCCTGTGCCCCTGACACCCGCTCAGTACCTGTCTGAAGCGTGTTAGGAAGATGGTGGCCGGCTCCTGGTGGCATTTCACAACGTTCAGACTTTCAAAATACTAAATCACTTTGTTGTTAAGAAAGGTTTCGCTGGGATATTTTATTAAGAGAACACAAATTTTAGCTGTTTAAGGGCTCGGGATGCAGCTCAGCGGTAGAGCTATTGTCTGGGATGTGAAAGACCTGGGTTTGATCCCAGTGCTGCCAAAAAGAAAAACCTTCTTACTGTTGTGATTCAGCCAGTACTGAAATCAGTGTGGAGCATCCTCAGAAACTAAAACCACGGCATGCCCGTCATCCGAGCACTCAGGAGGCAGAGGCAGGCAGATCACCACAATTTGAGGCCAGCCTGAACTACATAGTTGAAGGCCAGCCTGGACCACATAGTGAGACCCTGTCTCTAACACCGTGCCTCCCGCCCCAGAAAGCCAAAACTAATACTGCAACAGCAGAAACACCAACACTACACCCAGAACTTAGAGGCAGATTTACTTCACCCCGGACGGGCATTGACGAGCCAATCCTTGTAAAAACGTCAGGCCCCGAAGGCCCAGGGAGCGAGGGTCTATGGAGTCGAAAGGGGAGGCACAAAGGCGGAGCGCTTGGCTGCTTTGGGTGGTTACAGCGCGCACCGTGGGGAGCAGCAGATGCTGGGAAGCAGGAGTGACGGGACCTGTTTCCAGGAAACTGAGAAGCTGAAGTTTACGGCAGTACTGTAAATTCCACTGGGCCCGCGTCCCCCTGTGGAGTGGAAGGTCCGGTAGCACAGTGACGTGCATCCCGTGTTCAGAGCGGAGACCCTTCGCCCTTGGCTGCGTCTGCAGTTACCTCGGAGCCGCTCACCTCTGACCCCACGGCACAGAGAGGCAGACACAGACAGAGAGAGACAGAGAGGGACCACCGCGCTGCGGCGCAGCCCGGAGCCCTGGCTAACATAGGGCCGATCGAGTGGCGAATGAGGCACGGCAGTCTTTTTAGGGAAAAGGAACTTAGATTGCATGTGAGGAGGGCAGCGAAGTCACATCTTCACTGAGCACCGCCAGGCTTTCCGAGGCGTTTCCTCGCCTGTCCTGAGAGGCGCCTTTTGTCAGTGACTCGAGTTTCAGCCTGAGAACCCGCGGGTCATACGTGTGAGGTGCCTTTCCCAAAGCTACTCAGCCAGCCAAAGGGAAAGGACAGAGACCAGCAGGTGGCGTTTTAAGAGTGAGGGAGGCATGGGGGGGGCGTCCCCGGCCTCACTCCAGCTCCACGGGCCGTGCTGCTAATGAGGCCGCATCGCGCAGGGCATCTGCACGCCTCGTTTCCGCAGTCAGCAGAGCCCGGGGCCGGGGAGATCCCTGCCTGCCCTTTTCTGGCTGCCCTCATGACCTTCTCACGCTCATAAATGTGTTACGGGCACCGCTGAGCACGGTACCCAGGAGGCTGTCTCTCGGCTGAGAGCCCTCCTCCCAGGACGGCCCCGTGCTGGTCATGGCCGGTCCCCCGTCTGTGCTCCTCCCACCCAGGAGGAGGTGGGCAGCCAGGCCGCGCACCCCGTGCGTCCAGAGCTGACGGCGGCGGCCGCTTGCCACAGCTGTGCTCCTTCCTGGAGTGAAGGTGAGTTTTACTTCTTAATCACAGACGCAGTGGAGATGACGGAGTCCCCAGAGGAGGAGGCCATGGAAGTGGAGCCCCCGGGTGAGGATGCGAAGGAAGACACGCGTGAGACGCCAGATGCCACTGAGGCTGCGGGAAACCCTGACCCGGTCAACCCCGCAGGGACAGCCACCAAGGAGCCCGAGGGCGCCCCACCGGCCGTCTCCTTCCTTCCTCGGAGCAAGGAAGAGCTGGAGAGAACAGTTAGAGCCGTCCACGGAACCATCACTGGGGACATCCTCCCCCGGCTGCACAAGTGCCTGGCGGCCACGGTAATAACCAGGCCCAGCCGGGGCTGGCGGGGCTGGGGTGGCTCACTGCGGGCTGCTACGGCCGGCACATTGAGGCCTCCCTGTCTCTCCCCATGTGTTACGGGCACCGCTGACCCTCCCTGTCTCTCCCTCCCCATGTGTTACGGGCACCGCTGAGCACGGTACCCAGGAGGCAGTCCCTCGGCTGAGAGCTGTCCCTCTGCCTGCACCGGCCCTCCCGCCCTGCCCTGCCCGTTGGCCCGGGCCGGCCCCTGCCGCAGCTGGTCCGCAGTGCTCTCCTGTAGGGCTTCCACCCTGTAGGTGGTGCCTTCCCTCTCTCCAGAGGAGATGTTAAAGCAGCTCCCGCTCCCAGAGAAGCTGATTACAAACTGAAGCCCATTTCCCTTGCCTGCCCGTCGACCCCTTCTCTGCGGTGCACAGCTCACCCCTCCCCCGGTGACAGGGCTAACACTAGTGCGTTGGCGTGGTGCCAGGGCCTCGCAGTGCAGAACCTGAGGCAGCACGCCAGGGCCCCTGCCCTGCAGCTGTCGTCACAAGTAGAGTTTCACTGGAACACACTCATTCGTGTGTCACCGAACTCTGCTTGTATTACAGTACCAGAGTGTGCTGCCTCCAGCAGACACCACAAAGCCAGAAATGTTTATTAACCTTACAAAAATGCTTTCCGACTGCTGGTGTCCGTATTGACTCAGTCATTTGTGTGAGTTTTTTATATTTCGCAGTAATCTTAACTCATCAGTGACAATCTGGCTGTATTTTTTCTCTAGCTGCTTCTTTGATAATAGAACATTCTTCTACTTACTTTTAGAGGACTAGCCTGAAATGGTACAAATTTTAAGACAGTAAATTAGAAATGGACTGAACACCAGGAGCAGCTGCCTTCGGGTGCAGGGTACTGTGCTGGCAGGCCGCTAGGGCTCGTTCTAGCTGGAGCTGAACTCGCCTTTTCTTGCAGACTAAACGGGAAGAAGAGCACAAGCTCATCAAGTCAAAGGTCGTGAACGACGAGGAGGTGGCCCGCGTGCCCTTAGCATTTGCCATGGTCAAGCTGATGCGGTCCCTTCCGCAGGAGGTGATGGAGGCCAACCTGCCAAGGTACGTGGGTGACAGGCCAGGAAGGTCAGGGAGACATGGGTCTGATCTTCTCTTCCGGCCTCTGCAGTCGCTTGTTAGAAGTCACCATTCGCTGGCCAGCCGTGGTGGCACACACTTACAATCCCAGTATTCAGGAGGCAGAGGCAGGAGGATCACCAGGGGTTTGAGGCCAGCCTGGCCTTCATAGTGAGTTCAAGGCCAGCCTGAACTGCACAGCAAAACCCTGTCCGCCCTTAAAAAAATCCCCATTTCCTGTGGTTCTGTATCCTAACTGGGAAATTAGGGTTACAGATAGTTCAGACACAAAGACATTTGTATTTTTGTTGATTGCTTTTTATTTCATTGGCCTTTTTTTACTTTGCGTTTGCTAGTGTCTTGCTGAAAGTGTGTGCCCTCCTCAAGAACAGAGCGCAGGAGATCAGAGACGTGGCCCGCAGTACCCTTGCCAAGATCTTGGAGGACTTGGGTGTGCGCTTCCTGCAGTACGTCCTGAGAGAGCTGCAGACCACTCTGGTGCGCGGGTATCAGGTGAGCGCGCCGCGTGCGTCCTGGACGAGGCGGCAAGCCCGGGGCTCCAGGCCCGGCCGGGCGCTTGGTCCCCAGGACAGGCAGTAGCACTCGAGCGCTGCAGTCGGAGAGGGAGGGTGTTACATAAAACGCTCCTTCCTGTGTCTGGGCTCCGAAGACCCTCAGAGGCCTGGCTGCGTGAGCCCTTTCCTCTCGGAAGTTACTTGGTGTCATCCATATTCTCTGGACCCTGAACTTCCTGAGTAATGTGAAAGTGTGAGCACCGAGGGGACAAGAAAGGGTCTGCATATCCGCTGAAGAGTTGAAGTATGAATTGTAAGAGCCCTGAGGACCAGGCGAGGTCCAGAACATTCGGAGCAGGAGCGTGGCATGCGTCCCTCCCGCTCCGAGCAGCCGGACAGGCAGTGCAGGGAGTCCTGAGCCTGGGCGCGGGTTCTGCACCTGCTGCGCAAACCCCAGGTGACTTGGCGTGGGAAACACCGCCGCCTGGCTCCAGTGACTGGCGAAGGTGCGCGCTCAGCCGTGCCTGGTGTGGCCTGACGGGTGGACAGGCGCGCCGGCCTCTTCTGTCGGTGGCGAGGCCGACACGGAGGCAGCGCTGCCCGTTCGGAGCATCTCTCGCCGTGCTCTGGGGTCCCAGCACTGGCTGCATGGGGCGAGGGGGCCTGGCCACCACGCGGCTCCCTCAGGTCCCTCTTCAGGGCAGGGCTCAGGTCACAGTGCGTGGGAGACCGGGCCAGGCACTAGGGCAGCTTTGCCGGACGTAGTTTAAAGAACCCGGGAGACGAAGAGCCTGTCCAGCTGCTGACCGTCTCCCCGCGCCCCTTCGTCCCTGTGTCCGCACGTGTGCCTGAGGACCCGGCAGCAGGCTGGTGGCCGTGGGCTCTCCGTCTGCCTCCGTCCCAGCGTCTGCGGTTCCCTGTCACCCCTGAGGGCGTTGCGCCATGTGATTCTGCATTGTCACACGTCGCAGGGTTCCACGCGCCCTGCAGCCTTTCGGGGGCATGGTCGCGTGCTGCGCTCCCGCGGCTGCATCGTGTGGCTGCTGGAGACTTGGCGAGGGCTCGCCCGGCCGCCCCAGCCCTGCGCACGGTGCCCCGCCGCCCTCCACAGCGTGCCTGCGCCTCCGCACAGCCCGGTGACCTGTGGGGCACAAAGGCGCTGCCGCATCTCTTCCCAGTGCTGCCCTCGCGTCTTCAGGGCAGGCGGTGTCTACTGGTCGACTTCCGGCTCCCCGCATCCTGCCATTAGCCGTCCCTTGAGCTGGGCTGAGGAGCTGGGTGTCGGTGTACACTCTCCCGCTCCTGTGTCCTCACAGCTTTCTGTCCTGGCTGACAGGAGTCTTCCCACGTAGTCCTGCAGCTGCACCCCTGGCACCTTAGTACTCTGGCTTGCCCGCCCCTGGCACAGCCGTACACGTCAGGCCAGGCTGGGCCCGGCCCCAGAGCGGGGGACGGTTCCCTCCCCAGCCAAGGCCCTGGCGGGAGGACGCGGCACTGAGAGCCTAGGGCGCTCGGCCCTCGCCTCCGCGCTTCTCCCCAGCTGTTGCGCGGTGTGTCCCTTGCGCTCCGTGGACAGACAGGGCAGAGTCCTGCTGTGTCTCCCGGGCTTCAGTCCTGTTCGGGGGGGCGTTTTTATTCCGTTCGGTTCTGTGAACCTGCATCCATTTCATGGCACCCATGGGTGCAGGGGCACCAGCATGGAAGGCCCCCTTGTACGGACCTGGTACTCCTCGGGCCTGGGGACCCGCCCTCCTTGCCGCTGGTTTCCAGGCCGCGGCTGGGGCAGGCTCAGCGCTGCGACCCCCGTGGTCTCCCAGCCCACAGCTGCAAGGGACCCTGGGTGGCCACGTCTTTGCCCTGCCCGGCTCCCCCGCTCCCCTCATCTGGCCTATTGTTAAAGTAACTGAAGCAGGGTTGAAAGTGCAACTAGTTTATGTTTTAGTGTTAATAGTGTAGATACTGCCAAAAGCACGACTTTTAAAATTACATAAGCTCCACGAGGAACACTTCTGACTATAAAGGGACACGTAGGGGTGAGAAAGGGATTAGGATGAGCTGTGAACATGGACCACCTCCCCCAGGAGGAATGTAAACATTGTGGATTGCAATGTGTACTGAAAAAAAAATTTTTTTAATTAGCAACAATGCAAAGAAATAAGCAACATTTGTGCACACGGTCCAGCGTAGGCAGTGCGGTGTGGGCCCTGACGTCCTTGTCCATCCCTCTCCACCCAGGTGCACGTGCTGACCTTCACTGTCCACCTGCTGCTGCAAAGCCTGGCCAGCCGCCTGCAGGTCGGGGACCTGGACGCCTGCTTGGACATCATGATCGAGGTGAGGTCTCCCCGCCAGGCGCGTGGGCGCCGGCCCACAGAAAGGCGCGCTCGGTCGCCCTGCGAGGCGCACCCAAGCCCGGCAGAGGGTCTGCGCGCAAGCGGGCCCAGCTCTGAGGGGGTGGGCAAAGAAAGCTGGCCTTGGGTAGCAGCGCTTTCTCAGCAAGCAGGTTTCAGTTGCTTCCAGGAATCCATTTTAAACGGTGATCAGATGGGGCCTGGGGCCTCTATAAAAGGGTGCTCAGGTGAGCTTGGTGTATAATAACAATTTACACACAGTGCCAGACCTCACTGGCAAGTGCAGTGTAAAATTAGTACTCAGTTTTTAAGTTGAATAATGGAGTTTGGGAAGTGGGATTGTGAAAAGAATAAATTTGTTCTGCAGCCATTGTTCATTCTAAGAACTATAGACAGTGATTTTGAAGATCCATTTAAATATTTAGATTTCAGTAACTAAGTTGCGAGGCTGAGGATCCCTTGGCGGGAAACCTGTGGTGTTTGTGTGCCCCCTGTGCGGGGCCTTGGCTCTGGGTCCCTGAGCTGCACTGAGAGGGAATCTGACAGATCCGCCCGCCCCACCGCTCCCCGAGATCCCACGACGCCCATCGGATCGGGGGGCCTTGACTGCCCCTGCTGCCCCTCATGCCCTCGCCTTTCTCCCTGCAGATCTTCAACCGGGAATTATTTGGGGCCGTCGCTGAGGAGAAGGAAGTGAAGCAGATACTGTCCAAAGTCATGGAGGCGCGGAGAAGCAAGAGCTATGAATCCTACGAGATCCTGGGCAAGTTTGTAGGAAAAGATCAAGTTACGAAACTCATCCTCCCGCTGAAAGAGGTGAGGCTGCGGGGCGCCCATCCCTGCGGCAGCGGGGCCTGAGGGCCAGGTGGCAGCCTGAGTCGGAGTCCAGTTCAGGGTGCTGGCCCCTGCTGTGCACCTCGCCCTGCAGGAGGAACAGCAGCGGACAGGGCCGGGGGGTTTCACCCGGGGGTCAGCGCCATGCACACGGCCTTAGCTCAGCCACTGTCCCCGAGGGCTGCCGGCAGGAGCTGCTCTGAGCACCGCTGCCTCGTCGCTGACTATCTTCATGCCACCCAGTGAGGTCAGGTATTCCCATCCCACGGATAAGAAAATGCAGCCTCCGAAGAGCCAGGCGAGGCAGTGTATACCTGCAACCCCAGCTGCTCAGGAGGCTGAGGCAGGAGAATCCCACATTCTAAGCCAGCCTGGGCAATTATTTAGCAGGACATTATCTCAAAAAAAAAAGGCGAGAAAGCAGGCTCAGGAGACCAGAAAGAAACAGAGGAGGAAAGTCAGGGTCCAGTTCCAGGTCTTTCTGATCTAAAGCTCACAGCCCTTCCCGCGTCCTCCTGTCCGCTGCAGAGGAGAGGGCGTCGTTTACCCGCCTTCCTGTCACTCCCTGTGCCTGTTGCAGGGGTCGCCCTCGCTGCCGCCGCCGCCAGTTCCTTCTGTCCAGCTGTCTGTACCCGGGCTGTGACCAGAGCGCTCCCAAGCCTCTGGCACCGAGTGAGCTCAGGGCATGGCTCTGCCTGGGCTGCTCTCTCAGGGCGGCCACGCCTCGGACTGAGGACCCCGCGGACAGCAGCTGCCGGGCGCCGGTGCTTGGCTGAGGCGGAGGCCCCTGGCCGCCCTCGTGTTCTGTGGCATCAGCCAAGACAATCTCAAACCCAGGGGCTTCGCCCCTCGCCGTAGCACTTGGTGCGCACGGGCTCCCGAGAGTCCACTGCGTTTCACAAGAGGAGCGAGAGTTCATCACCCTCTGACGCACTCAGAAATGACAGTGGAGGTCTCACGCTGTGTCTGAGCACTGTGCCCAGCCTCGCCCCGGCGGCGGGCAGGGACGGCCAGCAGTCCCGTATGGTGCAGAGTCTTACTAAGGGTAAACTTGAGTTAGAAAAAAGGGTCCTAGAAAGCGGAGATCCGAAAGGAAAGCTGCCTGACGCCAGGCGCGGGTGGGCTGGTGGCTTCAGAGGCGCTGCTGTTTGCCTGCAGGTCCTGCAGAGCACCACAAGCCTGAAGCTGGCGCGGAAGGCTCACGAGACCCTGCGGCGCATCACGGCGGGGCTGGTCGTCAATCCCGCCATGGCCGCGGAGGCCCTGCTGCTGCTCAGCTACGGTCTGATCAGCGAAAACCTGCCGCTGCTCACGGAGAAGGAGAAGTGAGTCTGGGGACACAGACCAGGCTGTTCTTGGAGCTCTTAGCTCTGACAGGTGTTCGATGCTTCGCTTGTTCTCAGGTAGATCAATGATTTACTTCAGGGAGAAAAAGGTGCCGTAAGTATCTGAGCCACGGGACGGTACTACTCGGCTGTGTTTGGGCTGAGATTCTTACAAGTGAAACCTTCGGACTGTCTTTGAATTGAGGTAGTTGTGACAACAGCCAGTCTGATACCTTTTTTCAGTACTGGAGGCTGAACCCAGAGCCCTCACGCTAGGTTATATCCCCAACCCCTTTTTATTTTGTATTCCAAAACAAAGTCTCAGTACGTTGTCCAGAATAGACTCGGAAAAAAAGAAAAAAAAATCAGAATAGACTCGAACTTGTCATCCTCCTGCCTCGGCCTCCCGGAGGGCTGGAAGGACAGGCATGTGCCGCCTCACGTGGCCTCTCATCCCCGTTTCGTTTTAAATATGTTTTGACTGCAAGGGTACATTTGAACGCGTACAACTTACTCTCAATTCAGATCTGACCTCAGGGTGTTTGAAGCTCTTGTGGCCCTCTCCGCGGGGCGTGCGCTGTGCTGGGGCGTCCGTGCATCTGCCTGCAGACAGCAGCGAGCACCCCTGGCTGCCCGGCTTCGTGTTGCTGTGCTCACCCTGCGCCCTGCTCCAGGGCCGCTCCGCGGCGGTGGTCGCTGTCTGGCTGTGTCCCGTGCCGCAGTTCAGCAGGGAGCGCTGTGTTAGTCCTGGGGGCCACGGCGACTTCTCAGGGGACGGCTGACAGTGCTCGTCTCCGTCTTCCTCCCTGTGATTGGCAGGAACCCAGCTGCCCCTGCGCCCGACCCGCGGCTGCCCCCCGAGAGCTGCCTGCTGCTCCCCCCAGCTCCGGTCCGAGGCGGGCCGAAGGCTGCGGTGGCCAGGAAGACCAACATGCACATTCTGATCGAGTCCGGGCTGCGGGTAGGAGCTGTTTAAAGGGGGCTTTTCCTTTCTGTGAGGCGCTGCGGGTTGAGCCAGCACCTCACTCAGCTGCATCCCAGCCGCTTTTATGTTTTGCTTTGATTTTTCTTTTTCTGGCGGGGGGGGCGGGGTGGTGGGTTTGAAACAGGGTCTTGCAATACAGTTCAGGCTGGCCTTGAGCTCCCTTTGTAGCCCAGGCTGGTCTCAAACTCGCAACGATCCTCCTGCCTCAGCCTCCCAAGTGCTGGGATTACAGGCGTGCGCCACCACGCCTTGCTATTTCTTGCTTTGAGACAAGATCTCAGAGTGTCTTAAGTTGCCCAGTCTGGACTGGAATTTGCAATCCTCCTGCCTCAGCTTCCCCAAGTGCTGGGATTGCAGGCATGCACCACTATGCCCAGTGATGGGGCGCTTTACAGACAGGAACCTGATCGTTTTCTGTCCTTGGTGCCCGTTCTCCTAGGAGGAAGCCCTGGCCTCCTTCCTCTGCGAGGTCCTGGCCTCATGCTGGGCGCTGAGCCCACGTTCCAGCCTCCTGGGCTTCTCCGCGCCTGGAGTCACTGCCCGCTCTTCCTGTGTGCCAGGAGCCCTCCAGGCACGCAGCATGCACCCCCTCAGAGTACATCCCGTCCCTGGACTGCAGCGGGGCGGGATGCCTCTCACGCTCACTGTACCCCGGGCTGAGCCAGGGCCGGGGTCCCGACGCACATCCACAGCAACCATCAGCAGTGGACTCGCCTCGGGCTGGGCAGCCGTTCCGCCCTTCCCCCTCACCGGTCCCCTTTTCTCTCCCGCCTTGCAGCTGCTGCACCTGAGTCTGAAGACAGCCAAGGTCAGGTCCTCGAGCGAGCACGCCCTTGAGATGCTCGACCCGTTCGTGTCCCTCCTCATCAGCTGCCTGGACTCCCGGGACGTGAAGGTGAGCGGCGGCCATGTCCTGTGGCAGACTCGGCCTGCGACACCAGAGCCGTTGCTGGCCCTGTGCTGCGCACTCCCACGCGTGAGGCCTGAGCGCCCTTGGCGCCCTCCCTGGCCCACTGATCTGACTTGGTCCTAGGACAAGTTCAGGACCGAGCGGCCGTGTCCCTAAACCATTGTCCCGCTCTGAAGATGTTACCGCTGATCCTGCCAACCCCAGTGCAGATGTTCCTTTTTTTTTTTTTTGAGACAGTGTCTTACTATGTAGAGGCTGGCCTCGAACCCATGGTAATCCTCCTGCCTCAGCCTCCTGGCACTGACGCAGATGTTCTTAATGTTCAGTAGATGAGGCAGCTGGGGGGGGTCCAGTCCCAGGCCCAGATGTGAGCCCAGGGCTGCGGGACGCCGCTGCTTCTCAGACCACGGTGCAGGGGGTGGAGCCACGGCGTCACTGCAGATAGGGACTGTGACTTTGGGGCTCTGAGCGGTGCCCTCCCTGTCTCTGTCTGATCCAGTGCCGTGGGGATGGCACCGGGCAGAGCAGGCCCAGTGGGTCCAGCGTGCTCCCAGGCTCGGCCTCAGCTGGGGACTCCGGGGCCCTGGGTGCCAGCCTGCTCTCGCCACGTCCTGGGCAGCACCCAGCGATCTCTGGAGAGTTGCTCATCCCCTGCTCGGTGCCCTAACCTCAGAGCCGAGCCCGTGTTCTCTGAGGAGCGGCGGCCGGCGTGCAAGGCCCGGGGCTGACGGCGCAGCTCCCAGTAGCGTGCTGGCCTCTTAGCGCGAGCCAGGGGGGCGGGGGTCACACCAAAGCACCGCTCTAGAGAGCGGGCACCTGCACGTGGGCATCCGGACGCAGCCTGCGTGCGCACGGTGCGGGCGGCGCAGCGTCTCCTCCATGGGACACAGCCACGGGGCGAGTGCTGCCGCCTCCGGGCTGGCCTCACGAGCTGGTCCCTTCTCTTCTCCCAGGTGATCACCGGCGCTCTGCAGTGCCTCCTCTGGGTCTTACGGTTCCCTCTGCCATCCATAGACGCCACAGCGGGGCAGCTGACAAGGCACCTCTTCCTCCTGCTGAAGAGCTATGCCAGGCTGGGGGCTGCCCGGGGCCCCAACTTCCACCTGGTGGTGAACTGCTTCAAGGTGGGCGGGGCAGCGGCGGGTTGGTTTCCACTCCCTGTGTGAGAGCCGAGGGCGCCTCTGTGCAGGCCCCCGCCTGCCGTGGGTGCGGCCTGCTCACCAACCTGCTGCCCCCGCAGTGTGTGACAGTCCTCGTGAAGAAAGTCAGGTCCCACCAGGTCACTGAGAAGCAGCTGCAAGTCCTGCTGGCGTACGCGGAGGAGGACATCTATGACACCTCCAGACAAGCCACTGCCTTCGGCCTTCTGAAGGTACAGTGTCGCGGGACGCTAGCTTTGACAGTTTTCAGGCCTTGTGCCCGATGTTTAGAATGGTGTAGAACATACCATGTGATGAGCTGCTGTCAGGGTCATCGTTTTGATGGGTCATTTCTAAGCTAACATGTCTGCTTATGGAAATGTTTGAAGCTGGGAGGCTGAGGCAGGAGGACTGCAAGTTCCAGTCCAGTCGGGCAACTCCCCTTACCCAGACCCTATCTGAAAATTCAAAGGTAAAAGGGTTAGAGAGCTGACTCAGCGTGGAGGCTGTAGGTTCAATGTGCAGTAGTGCATGAAGGCCTGAATTTTTTTTTTTTTTGTCTCTTTGAGACAGGGTCTTACCATGCAGTTCAGGCTGGTCTTGAGCTCACTTTGTAGCCCACGTTGGCCTCAAACTTGCAGTGGTCCTCCTGTCTCAGCCTCCCAAGTGCTGGGATTACAGGCGTGCACCACCACGCTGGGCTAGTAGTTCAAAAATGACAAAGAGAATGCGTGACTGTGAGCTCTGTAGTACCATTCCCAGGGAACTCGGCAAATGCGGGGACTCTGCTTTCACTTACTGTGTTGGGGATTTTTCTTCTTAAAGCGAAGCAAACATGACCTACAGTGTGTCTGCTTAGCCAGCTGTAAGTTCGTGCTGCACGTCCTTGGAAGCGGGCTGTGTTGTGTGAAGGCTGCGGGTGGCTCTGATGAGCCGGAGCCTGCTGCTGCCGTCTGCGGTGAGACCTGAGCATGAGTGGCTTTTTCTTTCATATTCAAGGCCATTTTATCAAGAAAGTTACTGGTCCCAGAAATCGACGATGTCATGCGGAAGGTGTCCACGCTGGCCATTTCTGCGCAGAGTGAGCCCGCCAGGGTCCAGTGCCGCCAGGTGTGCGGTGGGGACAGAGGGGCGAGGCGGGGAGGGCGGAGGCCGGCGGCCGGGGTCTCGCTGGAGAGCAGGGCGTCGAAGGGAGAACGGGGAGGAGCAGCGCCGTGCAGGAGCAGAGGGCGGGCTCCGTAATAAAGCCCGATGCGCAGTGTGGAGACGCGGGCCAGCCTGCGTGTCTGCCGTGGACGAGCTGGTTGCTGCCCCTTCACTGCCTCCGCCTGAGCGTGGTGGCGTCGCCTGCTTCCCGAGGGGATGAGGAGAGTCCGGCGGGTTACGGCCCGCACGGCTCCCGCACGGTCTGGGGCGCCGTCCCCTGGGACCCGCCCCCACACAGCGCTGAGCTCAGGCCCGGAGCCCGGGGGACCAGGCGCCCTGCGGCCCGGGGAGCCGAGTGCCAGCGGGAGCCGACCGAGCCGTCCTTGCAGGTCTTCCTGAAGTACCTCCTGGACTACCCGCTGGGGGAGAGGCTGAGGCCGAACCTGGAGTTCATGCTCGCCCAGCTGAGGTAAGCGAAGCCGGCGGCGGCGGGGCAGAGGGGCCCTCCCTGCGGTGCCCCCCGTGACGGCAGCTGCGGGGCCGCTGGGCACGCCGTCTCAGCTGACCACTGGTTGTCACGAGAAACCAGTAAATGACGCTAAAACTGCCCGGCAGCTTGGTGGGCGTGAGCAAGCGTTTCCCTGGGGCAGCGGCGCTGGCCCGTCGTAGCGAGTGGCGGACACGGGGGTTGCGGCACCTCAGCCAACCGCTGGCGCAGCGGGCGCTGACGGCTGCCGCGTGTTCCGCCCTAGTTACGAGCACGAGACGGGGCGCGAGTCCACCCTGGAGATGATCGCCTACCTCTTCGACGCCTTCCCTCAGGTACCGCGTCCTCTGCCGGCACACGACCGTCCCACCCCTCCTCGCCCCGTCCCCTGCCCCCTGGGCCGGGCCACCCGTCCAAGCGCGCGCTCAGCCGCCCCTCCCCGCAGGGCCTGCTGCACGAGAACTGCGGCCTGTTCTTCATCCCGCTCTGCCTGGCCACGGTCAACGACGCCTCAGCCACCTGCAGGAGGATGGCGGCCCTGGCCCTCAAGGCCCTGCTTGGCAAGCTCAGCGCCGAGAAGCGGGACTGGCTCTTCGGCATGGTCACCTCCTGGTTTGGTGCGAAGAAGGTCAGTGTTGCTGCTGCTCACAGTTGGGTGAGGAGGCTGCATTCCTGGGGTCTGTGAGCTCAGTAAGAACCCACAGTGGCCAGGCCGCTCATGCCAGCACTCGGGAGGCTGAGGCAGGAGGATCACTGTGAGTTCAAAGCCAGCCTGGGCTACATAGCAAGACCCTGTCAATCCTGTCTCAAAAAATGATTGGGTGTCAAGATTTCTTCACATTTCTTACTGTTCAGAACTTCACATTTCTTAGTGTTCAGTTTCTTTACCGATTCTGGGCATCAGGAAGAGACGCTTCCCACACGGGTTGCCGGGCTGCGCTGACCCGCCCCTGGTCTGCTCCCGTAGCGGATGAACAGGCAGCTGGCCGCCCTCACCTGCGGTTTGTTTGTGGAAAGCGAAGGAGCTGACTTTGAGAAACGGCTCGCAGCTGTTCTCCCCATCCTTGAGAAGGAAATTGACCCTGAAAACTTCCAAGATGTGAGTGGCTGGGCGTGAAGCCGCAGCCGGCTGGGCAGCCTTATTCGCAGGGGTGGGTGTGGCGAATGGGTTGAATCCTGTGTTCGGAGCTGTTCTGTGTTAGAGAATTCAGCGCGGTGGGAGCTGCTCCGAAGGGTATGAGTCAGTCATTCTCCGTGCTATGTGAGGATAAGGGGCCCCCTCGCCTCTGGGGACGTTCAGCAGTATCCCGGGAGAGGCACTTGTGCTGCCGGTGCTGCAGGCATGCGCGGGCAGGCCGGAGCACCTGTGCGCAGCGCCTGCAGTCTAGGGGGCGAGTCCCGTGGGCGCCTGGGTGCTTCCGGCAGGCGCCTCCATAGACATCCCCCGCCTACGCGCAGATCGTGGAGGAGACGCAGGAGAAGGCTGCCGACCGCCTGCTCTTCCACTTCCTCACGCTGCTGAGTAAGCTGGTCAAGGAGTGCGGCATTCTCCGCCTCACCACGCCCGCCGAGACGCTGAGCAACATCTGGAGTACGTACCTCCTCTCTGGTCTGTTGTGAGAGAACAGCTGAGATAGACTTGGGAAACTGGAACGGGAATGTTTCAGAAAGTAGATAATGTCAAGAAAAATGTCCACGATAAAAATGTAAAGAGCCCATCAGCCACATATGGTGGCCCGTGCCTGTAAACCAGCACTTGGGAGGCTGAGGCAGGAGGATCACTGTGAGTTCAAGGCCAGCCTGGACTGCACAGTGAGACGGTCTCAAAAAATGATAATCAAATGAGTGCTATGGGACATGCCTTGAACCTGGGTCTCGGCCGGGGGCGACTGGGCGAGACTCACTCCCACCCGCTTGGTGGCAGCTGGCCTCACCTGTCCGGTCTCCCTGCCCTTCCTGTGAGCTTTTGGGATGTGGATCCCTTTGGCCATCGCTGGTTCCTGGTTGCGGGCACACAGCAGGTGCTCAGGCAACCCCAGAGCTGCGTCTCTGCCCCCTAGGTCACGTGCACGCTCACCTGCGGCACCCGCACAGCTGGGTGTGGCTCATGGCCGCGCAGCTCTTCGGCCTGCTGTTCGCCTCCTGCCCGCCCGAGGAGCTGGTTGCACACTGGAGAGCCGCGGGGAGGAGAGCCCGGGGCCCCGCCGCAGTCCGCTTCCTCGCGGGGGACCTCGCCCTCAAGGTGCGGCCCGGCCCCGCCCTCAGCCTGTGTGTTCCCGCGTGTCCTCTGATGGTGGACGTGGGCTGCCTGGGGGACGTGGTGTGCGCGAGTCGGGGGGGGGGGGGGGGTCAGGCCAGGAGGGCGCCCGCGGGCCATGGTGGCCCCGAGGCAACTGGCAGGCACCGTTCCTGCAGGGCGGGCGTCAGGCGCGCCGGGTGCTGCGGGCCCTTCTGTGTGAGCGCCCTGGTCTCGGCCTTGGAGCCGCGCTGCCGTCCTGGGAGTGCCATGCCACGTAGTGAGAGTGAGCTCTGGAAATCACGGGGCACAGAAGGAAGGGACGCCAGGGCCTGCGAGGCGGCTGGGCTCGGCACCTGTGTCCCCTGGCGGGCAGGGCCCGGGCGGCGGAGGGGAGCCGGCGCCCACCCGGGCCTGGTCTGCTGCGGCGTGGGCATTGGGAGCAGTCCCGGCTGCCCGTGCCCACCGCCAGCGTCCTCTCTCCGCAGATGAGGAGCCTCGCCCTGGCCTCCTGCCACCAGCTGCACTCCCGCTTCCTCGAGCCGGCGCTGGGCGAGCAGGTGAGCCCGCAGAGCGGACGTGCTGCGCCCGGCACCCGGCACACCCGCGCCCTCCGCCGGCCTGTGCGCCAGTGCAGAGGCAGCGTGACGGCGCGTGGCAGTCGTGAGCACAGCGCTGGTGTCACCGCGCCGCAGACCCCTGCATCACGCGGGGGCCAGAGGGGGCGGGTGCTGCGCTTGGTCTCAGAGCCTCCCGGCACCGCAGCACAGAGGAGTGAGCGCGGTGCGCAGGGCCAGGTGCGGCTGCGCGGGGGACTGCGGCGCCCGGCACCTTCTAGGATGCGCACACAGTGCTGTGTCGGGGTGGGGAAGGGGGAGCCCACACCGCAGAGCCTGGTCCTGAGCCCCGGAGGGCCTGCGCCTGCTGTCGTGTGCACGGTTTAACGTCTGCGCTCGGCGGCCCCACCTCGGCCATAGCACTGCGGCGGCTCCCACGGGCAGGCCCAGCCTGGAGGGCTTCTCTGCGTGCGGCTGAGTGGTCGGCGCCAGCCCGCGAAGGGAGCCACGGGAAGTGGCTCAGAGGCGCCATGCAGGGGGCTCAGGACGACCTGACACCTGCAGTGGCTGGAGCCGCCGTACTCCTTCCTGGCTGGGGACGCCCGTTCTGCACTCGCTGTCTTGTGAGCCACGTTTGTTTCAGAATCCACCCGCTCACCTTCCCTCCCTTCCTCCCCAGGTTGTTAAGAATCTGCTGTTCGTAGCCAAAGTCTTGTACTTGCTAGAAGCGGATTCGGAGGCTGGGCAAAGCCAGGCGCCAGAAGACACTGAGGACGCTGTGGCTGCGGGCGACCATGGGGACAGCGACAGGACGCCGGGCTGCGCGGGGGAGGAGGGCGCCGGGCCCCGTGGCCGCACCTCCCTGCTCTGGCTGCTCCTGAAGCTGACTCGAGTGGCCAAGCTGGAAGCCGCCTACTCACCACGGAGCCCCTTGAAGGTGGGGCCCCGAGGGCAGGGCAGGGCAGGGCGGGAGATGGTGGCCTTTGGGGAATGGTACTGGGAGGGGACCGAGGCCCCGGTCCCTAGGAACCTGACCTTTGAACCGAAACGGCAGTGGTTGGCCGTCCTGGCCAGGCTGACCCTGCTCTCCGAGTGTGTGTGGGGCGGCTAAGCGGAGGCCGCGTGTGCTTGCAGAGAACGTGCATCTTCAAGTTCCTCGGTGCCGTGGCCCTGGACCTCGGCGCGGACAAGGTCAAGCCCTATCTGCCCGTGATCCTGGCTCCCCTGTTCCGGGAGCTGAACAGCACCTACTCCGAGCAAGGTAGGCCTGCCGCCGTGCTCCTGCTCGTCCACACCCAGCCTCCGTGCCTGCCAGAGTTAAGACAGAAAACTCGCCAGGCATGGTGGCACATGCCTGTCATCCCAGCATTCGGGAGGCCGAGGCAGGAGGATGGCCATGAGTCCCAGGTCAGGCTGAGCTTGCACCACATAGCGAGCAGGCAGGCAGACTCCTGAGGCACGAGACAGCAGCCGTAAGCAAGTTCGTACATCTGATGGCTGCGTTCTGTCCGCTTTCTCAGACTGTGTTCCTTTCCTGTGAGATGATCTTACTCCCGAGCACAGACTCAGTGTTCAAGGGAAACGAGGTGGGCCTGTGTAAAGCTGGCAGTGCTAGCTGGGCGTGGTGGCGCCCGCCTGGAATCCCGGCACCTGGGAGGCTAAGGCAGGAGAATCGTTGCCAGTTCGAGACGAGCCTGAGCTACAAAGTGAGCTCAAGGCCAGCCAGAACTGCATAGGGAGACCCTGTCTCAAAAAGCCAAACCCGACAGTGCTGTGGGCCGTAAGGGACACCGTGTGTTGGGGACTCTGAGGCAAACCCGTGCGTTGTGCCCCACTCCAGACGGCCTCTGAGGTCAGCGTACCGCTCACCCCCTCCCGCTGCCCGGGCCTCCGCACCCCACAGACCCTGACTGCCGGGGGCAGGAGAGCGGGCTCGGGGCGGAGGTCGTGGGGTGGCTGGGAAGCTGGCTGGTCCTGCGGCCTGGGGGCCTGCAGCTCTGTGCACCAAGGAGAGGGAGGGGGCGGGGCGGCACCAGCCTCTGACTGCGCTCGGGAGGGCTGGGGCGGCGCTGCAGTTTCCACTGACCGCTGCTCTCTGTGCGACCAGACCCTGCGCTGAAGACCCTGTCCCAGGAAGTCATTGAGCTGCTCAAAAGGCTGGTCGGCCTCGAGAGCTTCTCCCTGGCCTTCGCCTCCGTGCAGAAGCAGGCGAGCGCCAAGCGGGCCCTGCGCAAGCGGAGGAAGGCGCTGGAGGTGAGTGCACCGCCGGTCAGGGCCCGGCCGCGTCCGACGGCACGCGCGCTGCGTCCCGCTTAGCTCGGACGCGCCGCCCTTCAACAGCGACGCGCGGTGGGCACGAAGGCTGCTCCGTGCGGGAGTTGGGGAGCCAGGGGCTCACTGAAAATCCCTGTTCTTTTTCAAGTTCGTAACTAACCCCGATATTGCTGCCAAGAAAAAGATGAAGAAACACAAAAATAAAAGTGAAGCAAAGAAGAGAAAGATCGAGTTCCTGCGTCCAGGCTACAAGGCCAAGCGACAGAGAGGCCGCAGCCTGCGGGACCTGGCCATGGTGGAGTAGTGCGATGGGACGGGCCGGAGCCTCGGTGGAGACTGTCTAGTGTGTAGAGTCTAAAGTAATCGTGCTCTTTTTTAAAAAAGTAAAACGTTTAATGCTGCTACTGTATCTTCTTGGTCTAAAAAGCACCTCACGCTGAAAGTTTACAATGTAACTTCTCAATAAAAAGGAAGTTTACCTCAGTGGCACTGTGCCTGCCTGGCAAGTGTGATGCCCTGAGTTTGGTTCCTGGTACCCCCCCCCCGCCCCCAAAATAATTATCTTAAATCACAATTAAAACTAGCTGTAGGAAATTTTTTTTAAAGTTTAAAATAGCAAGAAAAAATGTAGCAGGCAGGAGTGACTGGGGCTGCAGCTCCCACTATGTAACACGGCGAACGGGAGGCGGAGACAGCGCATTCGGCCAGGACGCCACAGCCACACGCGGTCACTAGCTCTTCCCACGGGGTTGCGCTGGCTGAGCGCCCCTCGGGGCGGAAAGCCTTCACATTCTTCTGTTAGGCTCATAACGCCGATTCTGAACTGCAGCGCAGCCGTGACAGCTTAGAGAAGGGCAGGGTGAGAAGCCCGCCCTGGGGAACCAAAAGCAAGGCCCAGGAGGTGCCGCTGACAGAGTTCCACTTCAGACACGGGCTGGTTTATGGCGTATAGAATCCCCAGTTGTGTGTGAAAAGGTAAAAATAACAATTAACAAGGTGGGAACAGTATAAAGTACTTACTGCCTGATACTCCCGCGTGTCACCTGTATGAGTGAGACACTGAAGGGTTGCATTAGGACTGTCAGCGAGGACACCTGCACCCAGCTCTTACCTGCTGGCGAGAGTCCGGAGTCACCGCCGTAACCCTACTAGTAGTTAGAAAGACAAACTAACACCAGAAGGAGATGCAGCTGTGAACAGTCAGGCCCCTGAGGCCGACACCGGTGCTGGGAAGCTTGCTGGGGCAGCGGGAGCGCTAACCACGCAGTTTGACAGCCCGGCGTTAGCTTACAGACCTTAAGATGAGGACACCCCAGCATGATCCTTCCCCTGTCCTGCTTGCTTTTCCCTCGTTGCTGAGACAAAATACCCAATGCCCAGAGTGAAGGAAGGAGAGGTTGATTTAGCTCACAGTCTGTGGAGGTTTCAATCCACACTTGGGTGGCTCCCAGGCAGGGTGGCACATGGCAGAGGGCAACAGTTCACGGCGGGGGGACAGCAAAGCAACAAGAGCAAAGGGGAGGAGCGGCAGAGAAGAGCAAGCCTCTTTCCCTCCCTCATATCTAAGCAAGCCCCCATCCAGGGGCATGTAGCTCTCACACCATCTCCACGCCCTCCTCCTGCACAGGCTCAGGATGATACAAAGTCAGCACCCTGGCTCCCCGCTGAATCACACAGTTAACCTAAATTCTCAAACTGACACAGCGAACAAGATCCCAGACGGGGAAGGGCGCGTCCTTTTCACACCAAGACGCACGTAGGCGAACCTCTACATTCCGCGAGGTGACAGTGTATCAACCACAGCATCCTCAGCAACTTACAGCCAGGACCCGGGGCGGCGGCGGCGCGGTCGCGCGGCACCGGTCAGGCTGTCTCCGCCGGTGTTCGCCTCCCGCTGTCCTGTACCCTGCTTCATTGCGGGTACTTGTGGTCAGACACCTCCTAACACACTGTCTGTGGGGCCTGGGCCACCGGCACAGCAACTGCGGACTTCGGGGGACCTAGGACTTGCAAGGACTTTTGGTTTGCGTGTGTGGGTACCGGGAGTCGAACTCAGCACCTTGTGCTTGGCAGACTAGCTCCTGTGCCGCTGAGCTACACCCCCGGCCTCTGCATTCTGTGTGTGTGCGCGCTGTGCGTGGGGTGCTCGTCCGCAAGACACCGCCCCCGCCCGCCTCCCTGCCGCGGACGCGGAGGCCTTCGGTGCCCAGGGCAGCCGGCGGCGGGGAGAGCCGCCCCTCGGCCGGCCCCTCGGCCTCCACGGTGGTTCTAGAAGCGCGGAGGTGCTAGAAGCGGTTCCCCGACGGCGAGGTGCGGGGCAGCAGGAGCGCGCAGGGCGGCAGGCGGC